GGGCAAGAAAAGAAGAAACAAAAAGAAAAAAGGGGGTTCCAAAAAAACTTGCTTGAAATGCAATGCAACCTGGAGGGCAAATTGCAGCGCATATCTAGGGGTCGTTTTGTGCAGCCACACGCCTGCACGCACGTTTTAGTTCGAATCCTTCGCAGGACGGGGCCTTGTCAATGTTGATCCATTATTAAGTTAATTGATCAAATGACGCAATATTGGTTTAGTATTAACTTTATTGCCAAGCCGCACCACATCGAAGCCTCCACCTCTCTCTGTTATTTGTAAAATCTAAAACCGCTTGCAGCGCAGCCTCGGAGCTTATCATCAGCATTTGTGGATTCTGCGAAAATTTGGTGCTGTTTTTCCTTGCGCGGCGCGGCCACAGCCCTTCTGCTTGCACTTCTGCAAGGGTCTTCAGCTTGCTCAGGCAAAACGGGTCCTAGCCGCATTCTGTGCGTCAAAAGTTCAAGTTGCCCGGGAGCGCTGTTTCTGGCCTTGTAAGTGCGTTTCTGTCGTGGAGCTGTGTGGCTTGAAAAGCCTTCTGCTCGCTTTTGGGCGCAGCGCTAGTCTTCTTGCCAGTGGTGCAGGTGGGCTCACAACCGAATTTTTTCTTTGGCGCGCTTTTTGCTGTCTTTGTCTTCAAGAATTGCAGGTTTAAGTTCTCATTGCTGCACGTAAGCGTGGGTTAGCCCTTGGGTTGCAACGTTCTGTCAATTCTGCGCCGGCGACAGAATTGCCCCAATTGCCCAACCTTAGGCAATGGAGTCGGCCCCGCTTAGAGCTTGGCGCATTGTTTCGGAGTTCTAAGTAAAGGCCAGGTTGTGGCCCTGCCCCCTTGCGCCGTAGTAGTTTATGACACGACCAGGAAAATATAGGGAGGGTCCGCGTAAATGCACTGCTGGGGTGCTGGGCAGGGTAGCGCTCGCAGATAGGCCGCACGCAGCTCCGGGGCAGTGGCTGCTGCTGCCGTGCGAAGGAGCCCAACTTTTCTGAGCAGCAGGGTGTACGCGCAGGAGAAAGCAGCGGCGCAGGTTCACGACGGTTCGAACGTGCACGCCACGCACCTCCAGGCCCGGGCGCCGCCGGGCAAGGTAGTACCCTGGCTTTCCGGAACCGAAGAAGGGCGAGCGCTTACTGCCCATATACTTCAGCTGTGCGCCGGCTTTTACTTTCATCAGGAAAACACGGTTTCTCTCCCGGACTCGCTGGCCGGCTTCCGGTACTTGCGTAACGCAAAAGGACAAATGGGAAGATCAAGCTTTTTCCCACGCCCAAGTACACCAGCAAGCAAGCCTCAGACCTTGTGGTGCCCCTGGTGCCACGCACGGGCATCTTTCTCGGAAGTTGGTGGCATCAGCCTCATCCTGGAGCAGTACAAGGGTGTGTGTGAGCGGATCTACGTATTCAGCCCGCGTCAACATCGATGATGGCTGGATCCCTGTCAAGAAGTACATAAGCGTCCAAGAAGTTGGAAATGAAGAAACTGTACCAGGTGCTTGTAGTCATCGACGACATCCAAGGCCGGCGCATGCAGATTAGCACCTGGGTGAGCTGGAAGCTGAGACTCATCAGCGCCGTGCGCGTGAACATTCAATTTCTCTGCTGCTGGAGGCTGCGCAACCAGCACGAGCTGGACGCCTCATCAAGCAGTCAGCCTGCTGCCGAAGGATAAGCTGTACCAGTTGTACGAACAGGCGACCCAGAAGCCCTACTGCTGCACTTCCGTTCCCGGAGCCGTCCCTGTTGGGAGCTGGGCTTTCTAAAGAATCTCCCGGCCAAGACGACAGAGGCTCTCTTGGCAAAGACTTCCCCGGCACGGTCTACAACGCCTGACGCGCTTGAAAAGCAAGAAATGCCCCGCTGTTCCGCAAGACCCCCGTGCGTAGCGCAGCTCTGTCGGTGCACGGCCTCCATCAGCCGGCTTGCGTCATTTGAGTGGCTGGGGGCCCGCCGGGACTTCGTTTCCACGGCTTCAACCAGCCCGTGCTTCAAGCAGGGTGGGCGACATTGAGCGGAGGGGTGCAGCACACGTCCCGGCAGATAATTTGCAAGGACGGCTTCCGCACTTCCGCAAAGGCCACGGACAAGGTGCGGCCCGATCCAGAGCTGGCTGGACTGGGGCAGGGTCACAAGGTTTAGCCCCAGAAGAAGGGGCGTGTGCGTTCTCTTGCTGGCCCCATGAGTGTATTCCCCTGGCCCCAAACGGATCTTCCAAGATCTTCCCAAGATGTTCCCAAGACGGATTTTCATCCGACGAGCGTTTTCCCTTGGGTCAAAACGGATTATTCGAGAGGAAGCCGCTCCGCTCAGCGCGCTCAATATCCTCGAGAATCCGGCTCTGGGCCTCAACTGTTCCAAGGAGAGGCGCTCGCTGAGATCCGTCTTGGGAAAACCCGTCTTGGAAAGATCCGTCTCGGGCGAAGGGAAAATACAAGGTGGAAGGGAATGCCAGGGAAAACACTCTTCTAAGCAAAGGCGCTCGCCGGCCGGCCGTTAAAATATCATTGAGGCGCTCGCTGGGCGGGAGGTTAACAGATCCGTCTCCGGGTAAAATATTTTTCTAAGGATAGGCGCTCACCGGGCGGGAGGTTAAAAGATCCGTCTCGGGTTGAAAATGCTATTCTAAGGAGAGGCGCTCGCCAGATGGGAGGTGGAAAGATCAGTCTCGGGCCGGCCCAGGGGAAAAATATTCGAAGGAGAGGTGCTCGCCGGGTGGGATGAAAAAGATCGGTCTTGGGCAGGGCAAACTATTATTCCAAGGAGAGGCGCTTGCCGGGTGGGAGGTGGAAAGCTCCGTCTTGGGAATATCCGTTTCGGGAAGATCCGTATTAGGCCGGGGTAAAAAAAAACTGGTCTAAGGAGAGGCGCTCGCCGGGTAGAAGGTGTGAAAAAATCGTCTCGGACCTGATGATCCGTCTCGGAAGATCCGTCTTGGCCCAATAGAAAATAATTCTCTAGGAAGATCCGTCTCGGACCGGATCCGTCTTGGCCAAAGGGAAAAAGACTTCTCGAGAAATCACTAGATTAAAGGTCCGTCTTTGCGCATGCCCGCGACAGGGTGGAACCAAGCCAGCGCCTCCAAGCATTAGAGCCGCGCCTCTTCCGATGGCCCTGCTATGGCCCAGTCTGGCACCGAGATCAGCCGGAGCGCAGCGTGAAGCGCTGGGCTGCGTGGCGTCGTTTGTGCCGTTGGCGGACGCTGCGGCCGGAAGAACGTGTTCTCAAGCACCCAGTCCGTGCCCCGGGCAAGACCGCCCAGGCCAGTCCCGCCGTTACGGCTGTCTCCAACTCCGCCCCAGCAATCTCGCCCGAAGGCTGCTGCTCCAGTTTCCGGGCCCCCGCGCCCTCGCTGCCGTCTCTGTGCCACACCCCGCTCCACCTCCTGCCTGCCGGAAACCTCTGGCTGCGGCTGCGGGGCACAACGTTCAGGCGCACGTACTCCGTCCGCCTTTGAGAATAAGCCGCAATCTAAAGTGCGTTTCACGCCGCGCGATTTCTGGCTGCGCAAGGCAAGCATTCGCCAATGGGGATGCAGGTGAAGGGGATGGACACGGCTTTGTCATCCCTCCTGCCCCGAGCCTGGACTTCTGAGCAACGCCTTATTAAAAAGGAACAGAACGATTGGGTCGGTCGGACTTGTGTTTCTTTTTATTGCTTGTTCCCTTTTGGCTTGAAGCAGTGAACAGGATTCTAACGCATATGAATTGCAGCAAGATAGTTTTACATTTTCCCGATCTGCCACTTCAGCTTGGCTGCCGCATTTCACACGCGCTAGATGTTGTATGGGGCCTTTCACTGCGCTCTGATTGTTCGCGCACGGTACCTCAGTGTCCAGCTGACGTTTAACCAACCCAGCCAGGCTTTTTGCAACGCGCAGCGCGACCGGCTTGAATCTCTGCGCCTCTGGCCCCTGGCCTTTGAAAGCCTTGCGGCCTATTGGCCATGAAAGGGCCAAGTGGCCGGGCTGTCATCTTCTAAATGTAGTGACCCCTACAAAATGGCCACCTTCCTCAAAAAAGAGTTTCATGCAAGTTCGCGGAAAAGCCGTTTTGCTTGAATGGACTCCGTTTTGGCTGGGCCTGGGAGGTCCTGCTAATCCCAAACAGGGTCGCAGTGGATGAACTCCAGGCGTGACGAGGAAGCATAGGGGAAGCACAAAGTAAAGGTTCGAATTCAGCGATTCCAACAGGCCGACTTGGCAAAGGAGACTAAGTTGAGTTTGGCGGTGCCAAAGTGACATGCATCCCTTGTTTTGAAGCGAGACCGCCGGTCCGAAAGGCAGGCTGCTGAGGGAGTTTTAGGTTTTTTTTGGGGTGGGGAAAAAATATTCTTTGGGCTGGAGACAGGAACCCTGTCGTGGTTAGAGCCATGGGGCCACTCGGGGGAGTCAAAAGGAGACCGCATCGGCTAAGAAACTGCACAATGGCGCTTCTCCACTTTCATGCTTCTTCATGTCGCGAGTGTATGAGGTTGTGTATGTAGAATCATTTATTTCAATACATTGTGGCTTTGCCACGATCAGATGCACACGAATTTGTTACACACACACACACAGGCTGCATACGATGCTATCGTCAAACATTATGATTTTTGTGGGATACCGTGGAATGATTGGGCGAACTACAAGGCACTCTGCAAGCAGGGCTGAAATTGTGTGGAGTGACAGCTGAAACTTTCAATCCCAACTGCACGGCTGGCAGCCTATGCAAATTCCAACAAGTCGTGTTTCTGGATACGGGCTGCTCTATGGATTTTTCAAGTAATTAAGTCATAGAGCGGGCCTACAGGTATTCGCAACTGCCCACAGGCGGGGCCACTCGGTACTCAATGTACTGCATCCGCCGGTACGCAGGCCGAGGCTGAATTTGGTAAGACCGGACCCGAGCCAAAAAAGAGTTGCTCAGGCGTGTTTGGGCTGGCAACCGTTGTTGGTGAGCAAGAGGATGGCGTCATGCACTGGAAGTCACATGCATTGGGACAATGATTTTCACATCTCGGCTCACAGAAGTAAGGGTACCAGCTTTGTACAGCCTGTAGAGACATTTTCCTGCCCTAGCGCTTCCGTTTTATTTTACCAACTTTTTGTAAACGATGCTCGGCCTGATTGTTCACAAAGATTGTGCAGCTTTGGCTTGACTTTCGCGAGGGTTGGCAGTGCCAATGTGCTTGTGCTGAGGATGGCCTCCGCATCCCGAACCACTATTGCCTCGGCTGCCGCAGGCCTTGACTGCAACTGGGTCACAAAAGAAAGCTCGTCGTTGATTTCTGGTACTTTATGTGGGGGTTCCTGCATGGCCTCTTAGAGTCGCGTGTCTTTGATAGTGACTCAGACTCATGCATAATAGTTGTCAGTAGCAGTCACTAGTTGCTGTGGCTCCCCTTTCATGCATCCGAATCACTATACGATTCAACACTACGGATTTTGGGCTTGTGAGGGGGCCAGTGCGAGTTTCAGCTGGGTAATGCAAACTTTTCTTCGAACACACCACTTGAGAGTTTTTGAAGATGGCACAAGTCTGTGGGCCTGATCTTGGCAAGGCGGCTTGCGATTTGTGTTACTTGTGCCCTGCGAGGCGTCGCACTCTTCGGCGGAGCAGCTTTCGTGTCTGCGCCTACCACACGGTCTGGAAACCTGCGAGTCATGCTCTCAGCTGAGCTGCCTTTGTACTTTTGTGGTGGGTTTACTCAGTCATGGCTGCTGGTTTGATCGATGCAATTGAATTCATTTGCTTGAATCTGTTGCTCTAGGATTGTTGTTGCTCATCCTTGCTCATTCTTCTTTCCAGAAAATCTCCAAAGCAGAAGGGCAATACACGTTTGAACTGAGCACGGATTGAACAGAACGGGAATCACCCCCTACAGGCTGCCTGTGGCACACCGGGCTTTGGGCGCTTTTGGATGTGAGCTGACTCCAAGGCAACCATGTCCGCAGCAACTCCTGCCTCCGCTCCAGTGTCTGGACTGGAGGCGCCTCCAGTTGTCAGATGAGCGACCGTGGCTACAGAGTTGAATGATTGGAATACTTTCCAGCAAGGCAGACGGACACAATCCATAACTGCATTTATGCGACTCGAGTTCCACCAAAACGATTCAATGATTTCTGCTCGCCAGGCGAGCACCGCCATGGCGGTGGCGGGCACGGCGATTGCGGCCTTTGCCAGCCGCAAGGTCTGGAGCTTAGGTTTCGGTTTCAGTGGGGTCGAATGGCGACCCTTTGTATCTCACCAGCCGGAGCTTCATTGGAATGTGTCGCACCAAAAAGGACGCTTTTGAGTTGAATGATGGCAGAACGCGTTTCTCGCATGCATGCATGCGCCGCAAAGCTCATATTCATTTGAAGCGCCCAAGGCCAGTGCAGCCAATGTGAAGCAGCAGCTGGTGCGCTCCTTAACCTGAGAGAAGCCAAGCCTGACATTCCAGCCGCACTTCCCTCCATTCTTTCAAAAGATGCTTGTTCTGAGACAATGGCCGAGATCGAACAAATGATGGGTGAAGAAAAGGAGATCAGCCTTGAGAAACATGTCAAGCTCAACACATTCCAATGCAGGTAGCTTTGACGGCCTTCGAGAACGAGCTCGGTGTGCAGGCGCCAGTTGGATTTTGGGATCCCGCTGGCTTCACCGCGGATGGCAGCACCGAGAACTTTGCGCGCAGGCGCCAGACGGAGTTGAAGCATGGCCGAATCTCCATGCTTGCGACTTGATCAACGGTTGGTAACGTCTTACTAACATAATAGGTCTTGTTGTTTCACAACAATGATGCGAGTAGGACATATTTCTATCTCAGGTTTTGGTTTAAGCATTGACATCATTGACCAAGGCTACCATGGGCTACATTACGCCGGAGATCACGGGAAAATTCCCAGGCTATTTGAGCCCTTCCGCAGGCTTGAAGTTCGCAGATGTCCCGAATGGGCTCGCCGCAATTTCCAAAGTGCCCGCTGCAGGGTGGGGTCAGATCTTGGCTTACATGGCCTTCTGCGAGGTGTCCCAGGACCAGTCGGCGGGAACTCCTGCTGCAGCGGGTGACTTCGGATTCAAGGTGCTCACCGCATCCGACCCGGAGGCCAAGAAAACTAAGCTTGCAGCCGAACTTGCGAACGGTCGCCTGGCCATGATGGCGATCATCGGCATGTTCTTCCAGGAGACGTTATCGAACGACTTTTTGTGTGCGATGCAGTTTACCGGTGGGTTCCAAGAGTGTTAGGCTTCAAACCACTTTATGGATGCACTGCATATAGTGATTCACTGGACGATACATGTGAACTTTGTGTGTGTTTGCCTCTTTGTGCTTCAGTTTGTTTGCACCAGCCACCGCAAGCCAAAATGAAGTCAAGAGTGAGATGCATGGCTGGCACCTTTCTCAAGTATACTTTGTAACACTGTGCAGTGCAATGCTGATTGCCATTGATTTGTTTGGATCCTCAGGCGTTCTACGGCACGATGCGCATGTGCCTAGTGCATGTTGGTCTTAGTCTTTACGTGAAGTACACACACATACATGTATGTATACAATATATATATATATATATATAAAGTACACGTGGAAACGTATCTTGGTGCTAGGCAAACACTTGTGCTTGTGCAGGACGGCTTGACTGGCAGCGCCTGGGGTGACTGGGCCAACTACACTGCTTCCCCTCTGCGAGCTTTCGAGAACGAGCTCGGTGTGCAGGCGCCAGTTGGATTTTGGGATCCCGCTGGCTTCACCGCGGATGGCAGCACCGAGAACTTTGCGCGCAGGCGCCAGACGGAGTTGAAGCATGGCCGAATCTCCATGCTTGCGACTTGATCAACGGTTGGTAACGTCTTACTAACATCTTAGGTCTTGTTGTTTCACAACAATGATGCGAGTAGAACATATTTCTATCTCAGGATTTGGTTTAAGCATTGACATCATTGACCAAGGCTACCATGGGCTACATTACGCCGGAGATCACGGGAAAATTCCCAGGCTATTTGAGCCCTTCCGCAGGCTTGAAGTTCGCAGATGTCCCGAATGGGCTCGCCGCAATTTCCAAAGTGCCCGCTGCAGGGTGGGGTCAGATCTTGGCTTACATGGCCTTCTGCGAGGTGTCCCAGGACCAGTCGGCGGGAACTCCTGCTGCAGCGGGTGACTTCGGATTCAAGGTGCTCACCGCATCCGACCCGGAGGCCAAGAAAACTAAGCTTGCAGCCGAACTTGCGAACGGTCGCCTGGCCATGATGGCGATCATCGGCATGTTCTTCCAGGAGATGCTGGTCGAATGACTTTGTGTATGCGACACAGTTTACCGGCGGGTTCCAAGAGCGTCAGGCTTCTATCCACTTTACGGATGCACTGCATAGTGTGATTCATCGTGGACGACAAATGTGAAACTTTGTGTTCGGTGTGTTTGCCTCTTTGTGCTGAGTTTGTTTGCACCAACCACCGCAAGCCAAAGTCAAGTGAACAGTGAGATGCATGGCGCCTTTGTCGTTTGAATTGTTATACTTTGTAACACTGTGCAGTGCAATGCTGATTGCCATTGATTTGTTTGGATCCTCAGGCGTTCTACGGCTTTACGGCACAATGCGCATGTGCTTAGTGCATGTTGGTCTTAGTCTTTTCGTCAAGTACACACACATACATGTATGTATACCATATGTATATATATATATATACACATACACGTGTAAACGTATCTTGGTGCTAGGCAAACACTTGTGCTTGTGCAGGACGGCTTGACCGGCAGCGCCTGGGGTGACTGGGCCAACTACACTGCTTCCCCTCTGCGAGCTTTCGAGAACGAGCTCGGTGTGCAGGCGCCAGTTGGATTTTGGGATCCCGCTGGCTTCACCGCGGATGGCAGCACCGAGAACTTTGCGCGCAGGCGCCAGACGGAGTTGAAGCATGGCCGAATCTCCATGCTTGCGACTTGATCAACGGTTGGTAACATCTTACTCATATCTTACGTCTTGTTGTTTCACAACAATGATGCGAGTAGAACATATTTCTATCTCAGGTTTTGGTTTTAGCATTGACATCATTGACCAAGGCTACCATGGGCTACATTACGCCGGAGATCACCGGGAAATTTCCGGGCTACTTGAGCCCTTCCGCAGGCTTGAAGTTTGCAGATGTCCCGAATGGGCTCGCCGCAATTTCCAAAGTGCCCGCTGCAGGGTGGGGTCAGATCTTGGCTTACATGGCCTTCTGCGAGGTGTCCCAGGACCAGTCGGCGGGAACTCCTGCTGCAGCGGGTGACTTCGGATTCAAGGTGCTCACCGCATCCGACCCGGAGGCCAAGAAAACTAAGCTTGCAGCCGAACTTGCGAACGGTCGCCTGGCCATGATGGCGATCATCGGCATGTTCTTCCAGGAGATGCTGGTCGAATGACTTTGTGTATGCGACACAGTTTACCGGCGGGTTCCAAGAGCGTCAGGCTTCTATCCACTTTACGGATGCACTGCATAGTGTGATTCATCGTGGACGACAAATGTGAAACTTTGTGTTCGGTGTGTTTGCCTCTTTGTGCTGAGTTTGCTTGCACCAACCACCGCAAGCCAAAGTCAAGTGAACAGTGAGATGCATGGCGCCTTTGTCGTTTGAATTGTTATACTTTGTAACACTGTGCAGTGCAATGCTGATTGCCATTGATTTGTTTGGATCCTCAGGCGTTCTACGGCTTTACGGCACAATGCGCATGTGCTTAGTGCATGTTGGTCTTAGTCTTTTCGTCAAGTACACACACATACATGTATGTATACCATATGTATATATATATATATACACATACACGTGTAAACGTATCTTGGTGCTAGGCAAACACTTGTGCTTGTGCAGGACGGCTTGACCGGCAGCGCCTGGGGTGACTGGGCCAACTACACTGCTTCCCCTCTGCGAGCTTTCGAGAACGAGCTCGGTGTGCAGGCGCCAGTTGGATTTTGGGATCCCGCTGGGTTTACCGCGGATGGCAGCACCGAGAACTTTGCGCGCAGGCGCCAGACGGAGTTGAAGCATGGCCGAATCTCCATGCTTGCGACTTGATCAACGGTTGGTAACATCTTACTCATATCTTACGTCTTGTTGTTTCACAACAATGATGCGAGTAGAACATATTTCTATCTCAGGTTTTGGTTTTAGCATTGACATCATTGACCAAGGCTACCATGGGCTACATTACGCCGGAGATCACCGGGAAATTTCCGGGCTACTTGAGCCCTTCCGCAGGCTTGAAGTTTGCAGATGTCCCGAATGGGCTCGCCGCAATTTCCAAAGTGCCCGCTGCAGGGTGGGGTCAGATCTTGGCTTACATGGCCTTCTGCGAGGTGTCCCAGGACCAGTCGGCGGGAACTCCTGCTGCAGCGGGTGACTTCGGATTCAAGGTGCTCACCGCATCCGACCCGGAGGCCAAGAAAACTAAGCTTGCAGCCGAGCTTGCGAACGGTCGCCTGGCCATGATGGCCATCATCGGAATGTTCTTTCAGGCGATGTGGGCTTATATTTTTTTGTACGCTCATGTTGCTTGCGGAGTCAAAGCTGGTGAGGGTAACAACCGCATCATACACAGCGTGCAGTTGTAACATGCATGATATAAAACTCTATATGTATGTACTTATAGATACACACACACACACACAGAGTGTTCAATCTTAGGTGCAGATTCCTGTTGCATGTTTTTGTACTGTGCCAGATGTTGCCCTGCTTGTAAGCCCAGTCGCAAAGACAAGACAGATGATCGGCTCTTGCTTTGTTTGAATCGGGGTAGAGTTTCAGCGTAGTTCGGAGAATCTTTCACGCTTGGGCTGGTATGACTTGTGAATCAGCAGAGTTCCTTGATCTTCGCAGCACACACAAGCTTGGTGCATCATATAGCATCATGGTGCATCATAGTGCGTTGTAGTGCATCATAGTGCGCCATAGTGCATTCAAAGTCATCTCAGTGTTTCAGTGCTAGTTGAAACCATGCGAAGGATGGCTTGACTGGCAGCGCCTGGGGTGACTGGGCCAACTACACTGCTTCCCCTTTGCGAGCTTTCGAGAACGAGCTCGGTGTGCAGGCGCCAGTTGGATTTTGGGATCCCGCTGGCTTCACCGCGGATGGCAGCACCGAGAACTTTGCGCGCAGGCGCCAGACGGAGTTGAAGCATGGCCGAATCTCCATGCTTGCAACTTGGTCAAGGTTTGGTAATTTCTTACTAGCATCTTACGTCTTGTTGTTTCACACAATGATGCGAGTAGGACATATTTCAATCTCAGGTTTTTGTTTTAACATTGACGTCATTGACCAAGGCTACCATGGGCTACATTACGCCGGAGATCACGGGAAAATTCCCAGGCTATTTGAGCCCTTCCGCAGGCTTGAAGTTCGCAGATGTCCCGAATGGGCTCGCCGCAATTTCCAAAGTGCCCGCTGCAGGGTGGGGTCAGATCTTGGCTTACATGGCCTTCTGCGAGGTGTCCCAGGACCAGTCGGCGGGAACTCCTGCTGCAGCGGGTGACTTTGGATTCAAGGTGCTCACCGCATCCGACCCGGAGGCCAAGAAAACTAAGCTTGCAGCCGAACTTGCGAACGGTCGCCTGGCCATGATGGCCATCATCGGAATGTTCTTCCAGGAGATGCTTGTATGTGACACAGTTTACCGGCGGGTTCCAAGAGCGTCAGGCTTCTAACCACTTTACGGATGCACTGCATAGTGTGATTCATCGTGGACGACAAATGTGAAACTTTGTGCTCGGTGTGTTTGCCTCTTTGTGCTTGAGTTTGTTTGCACCAACCACCGCAAGCCAAAGTCAAGTGAACAGTGAGATGCATGGCGCCTTTGTCGTTTGAATTGTTATACTTTGTAACACTGTGCAGTGAAATGCAGATTGCCATTGATTTGTCTGGATCCTCAGGCGTTCTACGGCTTTACGGCACAATGCGCATGTGCTTAGTGCATGTTGGTCTTAGTCTTTTCGTCAAGTACACACACACACATACATGTATGTATACCATATATTATATGTACATATATATATATATACATACACGTGTAAACGTATCTTGGTGCTAGGCAAACACTTGTGCTTGTGCAGGACGGCTTGACTGGCAGCGCCTGGGGTGACTGGGCCAACTACACTGCTTCCCCTCTGCGAGCTTTCGAGAACGAGCTCGGTGTGCAGGCGCCAGTTGGATTTTGGGATCCCGCCGGGTTTACCGCGGATGGCAGCACCGAGAACTTTGCGCGCAGGCGCCAGACGGAGTTGAAGCATGGCCGAATCTCCATGCTTGCGACTTGATCAACGGTTGGTAACATCTTACTCATATCTTACGTCTTGTTGTTTCACAACAATGATGCGAGTAGAACATATTTCTATCTCAGGTTTTGGTTTTAGCATTGACATCATTGACCAAGGCTACCATGGGCTACATTACGCCGGAGATCACCGGGAAATTTCCGGGCTACTTGAGCCCTTCCGCAGGCTTGAAGTTTGCAGATGTCCCGAATGGGCTCGCCGCAATTTCCAAAGTGCCCGCTGCAGGGTGGGGTCAGATCTTGGCTTACATGGCCTTCTGCGAGGTGTCCCAGGACCAGTCGGCGGGAACTCCTGCTGCAGCGGGTGACTTCGGATTCAAGGTGCTCACCGCATCCGACCCGGAGGCCAAGAAAACTAAGCTTGCAGCCGAACTTGCGAACGGTCGCCTGGCCATGATGGCCATCATCGGAATGTTCTTTCAGGCGATGTGGGCTAATATTTTTTTGTATGCTCATGTTGCTTGCGGAGTCAAAGCTGGTGAGGATAACAACCACATCATACACAGCGTGCAGTTGTAACATGCATGATATAAAACTCTATATGTATGTACTTATAGATACACACACACACACACAGCGTGTTCAATCTTAGGTGCAGATTCCTGTTGCATGTTTTTGTACTGTGCCAGATGTTGCCCTGCTTGTAAGCCCAGTCGCAAAGACAAGACAGATGATCGGCTCTTGCTTTGTTTGAATCGGGGTAGAGTTTCAGCGTAGTTCGGAGAATCTTTCACGCTTGGACTGGTATGACTTGTGAATCAGCAGAGTTCCCTTGATCTTCGCAGCACACACAGCTTAGTGCATCATATAGCATCATGGTGCATCATAGTGCGTTGTAGTGCATCATACTGCGCCGTAGTGCATTCAAGTCATCTCAGTGTTTCAGTGCTAGTTGAAACCATGCGAAGGATGGCTTGACTGGCAGCGCCTGGGGTGACTGGGCCAACTACACTGCTTCCCCTCTGCGAGCTTTCGAGAACGAGCTCGGTGTGCAGGCGCCAGTTGGATTTTGGGATCCCGCTGGCTTCACCGCGGATGGCAGCACCGAGAACTTTGCGCGCAGGCGCCAGACGGAGTTGAAGCATGGCCGAATCTCCATGCTTGCAACTTGGTCAAGGTTTGGTAATTTCTTACTAGTATCTTACGTCTTGTTGTTTCACACAATGATGCGAGTAGGACATATTTCAATCTCAGGTTTTTGTTTTAACATTGACGTCATTGACCAAGGCTACCATGGGCTACATTACGCCGGAGATCACGGGAAAATTCCCAGGCTATTTGAGCCCTTCCGCAGGCTTGAAGTTTGCAGATGTCCCGAATGGGCTCGCCGCAATTTCCAAAGTGCCCGCTGCAGGGTGGGGTCAGATCTTGGCTTACATGGCCTTCTGCGAGGTGTCCCAGGACCAGTCGGCGGGAACTCCTGCTGCAGCGGGTGACTTTGGATTCAAGGTGCTCACCGCATCCGACCCGGAGGCCAAGAAAACTAAGCTTGCCGCCGAGCTTGCGAACGGTCGCCTGGCCATGATGGCCATCATCGGAATGTTCTTTCAGGCGATGTGGGCTAATATTTTCTTGTATGCTCATGTTGCTTGCGGAGTCAAAGCTGGTGAGGATAACAACCGCATCATACACAGCGTGCAGTTGTAACATGCATGATATAAAACTCTATATGTATGTACTTATAGATACACACACACACACAGCGTATTCAGTCTTAGGTGCAGATTCCTGTTGCATGTTTTTGTACTGTGCCAGATGTTGCCCTGCTTGTAAGCCCAGTCGCAAAGACAAGACAGATGATCGGCTCTTGCTTTGTTTGAATCGGGGCAGAGTTTCAGCGTAGTTTGGAGAATCTTTCACGCTTGGACTGGTATGACTTGTGAATCAGCAGAGTTCCTTGATCTTCGCAGCACACACAAGCTTAGTGCATCATATAGCATCATGGTGCATCATAGTGCGTTGTAGTGCATCATACTGCGCCGTAGTGCATTCAAGTCATCTCAGTGTTTCAGTGCTAGTTGAAACCATGCGAAGGATGGCTTGACTGGCAGCGCCTGGGGTGACTGGGCCAACTACACTGCTTCCCCTCTGCGAGCTTTCGAGAACGAGCTCGGTGTGCAGGCGCCAGTTGGATTTTGGGATCCCGCTGGGTTTACCGCGGATGGCAGCACCGAGAACTTTGCGCGCAGGCGCCAGACGGAGTTGAAGCATGGCCGAATCTCCATGCTTGCAACTTGGTCAAGGTTTGGTAATTTCTTACTAGTATCTTACGTCTTGTTGTTTCACACAATGATGCGAGTAGGACATATTTCAATCTCAGGTTTTTGTTTTAACATTGACGTCATTGACCAAGGCTACCATGGGCTACATTACGCCGGAGATCACGGGAAAATTCCCAGGCTATTTGAGCCCTTCCGCAGGCTTGAAGTTCGCAGATGTCCCGAATGGGCTCGCCGCAATTTCCAAAGTGCCCGCTGCAGGGTGGGGTCAGATCTTGGCTTACATGGCCTTCTGCGAGGTGTCCCAGGACCAGTCGGCGGGAACTCCTGCTGCAGCGGGCGACTTCGGATTCAAGGTGCTCACCGCATCCGACCCGGAGGCCAAGAAAACTAAGCTTGCAGCCGAACTTGCGAACGGTCGCCTGGCCATGATGGCGATCATCGGCATGTTCTTCCAGGAGATGTTTGTCGAATGACTTTGTGTATGCGACACAGTTTACCGGTGGGTTCCAAGAGCGTTAGGCTTCAAACCACTTTACTAACGCACTGCATGCTGTGTGGTTTTGCGGACGACATGCGTTTCTTTTTCCCTTCACCTTATTCTAGAGCCATGCCTAGCAGCTTTGTCCTATGCTGGAGCTGAGTGATGTCAGTGCTATGATTTGCGAGTCATTGTGCTCGACCTCATCTCTTTGTGTGTGTTTGTGTTTTGTTTGTTGCGTATTCAACAATACCCAGAAAGAGCATTGTCTTTAGCTACTTTATGAACTCCTTCAATGTATGCAGGAGTATGAAGTGGTCCGGATGAGTCTCGTAAATCGAAACAGACATCTCATAAACGTATTGTGAATGTGGAATCAGAACAAACAGCATTGGTCAAACAAGTATCAGGGCTTGAAAACACACATCTTTACATAGTTTTATTATGACGTTGTCTATGTCGAATCATAACTGTCACCGTTGTGGTTTTGCTATTGGTTTTTATGGGGTACTCTTTGGGGTGCATGCAGGATGGCCTGACTGGCAGCGCCTGGGGTGATTGGGCGAACTACACGGCTTCGCCTCTGCGAGCGGCAAGGGAGATGTGAGGCAGGGCTGTCGTTCTGGCAGATCTTGTGAAGCGAAGCGATAGCCGACTCAGCTTTGTAACCCAGCGGCTTGCAGCCCATGCATACTCCATACAAATGATTTTCTGGGCATGAGGTGCTGTAATTATTGATTTCCCGAGTCAGTTGCTGGTGACCGGATGAATACACCCCTGTACATTAATGTGGGGTGCGGGGCCCTCCAAAAGTTGTCTGAATCCCCACTAAAACCAGTTGGACAACCCCTACTAGAATCTGTTTTTGTGTTTGAAACAAACTCCGGGGTTGTCATGACAGCGCCTACATCGCTGCCATTCTCTGCCGAACCAGGAAACAAAGAGTTGCATCCACCTATGGATGAAATGCATCCGTTGGTACGCGCAGGCCGAGGATGAGTTTGGCAAGTGGACCGGACTCGGGCTGAAAAGAGAGGTGTCTTTAGGCTTGGTACGCAAGGCATGCGCTGGAAGTCAATGCGAGGCAATGATTTCAAGTGGAAGGATCTGGTGTGTGTACTAGAATTGGGCCACCTTTTTGGATTAAACAGGGTTTGAAGGGAGTCCAAAATCAACCATTTGGAGAGAGGTTTGTCTGGAATGCATTTGTTCCACATGTGGCACACCCACACACACACACACATGTTATGTTGAGGGCTGTTCAAGAAAGAATGGTGCAATGTCAAGGCTGTTGAGGAGTCTTACGCTGTTTGGGGCGAATCCGGGTGGTGCTCCTGTTTCCACTCGCTGAGTGGTTGTTTTGCTCAGGTTGCTCAAGGCACACTGTTGGAGTTGTCATTTACAATTTGAGTTTGCAATTCAAAGGAAAAATATGCCCCCTAACAAGGGCTATTAGTATACAATTAAAAGTACATGGAATGATGTGGCTTTTCAATTTTTGGCCTGAACGAGCATATTTATTAATCCACCGCGAATTGCTGCAGTGATTGTGGAATTTCCTTTGTTGCGAGAGACTGTACAAAGTGGCAGTCCGGGCCTCAGTACGTGGACGTGTCAGGGGCTTTTTGACTTTGCGCAAGATGCGGTGATTTTCGCAATGGGCATTGCCTCGTAGTCGCGGATGCGACTTGCATTTCGGCATGTCGGCATGCGACTCGCCGTGTTCTCAGGTCGCATGGCGGGACATCAGACAGGAATCGATCTGAGGTAGTTCGGGAGCCCAGTTGGGTGAACTTGCTTCAACACAAATGAGGAGTGACAGTAAGGACCACTTACATCAAGTCGATTCTCAACGCCCTAAGTAGCACTAAGAACATTTCTTAGGCGAGGCGAATCCTCCCTCAGAGGGTTGTTTCTTCTTTTGGTTGCCTCAGACTAGCTAAAAGAAACCAAGGGGCGTTGAGGCCAACACTGGTATCATCATAGCTCAACAGATAGAAGGTCTGCTCAAGCCCTGGGTTTAAGATTTCTCCTCCGTTCACAGCATTCCCACAAGGCTTTGCCTAGTTCTTTGTTTTCGAGCGTTGTTTTTGGGTTGTTCTCTAGTTCGAAACTTGCTTATTGCCAAAGATTTGGGGGATGCGAACATCAACAAGCTATACTTCAATATCAACAAACACTTGTTTCGTTAAAAAGCCCACATGTTATGCCTAAGCGGAAGGAGGGGGGGTTAGTTAGCAGGTTTGCAAGTTAACAATCACCAGTTTAAGCCCACACCACACCCACACTAAAGAAATCCTAAGGAAACCTTAAGCTCGCCTTACACCAACACTAAGCCAACTGAACCCAACCTAAGCCCCTACCAATCCTAAAGCCACCCAGCGCCAGACATTGATTTCAGGTGTTAGCACGCGGGTATACATCAAAGCTCGTTAGGCCCTATATAGTATGTTGGTTTTCCCGTTCCTTTCAACCAACTTGAAAAGGGCACCAAGCCCTCAAACGCGCCCAAAAACACGTCATGCAGCTTTCCCGAAGGCCCCTGGATCAGCCTCGGAAGCGTCGCTCTATGCGGCGCTCTCAGGACTCTTAGGGCTTCGGGAGCGTAAATTCCAGGGGAGGATATCTGGGGGACCAAGGGGGCTGCGAAGGAAACGGACGGGGCAAACGTTGACCAACAGCCATTTGTCTCGGTGCTGAAATCATGACCATTGCAATAGAGACAGATGTGCCAGTGAAAAGCTTGCTGCCTGAAGAATATCGCTAGGCGCATGTTGAGACGTGATTGCTTTGCTTCCTGAAATTTTGTCGGCCTGCGATCAGAGCATTAATTATGACTTGTTTGTGGAATGCCGTTCTAATCCGCCGACAGAAAGCATCCCGAGATGCGATTTCAGGGCCTTTTGGAGCCTTGTATGTCAATTCTTGTCACCGCCGTCAGCCTACGTTATCCCAACCATTGTGTTTGTGTGGCGGGCCATTCAGAAGGGGCATCCTTTTCCAGCAAGCAAATGGAAGATGTGTTCATTTGGGGTCCCACCGCGACCGCTATCTCATGCGATGGTTTGACAAAGGGATGCACGTGTCTTCCCCTGCCTCTGAAGCAGAGAGCCTCCAGAGGAAGTGGGCAGAGGACCGTCGGCCAAGAAGCTTCGTTTGGGGGCCCTGGCGTCGGCCAAACGGGCCCCTCGAGAGGGAACGATGCTTATGTGAAAAGGCCACGCCATGGGCCAGGCGTTCCTCAAAATGGGCGTGCCTTTGATGGCGGCGCGGAGGGTCCCCATTCGCACGAAAAAACCGAGCCACCTGCTCGAACTCGGACCAGCTCCCTTTGGCTCTCTTTCCCTTCAACCCCCCGCCGAAAAAGAAAACGTGGAAGCATATCAAAAAAAGAACTCTGAAAGACCCCTGAAAGACCAGGATACCCTCAAAGACCCCTTGGCCTCGAACCGCCACAAGGCCGCCTTCCCGCACGAGCGGATGGCGCAGCTGCTCTCCCAGGTTCCGCCTGTGGGCGCTCGAGCGCACAAAGCTTTCGCGGTTGTTTGTTGTTGTTGGGGTTGTTTGTTTGTGAGTCTTTTTGTGTTTGTTTTGTTTTTTGTTTTCTTCTTCTTCATTTCTTGTGTTTGTTTTGTTTGTGTTGTTTTGTGTTTGTTTTGTCAGTTTTTTTTTTTGCTTGTTTTGCTTGCTTGTTCTGTTTGTTTTGCTTGCTTGTTTTGTTTGTTTGTTTGTTTGTTTGACTTTTACTATTATTTTCTGTTTGTTTATTTTGCTTTTTTTTTTTGTTTGTTTTGCTTGAATGTTTGTTTGTTTGTTTGTTTGTTTTGTATGTTTTTTGTTTTTGTTTGTTTGTTTGTTTTATTTGTTTTGTTTTGTTTGTGTGGTTTGTACGGGTATGGGTCAAAATTAAACCACCAGGACATGGACCGCAGGTTGTAGTCCATGTTTCCATCTACCAGGGTTCCATTTTGGGCACGTATTTTGACCCACAGCCATACCAGAAGCTGGGGCTCTTCCGCCCGTTGGCGAGATTTTGGGTATGAATTAAGTTGGGACATGAAAATTCCTGGCGGGGTATGGAATCGAGGCAGTTGGACCTGGCCCTAATGTCTACTTGTTTCCACGACCGTGGTAGACATAATCTGGCGGTAAAGGAGGCACTGGGCGCCTTGCGTGCGAGACATCTTCGAGCCCCAAAGCCGGGTTCATGGGCGGCGCATGTTGTTGCCCAAGAGGCAAAGTCTGCCCTTCTACGAATTATCTGCTTTTTTTTTTTGTTGTTGTTGTTTGATTTGGTGTTTGTTTGTTTTTGTTTTCACATCACTGCTGTGATACGTTGCATGTGCGGGAAGGAGCCGTTCTTGCTCGGGATGTTTGCCGCATGCAGAATCAAACTCCAGTTAAGAAGGGCCTGCAACGTGGCTTGCTGTTTGAGTAGTTGGGCTACACCCTCCGTTTTGGGCAGTGTTGCTTGTTCTGCATGGTTGGTTCCCTAACAACCTCCAACTCACCAACGTGTTGACCGGGCAAACCACGACCCAAACAAGAAGCTACCCACAAGGGGAAACGGGGATTTGATCTTCCAGGTACCCTCGCACAGGTGCCATGTTAGTGGGAGGCAGGGTTGTTTTTACAAAGTGGCTACGTGGCCGCCTTTCCCATTTGACTACTGGGGTGATACGAAGGCTTGACCTGACTTGTTTTGAAGAAACTCAGTTGGGGAGACAGCATACGATGCTGTTGTCGAACATATGATGTTTGTACCTTGGGGATGATTGGGCGAAATACAAGGCCCTCTGGCCGAATCTTACAATCCCAACTGCACGGCTTGCAGCCCATCCAAAATGTCCTGTTTCTGGGTACAGAGTGCTCTGTGGAAGTTTCAAGTCACAGTGCGGGGCGGGGCCACGCGGTACACAATGTGCTGCATTCGATACGCGCCCGTGGCGAAATTTGGCGGCGCCGGACTCCCGAAAAAGAGTCGCTGAGGCGTGTTCAGGCTGGCAACCGTTGCCGGAAAGCAAGAGGATGGCGTCATGCACTGGAAGTCACCCGCATTGCGAGCAATGATTTTCACGTCTCGGCTCAGAGAAGTAAGGGTACCAGCTTTGTACAGCCTGTAGAGATATTTTCCTGCCCTAGCGCTTCTATTTTATTTACCAACTTTTTGTAAAAGATGCTTGGCCTGATTGTTCACAAAGATTGTGCAGCTTTGCATTATCTTTCGTGACGGTTGGCAGTGCCACTGCGCTTGTGCTGAGGATGGCCTCCGCATCCCGAACCACTATTGCCTCGGCTGCCGCAGGCATTGACTGCAAGGGGGTCACAAAAGAAAGCTTGTTGATTGCTGGTGCTTTTTGTTTGGGGTCCTGCATGGCCTCTTAGAGTCGCTGAATGTTGGTGATAGTGACTCAGACTGGCTCCCCTTTTATGCATCTGAATCACTATACTGTTCGACGCTGCGGATCTTTGGCTTGTAAGGGGGCCAGTGCGAGTTTCAGCTGGGTAGGTCTATGCTCAATGCTAGTCTTTCTTCGAACACACCACTTTAGAGTGTCCGTAAAGATGGCACAAGTGGGCCTGATCTTGGCAAGGCGACTTGCGATTTGCGTTACCTGGTGCCTGAGAGGTGTCGCACTCTTCGGCGGAGCAGCTTTCGTGTCTGCGCCTACCACACGGACTGGGAACCTTCGAGTCAGGCTCTCAGCTGAATTGCTTTGTACTTTGTGGTGGAGAGTTCACTCACTCATGGACTTGTTTTTCTGGAAAGATGCCAATTGAATAATATAGCCATCGATTACATTTGGTTTATGAATTGCAATATGTTTGATGCCTTTTTTGTATTTCCTAATGTTCCTCCCAAATATATTCCTAGACTAAGCTTTATTTTCTGGAAGTGTTACACCTTCCCTTTTCTGTAGCAAAAAACACAATACGATATGCTGCTCCCTTGGATACTATCAATTTCATTTGCTTGAATCTGTTGCTCAAGGATTGTTTTTGCCAAGTCGTTCCAATGCTTCTTTCCAAAGCAGAAGGGGAATAACCGATTGAAATGAACACTGGTTGAACAGAACGGAAATCAACCCGTAGAGGTTGCCTGTGGCACACCGAGCTTTGGTGGCTTTTGGATGTGAGCTGACTCCAAGGCAAGCGTGTCCGCAGCAACTCCTGCCTCCGCTCCAGTGTCTGGACTGGAGGCGCCTCCAGTTGTCAGATGAGCGACCGTGGCTACAGAGTTGAATGATTGGAATACTTTCCAGCAAGGCAGACGGACATAATCCATAACTGCATTTATGTAACTTGATGTCCACCAGAACGATTTGACTATCTGCTCGCCAGGCGAGCACCGCCATGGCGGTGGCGGGCACGGCGATCGCGGCCTTTGCCAGCCGCAAGGTCTGGAGCTTAGGTTTCGGTTTCAGTGGGGTCGAATGGCGACCCTTTGTATCTCACCAGCCGGAGCTTCATTGGAATGTGTGTCATCGCGCCAGAACATGTTGCTTTGGGGTTGAATCACGGCTGAATACTCAAGTTGTGTTGTTGGCGCATGCATCACCCAAAAAAACAGACACAATCAACATGTTCATTCAAGTCTGAGGAGAAGGCGAGTGTGCAATTGAACACGTTGCATTTGTGAAGCGTCCAAGGCCAGTGCAGCCAATGGGAAGCACCAGCTGGTGCGCTCCTTAACCTAAGGAGAAGCCAAGCCTGACATACCAGCCGCACTTCCTCATTCTTCCAGTTATCCTCTTGCTCAAACCATGGCCCAGTTTTCGGGAATCAAGCAAATGACGGGTGAAGGAATGGGGCTGATGCCTTGAGAGACATGCCAAGCTCAACACATTCCTATGCAGGTCGCTTTGACGGCCTTCGAGAACGAGCTTGGTGTGCAGGCGCCAGTTGGATTTTGGGATCCCGCTGGGTTTACAGCAGACGGCAGCACCGAGAACTTTGCGCGAAGGCGCCAGACGGAGTTGAAGCATGGCAGGATTTCCATGCTCGATGCTTGGTCAGCACGGGTAACCTTCTCATCGTTTCTTTTTTATTTTCCGGCATGATGGCAATCGAGCGCATGTGCTCTTTTCCAGGTTGAATTCAAACGTTGACCCAGGCAACCATGGGCTACATTACGCCGGAGATCACGGGAAAATTCCCGGGCTATTTGAGCCCTTCCGCAGGCTTGAAGTTCGCAGATGTCCCGAATGGGCTCGCCGCAATTTCCAAAGTGCCCGCTGCAGGGTGGGGTCAGATCTTGGCTTACATGGCCTTCTGCGAGGTGTCCCAGGACCAGTCGGCGGGAACTCCTGCTGCAGCGGGTGACTTCGGATTCAAGGTGCTCACCGCATCCGACCCGGAAGCCAAGAAAACTAAGCTTGCAGCCGAACTTGCGAACGGTCGCCTGGCCATGATGGCCATCATCGGAATGTTCTTCCAGGAGATGCTTGTCGAATGATTGTGGGTATGCGACACAGTTTACCGGTGGGTTCCAAGAGCGTCAGGCTTCTAACCACTTTACGGATGCACTGCATAGTGTGATTCATCGTGGACGACAAACTTGAAACATTGTGTTCGGTGTGTTTGCCTCTTTGTGCTTGAGTTTGTTTGCACCAACCACCGCAAGCCAAAGTCAAGTGAACAGTAAGATGCATGGCGCCTTTGTTTGAATCAGCGCATAAGTTGAATCACTGTGCAGTGCAATGCTGATTGCCATTGATTTGTTTGGATCCTCAGGCGTTCTAAGCCTTTACGGCACGATGCGCATGTGCTTAGTGCATGTTGGTCTTAGTCTTTACGTCAAGTACACACACACATACATGTATGTATACCATATATGTACAGATATATATTATATATATATATATGTATATGTATACACATACACGTGGAAACGTATCTTGGTGCTAGGCAAACACTTGTGCTTGTGCAGGACGGCTTGACTGGCAGCGCCTGGGGTGACTGGGCCAACTACACTGCTTCCCCTCTGCGAGCTTTCGAGAACGAGCTCGGTGTGCAGGCGCCAGTTGGATTTTGGGATCCCGCTGGGTTTACCGCGGATGGCAGCACCGAGAACTTTGCGCGCAGGCGCCAGACGGAGTTGAAGCATGGCCGAATCTCCATGCTCGCGACTTGATCAACGGTTGGTAACGTCTTACCAATATCTTAGGTCTTGTTGTTTCACAACAATGATGTGAGTGGAACATATTTCTATATCAGGTTTTGGTTTAAGCATTGACATCATTGACCAAGGCTACCATGGGCTACATTACGCCGGAGATCACCGGCAAATTTCCGGGCTATTTGAGCCCTTCCGCAGGTTTGAAGTTCGCAGATGTCCCGAATGGGCTCGCCGCAATTTCCAAAGTGCCCGCTGCAGGGTGGGGTCAGATCTTGGCTTACATGGCCTTCTGCGAGGTGTCCCAGGACCAGTCGGCGGGAACTCCTGCTGCAGCGGGTGATTTCGGATTCAAGGTGCTCACCGCATCCGACCCGGAGGCCAAGAAAACTAAGCTTGCAGCCGAACTTGCGAACGGTCGCCTGGCCATGATGGCCATCATCGGCATGTTCTTCCAGGAGATGCCTGTCGAACGACTTTGTGTGTGCGATGCAGTTTCCCGGTGGGTTCCAAGAGTGTTAGGCTTCAAACCACTTTACGGATGCACTGCATATTGTGGTTCATTACACGACAACTGTGAACTTTGTGTTCGGCGTGTTTGCCTCTTTGTGCTTGAGTTTGTTTGCACCAACCACCGCAAGCCAAAGTCAAGTGAAGAGTGAGATGCATGGCGCCTTTGTCATCTCAATCAGTATACTTTGTAACACTGTGCAGTGCAATGCTGATTGCCATTGATTTGTCTGGATCCTTAGGCGTTCTAAGCCTTTACGGCACGATGCGCATGTGCCTAGTGCATGTTGGTCTTAGTCTTACGTTAAATACACACACATACATGTATGTATACCATATATATATATACATATATATATATATATATATAAAGTACACGTGGAAGCGTATCTCGGTGCTAGGCAAACACTTGTGCTTGTGCAGGACGGCTTGACTGGCAGCGCCTGGGGTGACTGGGCCAACTACACTGCTTCCCCTCTGCGAGCTTTCGAGAACGAGCTCGGTGTGCAGGCGCCAGTTGGATTTTGGGATCCCGCTGGGTTTACCGCGGATGGCAGCACCGAGAACTTTGCGCGCAGGCGCCAGACGGAGTTGAAGCATGGCCGAATCTCCATGCTCGCGACTTGATTAACGGTTGGTAACGTCTTACCAATATCTTAGGTCTTGTTGTTTCACAACAATGATGTGAGTGGAACATATTTCTATATCAGGTTTTGGTTTAAGCATTGACATCATTGACCAAGGCTACCATGGGCTACATTACGCCGGAGATCACCGGCAAATTTCCGGGCTATTTGAGCCCTTCCGCAGGTTTGAAGTTCGCAGATGTCCCGAATGGGCTCGCCGCAATTTCCAAAGTGCCCGCTGCAGGGTGGGGTCAGATCTTGGCTTACATGGCCTTCTGCGAGGTGTCCCAGGACCAGTCGGCGGGAACTCCTGCTGCAGCGGGTGACTTCGGATTCAAGGTGCTCACCGCATCCGACCCGGAGGCCAAGAAAACTAAGCTTGCAGCCGAACTTGCGAACGGTCGCCTGGCCATGATGGCCATCATCGGAATGTTCTTCCAGGAGATGCTTGTCGAACGACTTTGTGTGTGCGATGCAGTTTCCCGGTGGGTTCCAAGAGTGTTAGGCTTCAAACCACTTTACGGATGCACTGCATATTGTGGTTCATTGCACGACAACTGTGAACTTTGTGTTCGGCGTGTTTGCCTCTTTGTGCTTGAGTTTGTTTGCACCAACCACCGCAAGCCAAAGTCAAGTGAAGAGTGAGATGCATGGCGCCTTTGTCATCTCAATCAGTATACTTTGTAACACTGTGCAGTGCAATGCTGATTGCCATTGATTTGTCTGGATCCTTAGGCGTTCTAAGCCTTTACGGCACGATGCGCATGTGCCTAGTGCATGTTGGTCTTAGTCTTTACGTTAAATACACACACATACATGTATGTATACCATATATATATATATATATATACACATATATATATATAAAGTACACGTGGAAGCGTATCTCGGTGCTAGGCAAACACTTGTGCTTGTGCAGGACGGCTTGACTGGCAGCGCCTGGGGTGACTGGGCCAACTACACTGCTTCCCCTCTGCGAGCTTTCGAGAACGAGCTCGGTGTGCAGGCGCCAGTTGGATTTTGGGATCCCGCTGGGTTTACCGCGGATGGCAGCACCGAGAACTTTGCGCGCAGGCGCCAGACGGAGTTGAAGCATGGCCGAATCTCCATGCTTGCGACTTGATCAACGGTTGGTAACGTCTTACCAATATTTTAGGTCTTGTTGTTTCACAACAATGATGTGAGTAGAACATATGTCTATCTCAGGGTTTGGTTTAAGCATTGACATCATTGACCAAGGCTACCATGGGCTACATTACGCCGGAGATCACCGGCAAATTTCCGGGCTATTTGAGCCCTTCCGCAGGCTTGAAGTTCGCAGATGTCCCGAATGGGCTCGCGGCAATTTCCAAAGTGCCCGCTGCAGGGTGGGGTCAGATCTTGGCTTACATGGCCTTCTGCGAGGTGTCCCAGGACCAGTCGGCGGGAACTCCTGCTGCAGCGGGTGACTTCGGATTCAAGGTGCTCACCGCATCCGACCCGGAGGCCAAGAAAACTAAGCTTGCCGCCGAACTTGCGAACGGTCGCCTGGCCATGATGGCCATCATCGGAATGTTCTTTCAGGCGATGTGGGCTAATAACTTTGTGCATGCTCATGTTGCTTGCGGAGTCAAAGCTGGTGAGGATAACAACCGCATCATACATATACAGCGTGCAGTTGTAACATGGATATACAACTATATATGTATGTATTCATAGACACACGCACACAGCGTGTTCAGTCCTAGGTGGAGATGCCTGTTTCATGTTTTTGTACTGTGCCAGATGTTGCCCTGCTTGTAAGCCCAGTCGCAAAGACAAGACAGATGATCGGCCTTCACTTTGTTTGAATCGGGGCAAAGTTTCAGCGTAGTTCGGAGAATCTTTCGCGCTTGGACTGGTATGACTTGTGAATCAGCAGAGTTCCTTGATCTTCGGAGCATGAACGAGCTTAGTGCATCATATATAGCATCATAGTGCATCATCGTGCGCCATAATTAGTGCATTCAAGTCATCTCAGCGTTTCAGTGCTAGTTGAAACCATGCGAAGGATGGCTTGACTGGCAGCGCCTGGGGTGACTGGGCCAACTACACTGCTTCCCCTCTGCGAGCTTTCGAGAACGAGCTCGGTGTGCAGGCGCCAGTTGGATTTTGGGATCCCGCTGGGTTTACCGCGGATGGCAGCACCGAGAACTTTGCGCGCAGGCGCCAGACGGAGTTGAAGCATGGCCGAATCTCCATGCTCGCGACTTGATTAACGGTTGGTAACGTCTTACCAATATCTTAGGTCTTGTTGTTTCACAACAATGATGTGAGTGGAACATATTTCTATATCAGGTTTTGGTTTAAGCATTGACATCATTGACCAAGGCTACCATGGGCTACATTACGCCGGAGATCACCGGCAAATTTCCGGGCTATTTGAGCCCTTCCGCAGGCTTGAAGTTCGCAGATGTCCCGAATGGGCTCGCGGCAATTTCCAAAGTGCCCGCTGCAGGGTGGGGTCAGATCTTGGCTTACATGGCCTTCTGCGAGGTGTCCCAGGACCAGTCGGCGGGAACTCCTGCTGCAGCGGGTGACTTCGGATTCAAGGTGCTCACCGCATCCGACCCGGAGGCCAAGAAAACTAAGCTTGCAGCCGAACTTGCGAACGGTCGCCTGGCCATGATGGCCATCATCGGAATGTTCTTCCAGGAGATGCTTGTCGAACGACTTTGTGTGTGCGATGCAGTTTCCCGGTGGGTTCCAAGAGTGTTAGGCTTCAAACCTCTTACGGATTCACTGCATGCTGTGTTGTTTTGCGGACGACATGTGTTACTTTTTCCCTTCACCTCATTTTAGAGCCATGCCCAGCAGCTTTGTCCTATGCTGGAGCTGACTGATGTCCGACGTCATATTTGTGCGCGTTTTTTTTCTTCTTCTTTATTTTTTTTTGTGTGTGTGTATTCAAATATCCAGAAGAACATGGTCTTTAGCTACTTTATGACTCCTTCAACGTATGCAAAAGTATGAATCGATCCTGATGGGTTTTCAGGGTTTCTCTTAAACAGTTCTCGTAAACTGAAACAAACAGCTCATAAACAAATGTTGAATTTGAAAGCAGAAAAAAACAGCATTGGCCAAGCAAGTATGAGGGCTTCAAAAAGCACATCTTTGCATATATCTATGTCGAAACACTGTCACCGTTAAGGTTTTGCTGTACCCAGCAGACATATTCCAAGCACATTTGTTTCACACGCATACTCTAACCTTGCTTTTATGGGATACTTGGGGTGACAGGACGGCCTGACTGGCAGCGCCTGGGGTGATTGGGCGAACTACACGGCTTCGCCTCTGAGAGCGGAGCGCAAGATGTGAGGCAGGGCTATCGTTTGGGCAATGAGGCGATCGCCGAGTCAGCTTATACCAACGGGTTGCAGCCCAAATGCATTTGTTTATTCATATGCGGGTGGCCCCCCAAAAGTGGTTTGAATCAAGCCAGTTGGACACCCCACTATCAAGAAACTGTTTGTTTTTCTTTTAAATCCGGGGTTGCCATGACAGCAGTTGCACCCATGGATGAAATGCATCCGCGGGTACGCCAGGCCGAGGACGAGTTTGGCAAGTGGACCGGACTCGGGCGGAAAAAAGAGAGTCGCTCAGGGTTTTGGTACGCGAGCAGGCGCATGCACTGGAAGTCACCATACCTACATACCTACCTACCTACCTACTTACCTACCTACATACATACATACATACTTTCCACACATATACCAGAAGCAGAACGTGAAAGCTGCATAGGTGCACAGATTTAGAGTGTTCACTTGTCTCAGCTCAGAGGGGCAGGGTGCCGTGTGCACCCTGTAAAATCTGCTGGTCCTAGGAGTCCTAGGAGTCCTAGCGCCTTTGTTTTAGCTTTTGTTTGATAAACAAATAAAGATTCAACAAAAAAAGACATGTCAATCAACAAAAGACAGAATGTCAAGTGGAAGGATCTAGGGAAAACCCCACATTAGGGCCTTTTGTGGATTGGGGTTTGAAGAGAGAGTCTAAAATCAATCAGTTGGAGAGGGTTTTCGCATGTAACGCTTGCATGTTGAGGGCTGTTCGCGAAAGAACAGTGCAATGTGAAGGCTGTTGAAGGAGTCTTATGATGTTTAGGGCAAGAATCCAGGTGGGGCTCATGTTTGCAACTAGCTGTATCCAGGCACAACGTAGCAAGCTGTTCTGTTTCATGTTTGAGTAGGAATATGTAATGTTGAGACCCAACGCGTTGGCAGCCATGCTCGCACAACCCAAAGTCAGCAGGCTTTGTTGGCTGGTCACTTAATGTGGAGAATTCGCCAATGTAGATCCCATGCAGTGCAGATATTCATTTGCGGGCGCCCGCCTCTCGCCAAGTAGGCGATTCGAAACAAGGGCCAAGACACGTGTAGCAAGGGACGGGGGTTGACCAAGTGAGAACACAAGACAACAACGATCATCCCATCTCGAGACATTCCACCAGGACATCGGGGTGCAGCTTGGGGTCAGCGGCGCCGGGCGGCAGCCCTTAAACATGTGTTGCCAAGAAAACGTTTTTTCTTATGCAACCTGCTAGCAACACAACAAGTAACCGCTTGTAAGTATCTTCTGTTGTGTGTTTAGGGGGACTCCTTTGGACCAAAGAAATATGTTTCTAGCATTGCTTAGCATGCCCGCAAATTCGCGATTGTCCGTGGGGGTCTTGCTGGGCGAGTAAGACTTGTGACAGGGCGTCCCTGGTGTCGACCCCGTCACTGCCCATGGACCGTTGTAGTTTTGCAGGTGTGGTTAGCAATGCTAGAAACAAATCCCGGGGTGTGTTTATGGCGGGCAGTGAGGTTCCCTTTAACATGGAATACCAGTAGAGCTGTCGAAGCCGTTTGGTGGAAGTTTCAAAAACATAAGAACTATAGTGACTTTTTTCGTCTTCCTTCTTTCTGCTTTCTTTGGTCCTTCATTCCATTCTGTATTTCCTTCCTTCCTTCCCTTCCATCCTCCTTTCCTTGTTTGTTTTTCTTTCTTTCTTTCTTTCTTTATTTTTGTTTCTCCTTTGTCCTTCCTTCCATTCTTTCTTTGCTTCCTTCCTTCCCTTCCTTCCTTCCTTCCTTCCTTCCTTCCTTCCTTCCTTCACTTCCTTCCCTTCCTTCCTTCCCTTCCTTCCCTTCCTTCCTTCCCTTCCTTCCCTTCCTTCCTTCCTTCCTTCCCTTCCTTCCTTCCCTTCCTTCCTTCCCTTCCTTCCTACCCTTCCTTCCTTCCTTTTCTTTCTGTTCTTTCTGTTCTTTCTGTTCTTTCTTTCTTTCTTTCTTTCTTTCTTTCTTTCTTTCTTTTCTTTCTTTCTTTCTTTCTTTCTTTCTTTCTTTCTTTCTTTCTTTCTTTCTCTCTCTTTTCCTTCTCTTTCTTTGTTCGTTCTTCCTATTTACATATCGATCTGTCTATTTGCCTACCTATCTATGATATCATTTTTCACCTATCAATTTGTCTGTGTTTCGTTCGCTCCGTTTCTCTCGCTTTCCACCAATGGGCTGCCTACAATGGCCAGCACCTTAATATGCTTGTCTCGTTGCGCCAGCTGCGGTGCCGGCCAGGTTCTTATGATGTGATGTGACTTGCGTGCGTCCGCCCGGGAACAAACGATGACGCACAAACCCAACAGGCAGTTCTCTTTCCGTAGGCCAACCTGTCTACCTATCGATGTCCATCTACTTTTTTATTTATGTATCTACCAACCTACTAATTACTAGCACCTACTTATCTATGTATCCATTTGTTCATTTGGTCTACTTCTTTTTTTTTTTATCTCTCGATCTGTTTGTCTATCTATCAGTTTATATGTCTATTTTTCCATCTATCTATCTACCTTTCTCTCGATCTGTCTATCTCTTTCTTTCGCGCTCCATTTGTCGACCTAATGTATTGATTTGCATTTCTATGTATCTAGATATCTATTCATCTACTTACCTCTCTATCTATCTATGAAATCTATTGGTTTCTCTAGCTGTCGCTGTCTCTCTTTCTCTCTTTCTCCCTCTCTCTACCTACCTGTTTATCTATCTATCTAGCTATCTAGCTATCTAGCTAGCTAGCTATCTAGCTAGCTAGCTATCTAGCTATCTAGCTATCTAGCTATCTCTCTGTCATCAGTCTGTCTATCTATCTACGATCTAGTCTATCTACCTCTCTACTTATCTATCTAATCTGTTGATCTTTCTCTCGCTCTCTATCTCGCTCTCTATCAATTTAATTTTTGTATCTATCCATCTGTCTATCTATCTACCTATCTATCTATCTATCTGCTATCTGTCGATCTATCCATCTATCTATCTATCTATCTATCTATCTATCTATCTATCTATATATCTGCTATTTGTCGATCTATCTATGTATCCATTTATCTATCTGTCTTGCTATTTAGCTATGTGTCTACCTACCTATTCAATTTGATTATCAGACAATTTCTTCCGTCTAATCTGTTTCCTATCTATCTTTCTGTCTATCTAATCCTTTCCATCTACCCATCCATGTATGTATCTATCCACCTACTAGAGCCCACTTGTCTATGTATGCATTATCCATCCAATTACGTTTCTCAGTCTGTCCATTCATTTATCTCTGTTTCCATCTATCGATCTATGTATCCATCTATTTATCTATCTATCGAATCTATTGAGCTGTCTGTCTATGTGTCTATCTATTGAATGTATTGATCTCTTTTTTTTTTTTCTTTCTCTATCTATGTGTCTATCTATCTATCTATCTATCTACCTATCTATCTATCTATCTATCTTTCTACCTCTCTATCTCTCTAGCTTTTCTTTTTTTCTATCTACCGTTCTCTCTAGTTTTTTTTTTATATATCCATTTATCTATCAATCGACCTAATCTATCTATCTATCTATCTATCTATGTATCTATCCATCTATCTATCTATCTATCTATTTACTAGTCTAATCTATTTATCTATCTACTTATCTAATCTATTTATCTACCTATCTATCTTTCTAGCTATTTGCCGATCTATTAATCTATCTATCTATCTATCTATCAATCAATCTATCTATCTATCTATCTATTTATCTATCCCTCTATCTATGTACCTATCTGTTTCTGTATCTATCTATTTCACTACCTCCCTAGCTGTGCATGTACCTCTCTATTTAGTCTGTTTTCTTTCTGTGTGTCTATTTGGTGTAACTACTTAACTATTTGTCTCGTCAACTTTATCTATCTATCGTTCTATCTGTATAACTAATCCATTTACCTTTGTATCTATCTCTCTATCCCTTTATTTGCTGCGCCCCGATGTCCTTTTGGAATGTCTCGCAATTCGATGGTGGCGCTTTTTATTTTGTGGGTCTGTGTGTGATTTGGCAGGTGGCTTCTGCTTCGGATGGCAGCTGGATTTTGTAGAAGCGGCGTTTTGATCTGGTAGCTGTTTAGGTATGCAGTGGTCACATAATGTACGAGTTAGACTGTCTTTTGGAGGCTGCAGTTTGATCTGATTTCGTACGCGGCCTTTGCACTTCTTGTAGCTGTTTCAGCAAGTATCGGCTGCGTTGTGCAGGCGTTGGACATTTACAAGGAGGTGGCGTTTTGGCTTGGCAGGTGGCTGCTTTGCGGCTGGCATTTGATTGATTTTATCAGCGGAATTTTCACTTGTGCAGCTTTTTGGGCAAACAGTGGCTGCATGAAGTGGGAGCTGGACTTTCATTTGGAGGTGGCGCTTTGATTTTGCAGGCGGCTTTTGTTTAGCAGTTGGCATTTGTATTTAGCAGTTGGCCTTTTCATTTGCAATTGGCATGATTTGTGCGTTTGGGCGAAGCAGAGGTACAGGAGTTGGGCTTTCAGTTGGGGGTGGCGCTTTTTGTTTGGTGAGGCTTTGATATGGCAGGTGGCTTTTGCTTTCGCAGTTGGCATTGTGACTTTGTACGTGGCATTTGGCATTTTGACTTTGTACGTGGCATTTTGATTTGGGAACCGTTTTGGCTAAGCCGGGGGTACACAATGCAGGAGTTGGAGTTTCAGTTGGGGGTGGCTCTCTTTGTTTGGTGGGGTTGGAGATGGCGCTCTGTTTTTGCAGTTGGCCTTTTGCTTTTGTATGTGGCAATTTGATTTGGGAGCTGTTTTGGCTAAGCTGGGGTTACATCATGCAGGAGTTGGACTTTCAGTTGAAGGTTTCTTTTGTTGATTCGGCAGGTGGCAAGCCTATGCAGTTGGTATTTTGATTTGGTAAGTGGCATTCTGATTCGGGAGCCGTTGTGGCTAGGCAGGGGTTACATTTTGCAGGCGTGTTGGGGGGCGGCGCTTTTTTCCCTGCATGGACACAACTGTCTAAGAAGCGCCTGACGCAGATGATGCTGGATGATGATGATGCTGCTGACGATGCTGATGATTATGATCATGATAATGATGATGGATGATGATGAATGATGATGATGATCATAATGATGATGATGAAGCTGATGATGCTGATGACAATGATGATGACGATGACGATGACGATGACGATGACGATGACGATGATGAATGATGATGATGATGATGATGATGATGATGATGATCATAATGATGATGATGATGAAGCTGATGATGCTGATGACAATGATGATGATGACGATGACGATGACGATGATGATGACGATGATGAATGATGATGATGATGATGATGATGATGATGATGATGATGATGATGATGATGATGATGATGATGATGATGATGATGATGATGATGATGATGATGATGATGATGATGATGATGATGATGATGATGAGATGATGATGATGATGATGATGATGATGATGATGATGATGATGATGATGGATGATGATGATGATGATGCATGATGATGGTGATGATGATAATGATGAATGATGATGATGATGATGATGATGATGATGATGATGATGAATGATGATGATGATGATGATGATGATGATGATGATGATGATGATGATGATGATGATGATGATGATGACGCTGATGATGATGATGATGATGGTGATGATGATGATGATGATGATCATCACGATGATGCTAAGCATTGTTAATAGTTTGCTAGCGACACATAGCATGAAACACATGTGGTCATATTTGGCTCAAGTAACACATTCCCCGTAGCTAGGGTTCAATTCCCTGGGTACGGATAAAGAGCATCGAGACTGCGGCTTCCCAGCGGGGCATTGCATTCATCTGGGAACGGTATAGGCGGTACCATTGGGGCATCAAGTTGATTGTCAGGTTTGTAGGAAGCTTATCCCACATGCTGTGAGACCAGGGGTTATCACCACCGATTCAGCCTCATATAGCCCAAGGGCTTGCGTGACAACGTCCCATGGCCAATTACATGGCGGCTCCCGCCATTGGTAACACTGGGACCAGCCGGTCATGGAAGCGGAGACACCGCGAGCAAGCAAAGCAAAGTGATGCAGGCGTAGACACGGCCACGGAAGCAAGGGCTTCTTCTCGCTCTAGGACGCCATCTGATGATGGTGAAGAACACGGGGCTCAAAGCCGAAATTCCTGAAGAGGGGGCAAGTCCACTGCTTGAGAATTATTCGATGAAGAGTTGCGAAGACAACAGAATGAATGCACTCAGATCTGATGAGGCTGGGAGCTTACGACGGATCACAGGATTGGAAAGAATGAAACGTACCCATAAGTTGCAGACTTGCCGGGTGTGGAGACTCCGACAGTAAAGCTTGGTCCCGAGCTGGCGTGTGTGAGATGAGGCTGAACAGGGGAAGGGCGCAGGAGGACGGTGGCAGGGTGTACAACAATGCGATGATCAGTTTCAGGAACTGCGTGTGATGAACAAGATGCCTGACGACAGGTGGTATGGGCAACCCGTGAGGACCTGCCCGTCGAATTGTACTCCGGCATAATTCATGTATCGCTACTTCATGTCCCATGGAGTCATATATTTTGCCACACCGGAGAGTGCCAGGCAGAACGTCTCCGCGTTTGTCTGTTTTCAGGGGGACCCCCCTTCCGAACACATACATTGCTTTCTGCTTGGTTCCCGTTTAAAACAAGCTTTGGAAGGGCATATCCCATCAAAAGCAAGACACCCTTGTAAATACGCGCGACAAGCAAAACCGCGTTTGGTCTGGTCCTGTCTGTGCGCATCGAGCGCGTGGAGCCGCATCAACACGTTTTCTTTTGGGGGAGATGTTTGACGGGAAGCTCAAGAAACTCTGTCTTGTGTGCCTTCCGTTGCTTTGGGGAGTCTTGTGTTGCTGAAGCAAACCGGCTGGGACCCGCTCGATTCCGGTTCCCCGGTGCAACCTCCACCAGTGCTGTTGAAGCCTTCACGACAGCCGCCGGAGGCTGTTGCTCAAATGTCACCGGTCCGCTAGTTTTCGCGACTTGCAACTCGCCATGATGCGACATGCGCGAGCCCCAGCTGAGATGCTTTCAATGAAAGCAAACGAAACTTAAGGGTAGCCAGAGACAAACCTAAAAAAGAAATCGTTTGTTTGAATTTTTAAGTTTTTGTTAAAAGAATCTTTCCACACCAGATTTTGGTTATGACTCATTTGGCAATGCACTCCCGACGCACAGGGCCATCCTGGTTCTGTGTCCCCAAAAAAGCCCAAGGCCTTATTCAGGCCCTGCTTCAACCGCGGGGAGGTTTGGGATACGAACTGTGGAATGATGACGTCTGCTTTTGGTGTCTCGTCTCTATTCGTAAACCCCAACACGGGTTCGCAGCCTCCCTTTAACCACCAACTTAAACAATGACGTCCATATTGCTCATACTTAAGCAGCACTCTGCTTGCCAATTGACAGTTGGCCTCCTTGAAGAGTTTGCTTTGAGCATATGTAGAGAAGGAACGAACGAGTGGTTTCCCTTTGATTTGGTTTCCCGTGGATGGATTTTAAGACCCTCAAAAAAGGCATGCTTATCTTCCACGAAGGTTTTGGAGATTCGGTTTCGATCAAGGTCCGACAATCCTGGCACAAAAAGACAGCCGCCAACTAGAGCCTCTTTTTGTTTGAGTGAGCCATAGCCATGACCAGATGGGAGCTTTGACCGTGGCAAGCAGAACGGCAACCCTTGAGAACGATGCGGGGGCGCGCGAGCAGGTGTGAGAATGACTTGATCCCCAGGGCGGGCTTTATTTTTTTCCAATGGCTTCTCTTTAGGCCCACCTTGCAAAAGAGTACGACCTCCACAAAAGTGCGCTCGGCCCTGAGTTCAACCCCAAAACCTCTCTCCCCTCCCCTCACTTCCTGAGCACTTCTGAGTTCATGGACTTTGGAAATTGGGGCTTGGAGCATTTTAGTTCATTACTTTTTCTGGCCAAGCCACAACCTGTAACCCAGCCCTGACGCGGTTTTGAGGCCCACCTTTTCCTACCGTCAAGTCATCTTTCCTTTCCAAGTTCCAGATTCTTTTCCAATTGTCTTCTCCACCTTTTCCGCCTTTTTTGTCCTCCTTTTCCTTCTCTTCTGCTTTTGAGTTCAGCCCCAACCCCCCCCCCCCCCCCCGCCCTCTCCCCCTCTCCCCGGCAGTGAGGCCCAGCTCCGGCGGCTCCCGGCGGCCGCAATGCGGCGCCTTGGGCCGCCGCCGGCGCCAGCTGCGCCGAAGCGCAGCTTCGGCGTCGCCGGGGAGGCGGCCTCCGCCACAGGCCGGGGGGGGGGGGGGGGGCAACTCAAGCGGTAAGTATTAAGGTCAAGGGCCATTCTCACCAACGTCACACACCTTCGAAACAACTCAGGACACCATCTTCTTTGCTTTGTGTGTTTGTTGTCCCGAGTCCGGTGCGCAAAAAAAAGAGCACGCCTTGCCAGAACTCAAACTTGTGTTGGCCTGTTTTGCTCAGTATTATCAACGGGTCAGCTCATGCCTTTGGAGGCTCTTTCTTCTTGTGGGACGACTGTCCCCGCCAACATTTCATCTCAGTCTGATTTATGGCTGACACATATAGGCGAACTATGTTTTTCACCGAAACCGGGGCCCGTTACGGGGATTCTCTCCATCTGGAAAGAACTGAGTTTCATCGGGCCATTTCAAAGTGAGTATACTTTGGGTCATTTTTTGGAATGGACACAATCAAGAACCTCAGGCGCCTGCAGGGTTTCTGGATGGGTGGAGGTGGGTTGGGGTTTCATTGTGGCTAAGTTCGAACAAATGTCCAAGAAGGCAGGGGATGCAACCCTGATATTTCTAGTGTCCACCAAAGAGACCTTGTTTTTTTTTTCCCCCTTCTCCTTCTCTTTTCTTTTCACACGCTGCTCATGTGTGAGTTCCGCGTTTGCCGCGTTGTTTTTTTTTTTTGGCGGGGTCCTATACACGCTCGAGCGAGGTGAATTTTTTCGCCGGTTCCAAGGCTTTGGAGGCCTTGAAAAACCCCTTTGGAGCCCGGGGTCCCAAGAGCTCGCCGACTTCTCTAAGGCCTTCCGATGTGTGTTTTTCCTTTGGATTGGGAGAGCATGTTGGGAACCAGCTGAAAGCTGCATGCAAATGGAAGGTAAGTTTTGGTAGGGGGAGTGATATGTGCATTGGAGAGAGTAGCTCCCGGCAAGGCCAGTCTCAAGCGGCGTCTCGACTGCCAGGTTCCAAGAAGCCAGTTCCGCTGGAGCAGGTGATGCCCCGAGACGGCTCCCGGGAAGATTTGAAGTTGCTGCCTAGCAGCCCCGACTGCCTGAAGCCCCTCGGCACTTCGATTTATTCTTTGGTGTTTGCTTGGATGTTAGGACTTTGACTTTTTGCCAACTAATGGGTTTTCCCATTACACCACTAAAAGTTAAACTTTCAGCAGGGGAGCAGAAAGCAGCCGATTGACCAGCTAAAAGCACCCCCAGCCTTCGACGGAAAGCAAGGAAGCTGGTTTGCAAACTTGGTTTCCCTTCAAGCCAGCCTGAAAACGGTACCCTCAAAGTAAGACACCCCGGTTTCTGGAGTGTGAACGTTTGCACTGCAGATGTTGATTCATTTGGATCCGTGCTCAGGGCAGGCTTGGGCGAAGTCTGTTTGAAGATCCAGCTTCTGGTCCACTCGTGAGAGACGCCAAAAGGAGGTGGTTGAAACATAGTGGTTTAAACAGGCTGGAACAAGCGGAAGGCCTTTGTCTCACCAAGCCCGTTTCGGTTGCTGGAGATCTTATAGTTTCACGTTCCTCTTGGTTTTCGGAAGATTCAACAAATGGAATTGGTTCCTTCCCACCCCTGATTGTGGTGTCCTTGAGGTAAGGGAGGGCGAGTGCGGGTTGCGGGGGAGGTTCAACCCTATGATGTTCCGCCACCCCAAGTCTAAGTCTTAAAGTGAACATGTTGAGGGGTTCTCCAAATTGCCTTTGGGGATGGTCTTTCTTTAAACCAACATTTGAAAGATCATGTTGAGGATGTCACTTCAATCGACCTCGCCTGCACGTCCCAGGTTGCATGTGAAGTCTCTCGCGGACATCTCTCTGGAGGAAGCTCACGAATTCGTGTTCATGATGAACCGGCGCCTTTCGAACAAGCCCGGTTTTTACTGAACTGCGGAAGGCTTTCTCGGTCCCAGCTGTGCGGTTCCTTCAGAGTTTGGGTTGGGTTTCCCTTCAACCCACTAAAGTGATGTTTTCCCCGCTTTTGGGTGTCTTTTAAATCTGCAGAAGGAATCATGCTTCCGTGAAGTTTTTGAGTATTTTCCCCAAGAAACTCGAACATTGCCTGATCTTAGGCCTGCATTTTTTTTTAAATGATAGTGTGCCTTCACACCAGACTGGGAAAGAGTGAACCAGTTTTGACACTTATTATTTCCCTTCAATCCAACAACAAAACAAATGTCAACGTTCCACAGATTCATGGTGATTCACGGTTCCCCCTCGAGTTTAGCTTAATTTAGCTTTTTGGTGCGACGCGAACTTAGTTCAAGCTGTTGTCTTTTAAGAAAACGATGGAGGCTTTCCATCAAGCTGTTTCGGCCTTTGAGCCTTTGGTGATGCGCACAGCTCGCAACGCGGGCTTTCTACTTTTGGGACTGCGTAGCCAACTCAGACACAGTTGGCAACGCGTCTGGACCAATTTGGAAGCCAAGTTTCCTGGATTCCTTTTCGCTTCTCTTTACTCAGTTGTTCAAAGCGAATCGACCTTTTGACCTTTTGGTTTTCCCTTGTTGGTCTATATTTAGTAGAGGTCCCAAAAGGTGATCACCTTTTATAAACATGTCCTTTGGGCAACTGAGTTTAGCTCAAGAAAGGTCCCAGGCCTCTCAACTCTGCGGCTTCCATTTGTTGCGCGTCTTCTGGGAATATTTGAAGTTCTCAAAGCGGCAAAACAACCAAGCCACAAAACCTGACCTACAAAAGCACGGGACCTACAAACAGTACGTTTTCTTTTTGTTTTTGGAAGGACCTACAAAAGAAAAAAAGTGGTCGCAGGCCGCGCCGGCCGACCGACCGACCGACCGACCGACTTTTCGGCCAAGCGAAGAGCCGAAGGTACGGTGCAGTAGTCCTGGCGCCGCAGACGGAGTCGGATCCCTTGGCCGTGTACCAGACGATGGACCGCTGGTTCGGGCGCTGTGTGCCTCATGACTCGATGAATGAGCATGGCAGCGCGGCGCATCTGATGCGTGGCACGTGGTTCTGGAGGCTCCCTTCTTGGATGGTCCAAAGCAAAAACCGTCCCACCGGACTAAATTGGTTCAAACCCAAAAAGTATGGGTATGTCTATTTTGAGGGTACTCTTTTTTGGAGGGCTTTAGAAGGAAGCCAAAAGGAAGCTCCATGTTGGAGGCTCCGATTCCATTTTTGGAGCCAAACCCACGTGTGTTTCTGACGGTGCCCGTGGCTGGCTTAAAGTCAGGCTGCTTGAACTTTGGATTTGAACCCGTTCTTGAGGGCAAATCGGAAGCCTCCTATCCTCCAAGCCGCCGAGCCCCCAATCCAAGCACCCAGTTAGGGGCCATCCAAACCTGGGCAGATGAACCGCCGAGCCCCCGATCCAAAAGCGCGATTGGAACCCGGGTAGATTAAGGGTGAGGGAGAGTTCCCCTTGCTATATGGCTATGAATTTTAAAAGGAACCCTTGGACATCATTCACATGATTCATGTCCACCAATTACTTTGCCCAGACGCTCCCGGTTTATTTGGGGCCCTCAAACAGCCAGGTTTTGAGACCCCAAAACCCTTTTGGGGTGTCCAATGGAGGGCCTGGGTCTTCCATTGGAAGCCGAAGCCAGGAGCGTCTGGGTGAGGTGGTTCCCTATTAAGATTCATGGCCAAAAAAGTTTGCGCCAGAAGCCGCCCGTTTGGCTCCTTGCCGAATTCGGGTTCGGGTTGGATCGTTTTCAAACCAAGTCCGATCGGTCTTGAGTGTGACTCACCTGGGTTATGTGGTCCCTTGGGAGTGGTCCAAAGAGGGTTTCCGGGCTCCTGAAACGTTTCGGAGCCCGTTTCGGGAACCCTCAGGAACGATAGGTTTGAGTCTGACTCAGCCAAAGGACAGCACCCAAAGGACGCATTTCTCCACGGTTTCCTTTCCCCCCCAAGGGCCCAAGGGGCGCCGGGCAGCCGCAAAAGAGAACAAGCACCATGTTGTCCAATCGATCCTCGCGCCTTTTTGGGTTGTCCCTTTAAAAACACCAAAAGTTTGGGGTACCCCAAACAAGGCATCCCCCCCAAAAAAAACCAAAAACAATATTGATTTTCCTTTGGGTGTTCCTTGAACAGTTCCCCAACAGTTGGGAGGTCTGCCGCCCCCAAAAACAAAAAAAGGAAAAGACGGCCCACTCCGTCCCACGCCCTTCCTCTCTGCCGGCGTCGTTTTGTGTCTCTCGTCTCTCTGAGGCATCCCTCCCCCAAAAAAAGAGAGAGACGCCCCGTCCCACGTCTCTCTGAGGGATTTGGGTTGCCGACGCTGAGGCATCGTGGAGATCAATCCGGCGAAGCCCACCAGCATCAACACGGCGAACCCCCGCAAGGAGCACCTGCCCCACACCGACGACGCCTACACGGACAGCCCGGCGGCGCCCCTCGGACGGAGGATCGATGTGTTCCTCGTTTTTCGTTTCACTTTGGCGAGAAAGGCGAGGACCGCGTTCAACAAGGGGAAGGTCGCACCCGATCTTCAGGTGCTCAAATCTCATGTGGAGACAAACCCACATTCAGACCCTTTGAGACTCTTCTATTTTGGGGAGGGAGGGCAGTTTTGCTAGCTTGTGGAGGGTTGACTTTGCACTTAACCGGCAGCGACAACTGACCTTCAGTTGTTTCCTTGATTTCATTCAGAAGGTGACTTTGATAGTTGCAAAATGCGGCCAGGGCTATTTCGGGGATGTGTCTGCCACAGCAGGTGGGTCTGAGAGCAGTTCGTTTGGGAACCTCTCAGGAGTCAATCTGGGTCACAAGTTACAGTACCCCTGGTCTTCCTGTGGGTTTCCCAATCTGTAGCCTGATCTCTGTCCTTGGGCCGCGCCGGAGGTTGTGTGCTCATTTTTGCTTCGAACAAAACAAGCAGCTTTTGGAAAAGGAGCACCGTTGGTTTCCTTGGGAAGGTTTCCTTTTGGTTGGACAAAGACATGTGCTGCTTGGTTTGCATACGGGAACCAAATGGCAACCGGAACGGTGCAACCCTGGCAGGTTTCAAGCCTTGGCGAGTGGTTTGTACCAAGTTTGCCTTCTTCCCCGTGCAATGAGAATGTAAAATTGGGAATGTAGACTTTGTAGAAACCATACGGGAATGTCTGAATGCAGTGGAAGGTCTACGTTCCCCTCGCAACATTTCGGACATTTCCCCTGTATATTTCGGGAATGTACAAGGTTGAGAACAAGTAAAAAAACCTCCGGACGCCACTTTTCCGAACCCACCAGAAGTAGATCCCTAAACGCTTCCTCCAAGCATAGCGCCTGGCACCGTCGAAGGGAGGATTAGCCACGCCTAAACTGCCGATCTTGGCATGTTCAGTAGGTGGGTTTGCCTGTTTTGGGGGTTTGCCAACAGAAATCTTTAGGACCATGTTGGTAGAACCAACGCTCAATGGGTGAAGCATGCGCTGCTTATGTTGGGGGCAACTTAGTGTTTAGTAGCCCTGGTTGCCCACTTAGTTGACTTCGGGTTACTGACCATGAAGGCACGACTTGCTCCAAAAGTGGTTATCTCCCCAAATTGTTGGGTGGATTTATTTTGGAAGGGTGGATGCACATGTTTCTTCAAGAGCTAGCTGGACGTTTTTCAGGAAAGCAACAAGGGAAAGTCTATAAGACACCCCGTGACCTCAGCCTTACACCCGCATAACCTTATGCGCCTTATGCCTCCCAAACCAAGGACCATATGAGCCTTATCAACGTTATAACTGGTGCCCCCTTATACTGCAAATGAACTTAGAACCCCAAAGGGCTGGGGATGGGGTTCCATGTTCATTTGGGTTCTAGGTTCCAGTACCGTTGTTGGCATGCTTTTAGGTTTTCGAGTTTTTTTGGTTCTGTTCATGTTTAGTAGGGCGACTGATTCCGTTTTTTTGTTTTGTTTGAAATCACGCCTGGGGGGGGGTTGGAAATCACACCTGGGGGGTCCTGTTCCTGTTCTTTTTTGAAATCCCGCCAGCTCCGGTCCTTTGCTCTTTGGAATCACTTATTGTGAAATCACGCCGGGGGGTTCCCAGATTTTTTTTGGTAGAATCGCGCCTGGGGGGGGGGGGGTTTCTCTTCTTATTTTTTTTTTTTTTTAAATCACGCTGTTTTTTGGGAAAATCGGGGGTCCCGTTTTTGGATTTTTCCCCAACAGCTGAAAGCTTTGGGGTCTCAGCCCAGATAGGGTCCGGGGTGGTCCGGGGCGGCCCCCGATCGGGCCCCGATTGCGCCGTCGGGCCCCGATCAGGGCGCGATTGCGCTGTCACTCTTAGCTTTTCTTTACAAAGTTACAACGCGGCATCCTCAGCAAAACCGGTCGCGGGGCGTTCCGCGAGGATTCTGGGAGGGTGTGGTGCTGTTGGGGCAATCGCCTGAGCTTATTTTTACACGTCCGAGGGGTCCCGGTGTTGAAATCACGCCAGGGGGTGGGGGGGGTCCCGGTGTTTCCTTTCAAAAAAACATGCCTGGGGGGTCCCGGTGCTTTAAACAGTCAGCTTTTCTTTTCGGCAAGCCACACCAAGGGTTGGAAGGATAGGGCTTGTGATTTTGGCCCATTCTAGTGGTAAATAAATATATTTGTCGTTTTCCTGGCCAATCCACTCGATCGGAAGCATAGGTGTCCTTTTTGGTTGTTTTGGTGGAAAATAGATGGCCCCTGTATTATCTGATGGTTTAATCATCTACCAGGGAAACCCATCTATTTCCCCTAAAAGGACACCTGTTCGGAAGCGAGTAATTGACCAGGTACCCAAAATGGAACCCTGGTAAATGGAGGCAAAGGCTAAAATCTGCGGTCAGGTAGTTTAAAAAATTCGAGCCACGCCTAAGTGAGTAACTGGTGGCCGGTCGTCTCGGCCGAGGTTTTGCACTTTGCAGTGCCGGCAGAGCGCCCCTAGCGGCGGGGAGTCCGTGCTGGTCTCCGGCGCGGAGCTTGTAGCCTCCCTCTCCAACGAGGAGCGTCCGTGTTCGGCCGGGCTCCGTGTTCGGGGGATTGGTTGGATTCCCCCTCCCATTCTGAACCCCATATGTTTGCCATTCTGAGAAATCAAACCCGAAATTGGGCATAGGTCGAAATGAAACTACCTAGGGACCCCAGGTTTTTGTCTTTGTTTCCATTTACCAGGGTTCCATTCCGGGTTCCTATTTTTGACCCACGCCCAATTCAGGTGGAGGGGTCTTCTTTTTTTCAGATCATGGAACATTTTCCCCTGGTTTGAAAGGGAATCTATGACTACTGTTTTCCAGACGTATTCGCCACAAATGGCACGCATTTCCTTTTGGCGCCCCTTCAAAACCGGGTGTTTCCGCAAAAATGCACATCTTTGTGGCGGAGCCAAAGGGAAAACCACCACGTTGGGTTCTGACTTCAACCCCCCAAAACCAGTCAAAATCATCACCCTCGAAACACATCCAGAATCAAAAGCAAAGACAGTTATCATCTTCGGGGCCCCTTAGACTCACTTCCTCAGTTCCTGCACTTACGTATTTTTTTGGGCATACCATTTTGGTTGGACTGGTTGGGAAGACCATTTTGGTTTTTGGGAAGACCATTTTGGGAAGCAACAAACAAATAAACAACTTTGGACTTGGATTGGCAATTTGGCCCGTCCAGTCAGGCGCTGAGCAAACGAAGACGACTGCTTTCCCCAACCAAACGTGGGACTTGGACAGTCTGAGGAGCTGCGGACCTTGATGCAGCCGGGCATGGTCTCCATGGCACGCAGACCGGCGGCGGACGGCAGCTGGATGAAGGTGAGCTCCATCCCCATGCGACTCGACTCGATTGGGCGCGGGCACGGCACTCGGTGGGTCAACCCCTGGTGTCCTTTTTGGTTTTAGTGGGAAAAAGTCATTTTTTTCTCTTTTCCATCTAAAAAGACACCTTTGTAGGTCAACCTCTGGCAAGCACGAGATGCGAAGAAAAGTAAGCCCCACGAGAGATGGCAAGGACTCGATCGATGTGGTCCCGACCTCTGGTGCTCCACCAAAAAGAACAAAGTAAGCCTCTTGAGGAATTGATCTTCCAGGTAGCCTCTCACTGCCTTCTGTTCGTGGGAAAGCTAATGCTGGGATACAAACACAAACTGTTCCATAGGTCAACCACTGGTGCTCGACATGCAAGAAAGTCAGCCCCACCAAGCAAAAGGAGGGCAAGCACGGTACTTGGGTCAATACAAAGGCATCACGGATGGTTGCGAAATCCGTTCAAAAGGAGGCACCACGAAATGAGTCATGGTTGAAACCATACTTGGTTGGCAAATACGGGGGAATGAAATCAGAAAACAGGGTTTCTGAGCTGTGGTGCGAACGGAGTTCGTCCATCCACAGTATGAAAGGGAAGCCATGCTTGATTATTTTTCTAAGGGAAAGAGGAAAGGGCCCTTAACCGCCAAACCACCTATGCAGACAGCCAATTAAAGGCAAGCTGATCCTCGGAATCGGAGATTTGGGTGTCTTCTTTCGAGGCTCGGTAGCTCTTTTTGATTGCTGGGTTTAAGGGCGAAAGGAAAGACCCCATTTTGGACAGATGTCGTTTTTGCGGGTGCCCCTTTTTAATTTCGGTGCGGTCTCCTATTTTATGGCGCATATCTCACTGCCACAAGGGACTCCCAAAGTGGTTGGTTTACGTTTGGTTCCCTTTTCTAAGCCACTCAAAAGAAGAGTTCTCAAGTGCAAAGCTAAACAACACCCCGAGGGCGGGGCAGATGTGTTTTGCTGACGGACGGACCCCGCCGGCCTCCCCGCAAGCGGACAAGCGCTTGGCAAAGAAAACCAGCGAAATCACCGAATACTCCCCAAGCACTGCTCGAACCTTCTCAAATCCAAATTTGCGGCCAATTCGTCCAACCTTCCCATTTCATATTTGTGTTCCAGTCCATGCAAACTATTTTCAGGAAGGGTCCATGGCACCGGAGAGGGTCAATGGCTACATTCAGACTCAGGCGGCTTGGATAGTACTGTGCACCCGGGAAAATAAGACTCCCCTGGTTCATTCATGAAGGTTCTCGAACCATGGTTGAAACCATAAGGTTTGTTGATAGTTGCAGGCGAATCACCGTTGCGGGGAATCATTATCATTCCAGGGCTCTTAGGTGGTGGATTTCACAGAACATCCGGATCACTTTTCCCTTTGACGAAGCTACGTGCAGGCGAGAAAGCGGTCCCTTGGGCAGGGAGTCGCACGGTGCGAAGATTTCACTTTGTGGTTTAAGTCCGAAGCAAAGAAAGCTTCGCGTTTCCTTTCTTGTTTTGTTTTCTTCTTCTCCTTTTTTCTTCTTCTTATATTTCTTATTGACACTTTGTCGGCGTTTTGTTGTGCCGGCCATTTGGCGGGTTCTTCATTGTCGAGAAACTCGGGGCCCCTCCAAATGGCTGCGTTTTGTTGGGTTTACCTTTGAAAGCAGCAAAAAGGGGATTCCCCTGCTTTGAGACGGTGCGCATCTTTTGCTCGGCACAGGATGTTGGCTGTGAGCAGGGTTGGAGTTCAAAGTTCAAGCAAGCAGCGACCAGATCCCGGAAAAAGGGTGGCAGAAAGTAGGTCGTTTAAACCATAGTGGTTTCAATAGGCCATACTGAACAACACCTTATCCTCGCCATAATATCCCCTTAAAAACCAGTGGTTCCCTTTGCCATGTTCAATCGAAGGGCTGTTTCGCTGTCGCCTCGAGTCTCTTGGCACAACCCCAACCCAGCGGCATCCGGAGCCGAGGCTACCCGCGCTCGAGTCGAGCCGAGCGGCTGAGGTTCTGGGTGGACAAGGACTCCGGGTGGCTCCAGGTGCGCTGGCGCTGTAACGACGGATGCGTGGGGGAAGTGAACCCCGAGGCCCGGGCGGCTTCGGGCGGCTTCGGGTGTTCGGGTTTCGGGTTTCGGCTTGCGGCGCGGGTTCGGCTTTCGGCGGCAACAGAGCGGCCAAGGGACTCCTTGAAGGTCGCTTTGGGGTGAAGTCGTTTTGGGGTGAAGTCGTTTTGGGGTGAAGTCGATTAGTACGCCATATTTTGTCGGGTTCACGCAGGGTCTTGAAATAGGTGTTGCTGGGTGTCTTAAGATTGGAACCAGATGCCACAATGCTGGGTTTTCAGAGCCTTCTCACCTCGAGAACCCAGGTTTTCTTTTTTTTGGGGAAACCGCCATCAACTTTGGGGCCAACTTCTCTGTGGACCAGATGAGAACGACTTTTCCCAAACCCCTAACCTGGAACATTCCCTGGAAGAGGGTAAATTTCTTTGCCAAGAGGGATCATTGAGATCACTAGACTTGTCACCCCCCTTTCTTCCTGTTGCATCGGTGGGTTCCCTTTTCCCTTTCAAGGAATCAACCCCAAAAGGAGGTGTCCCTTTCTTAGCCGCCGGCGAAGCGCACGCTCGGCCAGTTAAAACAAATCTTAGGTAGCCCTTTTGATGTGTTCTTAAGATGGTTATCCCAAAGGGTCCCTTGTTGACCCCTACTCGCATGTTCAACCAACTTAGTAAGTAGGTGATAGCCTTGCTTATAAGGTCGCCACCCCAGTTACAAGCATGGTTATAACCTCCTTGTAAAGTGGTTGAACACCCAAGCACCTTTTTCACATTTTCCACCAGGCCAAACGAGAACTCCCACTTCGGGAGTTCTGTTCAGGTGAAACATGCAAGGGATAAAATAATCACGGTACTTTTCCTTTGCGTCGGTTAACAGGGGTGGTCATCGACTTGGTAGTAATGATCCTTCATAGCCATCATATTGATTCCTATCAAGGGAACCACGACCATAGGCCATAAGGAGTTTTGACCATACATAATAACTCCTGATTGGTAGCGCTCAACACTCGATGCAGCACATCTTGGAACAGCACCCTCAGTTTCCTTTGTGGCTGAACGAGAAGAACTACCCTGGAACTGAACGTGCAAAGTCAGATGGTTTTCTGGTTTCCATGTTAGTCTGTAGCCAACGATTGAAAACGGCCTAAGAAAGGGACACCTTTGAGCTAAGCAGGAAAAAACCCAAATGGCAGCTGATTGAGAGGATCTCCTTGCAAAGTAGGTGAGCTTTGATCCTTCAAGGAACCGTCATGAACAGGTTTGTCGTGGTGGTTTGAAGCAAGCCTGCCCTTGGCATGACCCGGGGGATAGGCGGGTGCCCAATTCTTGTCTTTGGTTGCTCTCGTTGTCTCTGTATCGGTATCTTCCTCTCCCTTCATTTATTTTCGCATTTCTTTTTTTTCTTCTGCAGTTCTCATCATTTTTTGTTCTTCTTGTCTCTTCTCTTCTGTTCTCTTCTCTTATCTTCTCTTCTCTTCTCTTGTCCTCTCCTTTCTTCTCCTCTCTTCTCTTCTCTCCTTCTTTTGTGTTTCCTTTTCTATTCTATTCTCATCTTCGCCGTTTCTGTCCTTTACTTTTCTTTCCCGTTCCTTCTGTATGTTGTTTCGCTTTCATTTTCTGATGTTTCCGTTTTTTTTTCATTTTTCTTTTTTGTTTAAAGAAATGATGTGTGTGTGTGTGTGTGTGTGCGGTTTCTTTATGTTCTGCTTTGTTGCTTTTGTTCCGCTCTTTTATATTTTGTTCTTTCTTGCTTGCTGCTTTCTTGCTGTTTTCTTTCTCGCAACCTATTGGTGTCTCGAACAGAGTCGATCGGCTCCTTTCCATTTTGAACAGACTGATGTCTTCCTTCCAGGTTTCTGAGCCGCAAAAAAGGCACCATCATAGAATGAACATCAGATTTGCCAGCTGATTTGGAGGATCTCTTGGTGAAACTTGCGATGTTATGATGTATCTTATGGTCTTATGGGTGCTCCAAAATGAGGAACTCATGATCCAGCAGAAAAGGCGAGCCAATGAGTTAGTTTTTGCTGCTTTTGGTGTTTTGACAATTTGGAAGGGTCTGCTGGCTGTGGCTCAAAAAACCGGTATTCCAAAATGGCTTGCCCTGGTAAGTGGGTAAACATGGGTACCAAAACCTGCGGTTTGCCCCTCCGATCGTTTAATTTTGAGCCACCGCCTGCCTGGATGATCCAACAGCCCTCTCTGCCCGTAGCCCCGGCCTTTGAGGCGAAGCCCAGCTACGAGCAGATGGACGCGGTGGCGCGGCATGAAGTGCATCAGCGCCTCGGTAAGGAGGGAGGTCTCTTCTCCCCCAGAATTAGTTCCCTTTTTAATTTTTTGCTTTTTTGGTGTTCCCTTTGTTTTCCACTAACTGGCAAACATTTTTTTTTTGCCGGAGTCCTAATTCCAGCCAAGTCTTGAGGTCCGGTGATCTCGAGGAAAAGAAAGGCGCCGGCGGCTTTCTGGTTTCTTTCTGTTTTTTTGTGGGTAGAAGGGGCGGAAAAAAGGAGCCCAGGTGAAGCGCCGGCGGCTTTCTTGTTTCTTTTCCTCTTTTTTTTTGGTAGAAGGGGCGGAAAAAAGGAGCCCGGGTGAAAGAATGGAGCTGTTTCCTTCAAAAAAACCCGAGCATCCCTATTTATACAGATATGTGCATGGTTTGATTTGTTGGTGGTTGGATTCAGCTCGAAGTTTGAGGTTAGAATGGAATTTTCAGCAGCATGTGCTCAATTTGAGAGGGACATAGGGATCCCGGCCATTGTGGGGCTCCATTTCCATGTTAGGAAAGAACAACCCCACATCACCTTCAGGAGCCGGGAAACCATCAACCAAGGAAGAGCCAAGAAACGGTATTTTTTCACCCCACCCGCCTCAACCTCAACCTTTTCAGTTGGGGCTCCGTTTTTCTCCCTCCAAGATTGCGTCGTTTTCCGCTTTACATGCTTGGGATCCCTCTACAGGAACCGTGTTTGTCTATCAGACATCCATTCTTTTCAACCCCTCAGATTCTATTCTTCACCCTCCGCCTTGTGTTTTTTTCTTTTTCTATCGACCTTGTTCTTGTCACCCACGAGTCTGCCTTGTTTCACACCGGTCGACCTTGTTTTTGTCACCCTCGGCCCGGGTTAAACCAGCCCTACACCAACCCTAGGCCAACAAACACCCACCCGAAACCCGACCTAACACGACCCTAAACCCACCCTAAACCCACCCCAAACCAACCCTAGGCCCGCCCCAAGCCAAACCTAACCAACACTAAGTATCTTTGATTCAACCTTAAACCAACCATAGACACCCTTTACCAGCCCTGAACCCATTCTACACCAACCTCAAACCAACCATAAATCACGCACAACGAACCCTAAACAAATCTGTAAACATCTCTTTTCCAACCCTACACTCACCCTAAGCCAAGCCACCCTAAATCAACACTACACCAACCCTACACCAACCCTACACCCATCACAAACCTGTTCGAAATCACCCTAGACCATACATAAACCTACCTGTAATCCACCCTAAACTAACCTAAACTAGCTCTCCCTACACCCTAAACCAAAAGCCGACAAGCCAACACTAAACCCACCCTAAACCAAAAACCATTCGTACACAAATATTAGTTGATCAAACCCTGCCTTAATCCAACTCTAAGCCCAACCTAAACCAGCACAAACCCACCCTGAACCAACTCACCGACCCAAGACTAACCCAAAACCACTAAAGCGACCCCAAGCCAACTAAACTAAACCCCGCCAACCGTTCTTTGCCCTGTGCTTTTCACGGCTTTTGAATCCGCAGTTCTCCGGCTTTTGAATCCTAGACCCCAATCCAACCCGAGTCCCACCTGAAACCAATCTTCAATCGCACCGAACCCAACCCTGAACCGATTCTAAACCCACCCTTACCGCCCCTGAAGCCACCCCTGAAGCCACCCTAAACCAACCCGAAGCCATCCGAAACCCACCGTAGACTCATGCCAAACCCAGCTTTAACCAATCCTGAACCACCCTAATCTTAGTCCAAAGCCCACCGAAAAACAAAATCTATATCAACCTTGCCCCAAACCTAAACCCACCAGAAGCAACCGTCCTAAATCCAACCTAAACCCACCCTAGACCTGCTACCTAAAAACAACCCAAGCCCACCACGGGCCCATTTCACAACAAACTTAAGCCGACAATAAGCCCACCCTGTACCAACCATAAACCCAACCCCACCCTAAAGGACCTTAAATCCAACTCAAAACAAACAAACAACATATCCTGAACACACCCTGAGCCGAATCACCCTAAACCGCCCTTAAGCGACCCTAAGCCCCAACCACCCTAGACAAACCGTAAACCATCAAACCAACCATAAACCCACCGTAAACCCTAAATCTACTCTAACCCCACCGCGAATCAACCCTAAACCCACTGTGAATTAACCTTAATCTAACCCTGCATTTTTAGTCAACTTTAAACCCACTCAAAACACTCTTCAAACCGTTCCTAAGCCAACGCTAAACCTTGTTCTACTACTCAAGCACGAAACTTGTCCTTCATGTTTCTTTTAACATGTGCAGAAGCTGAACTCGAACACTTATTGTTTGTCTCAAACGAAAGGTGCACGCTTGGGCTCTCTTAGCATTAAGTTTCCTGCTATGCACATCGTTTGAAGGACTAGCTTCAGGCCCCACCATGGACGCCGTCGCCTTCAGTGTTGAACATCAGCCTTGCGCCTATAGGGCTGCTTTTTTGATCATGAATTGTCAACAACAATCAACATTCCTAGCGCCCCGGGCCCCCGCTTTTTTTTGTTCCCGTACTTTGGATCTTGGATGGGAAAAAGCAGGCAAGTTGGGGGGGGGGGGTGCTGGCCATTTCCCGTACAAAACTTTGAGGCTTGTAGTGCCTTTGAATCCCGGGGAGCTCTTGGTGGTGGACAACCGCGCAATCGCGCATGGGCGCCGGCCCTACCTCTCAGAGGACATCGAGTTGGATTGATGGGAAGGGGGGTTGGATGTTGAACCCATGGTAAGTAGGTGATAACCCTTCGGGCAACTGACCTTTACTTGGAATGACCCCCACGCACTATCCCCCCTGGCTTCCTTTATTCGGGAATCGGGCGACTCAACCCGCAAACCAAAGCGATGCTCAAGGCAACCAGCTTGCTTCATTGATCCATTGATGCATGATGGTAGCTGGAGTCAGTCCCCTTACAACCATGGTCGCGACCTACTTTCTAAGTCTCTAAGTGGGTTAAACATCCAAGTAGAGTCGACCACACTTGACCGGTTCTCCAAGTGGGAACACCTGGGTATGTTTCTTTGTTGGGCTGGTTAAGTGGGTTAAACATCCAAGTAGAGTCGACCACACTTGACCGGTTCTCCAAGTGGGAACACCTGGGTATGTTTCTTTGTTGGGCTGGTTTAAAGGGACACCAAGCCGAGTCTTTCTTTGGTTTCCATCAGTTGCCTATATGGCCATGGGTCAAAACGAATGGTACCATTTTAGTTGGTAGGTGCACCACCCTTTTTAGAATCTATTTTAGTGGGGATTGGGATGTTCACTGGGGGCACGGGATTTTGACCCACACCCATATTGCTTCTTCCGGTAGCTTGAAGGGCCTTGCGGAAGACGCGGCCTTTCAGTTCGAAGAGTAGACGCGTTGTTTCTTTTGCTCCAAATTAGTTCATGTTTGAGGGGAAAACTGCAAATGAAACAGAATCTTGAAATATACTAATTCATTTTGTTCGCAGTACTCCTGAGTGCCAGGTTCCCAAGAGACTTCTGCCTCGGCATTCAACTGGATACCCCGAGACCGCGTCGGGTCCTTTCCCTCTTCAGTTTGGAACTTCATTCGGTGCGTTCCGGATTCCGGGGGGATTCCCAACAGGCTTCAGCGTGGGTTTCAACGTCACCCTTTTGGGCCAACTTCACACGAGTTTTTCTTTGTGGAAGTGTTCAGAGGGGTCATATCCTTCAATTTTCTTAGGAATATTATATATATACACACATATACGGGAACCCATCACTCATGGACAATATTTGTCCATTTTGCCAGGGGATTTGCACTGGCAAGTGGACGGATCTGAGGACCTCTGCTGCAAAGGAACCCTCTTCTCGCGGCTCGAGGGATCGATCTTTTGGGGCGCCTTGCCGGGATCCAAAGTCCTAAACCAGCCCGACCTTGCCGGAGACATGCGATGGAAACCCCCCACTAATAAACAGGGCCCCTGTTTAAAACATGGGGGTGTCCCTGGTTTTGGTGGGGACTGTTCACCTTGGGAGGGGAGCACCCCCCTATTAACCGACGGGGGTTGATTAAGAGGGGGTCAACACGAATGGAAGCCCAAAGGGTGAACCAAACCGCCTGGAAATTAACGCAGTTCTCCAAAGCCGGGCGTTTCACGTGTTCCCCTTTTAGGTCCATGTTGAGAGGGTTGACCTTCTATTTCCAGGCGCTTTGGCCAGGCGAGTTAACGGGGGGTGTCTCCTTTTGGGTTTTTGTGGTGCCGACACCCCCGTATGTTTATAGGACGGGTAGATTTAAATCCGGGGTTCCCATGGCCTGAAAGTCATTCCTTCGTTCGAGTCGTTTTCGTTTTGAGATGCCAAGCGCCAAGCGCCGAATCCGAGACGCAAAGTTCAGAGAGTCGAGCGAATCCGCGGATGCGGATCCGCGGTTTCTGGCTGGTGCGATAGGTAAGGAATGACCGAGACCGGGTGTTGGGAATGGACCGGTTTTGGGGATTCCCGAATAAAGGAAGCCACGGGGATGGTGCACGGGGGTCATTTCCTTCCTGACCCTAAACCCTAAACCCAAAGCCCCAAGCCCCAAACCCAAAGCCCCAAACCCCAAACCCTAAACCATACATGCGCGCGGTTTTTTGGCCTCTTGGGAGGATCCCCGGATCATGTGGCGGAAGAACTACGTGGGGAACGGCGAGCTGGAGGCTCAGCTCAGGACCGATTTTCCTCGGATTTGGAGTCGAATACGATGCGCAGGATTCGTTCGGTGAGAAGCCAAAGGGATGTTAGTAAAGTTGGTATAAATGAAGATGTAAAAAAGGATTTTGAGAATTTTTAAGGATTCTAAATTGTCAAAAAAGAACAAACACCCTGGGACCCCAATTTTTTCAGATCCTCCCATGGTGGCTGTGTCTGATACAAAAATAGGGGGTGCAAGGGGTTTGACGGCAAATGCGAAATTTGACCTCCCGAAGTGAACCATCCAAGTGGCGGCGTTTTTTTTTTTTTTTTTTTTTTTTTTTTTTTTTATAATCAGCAGAAGTTGGTTCATTCCCAAGCTCCTTTTGGGCTTGAGTCCTGGACAAAATTGAGAAACCTCCCCAAGAGGAGATGGGAGAATAGGCTTGTGCAATGCTCTTGCTTTTTCGGTCTCATGTGCTGAACCCTACACACAGTTGATGGGGGCAAGGGTCAATGCAAGATTCACCATCACATACCACAGTACGATTCAAACATGGTTTCTCGCCAAATGGCGATGTCAGTTGGGAACTTGATGCAATGAGTATGGAGAGTCGCTCAGACTCATGCCATGACTCCTGAGTGGAAACTCTGCCGGAATGGAAGCATTGGCGATTCGGGTTTTGTCAATTTCAGGAACTCCATCCAAGTGGGTTGGTTTCCTCTTGGCTTCCCTGTAAAACAATTCAAAGGGATGTTTTCTTCCTATAAGACATGGCCATTTTCCCAGTTGGGTACGTCTGTTTTAGGGGACACACTCAAATGCTTGTTTTGCTTTTGGTTTCCCTTTAAGACCCACAAAACAGGAGAGACAGGACATGGGCCCCCAATTTGGTGTCTGCCTGTGCCAGGACGGGCATGTGCGCGGCCTTTTCCAGCATGTTCGAGGGGCTCCACAGCATGTTCGACCCCTGGGAAATCGACGCCTCCAAATTGAAGGCGGAATGATGGCCAGGGGAATCGATCCAGAACCCGCACTCAAATACTTGCATGTCCCATGTTTAGTGGCCACAAAACATTTTTCTTTTGGTTGTTGGTCCGTTGGGCTTGGAGCGTGGCACGCTCATTTCAGCAACTGAGAGTGTTCGTAACTGCATAGCCTTTTAACATACACCTGTTGCCTTCTTCAAATAGACGGGGACTGTGGGAATGCCTTCTTGACATAAGTGCGCATGTGCCGAATTGGATGGGACGCCTTTAGGGCTGCCCGAGCAGCTCACTGTCCCATGCTCCGAGACATGGAAACTGCGAGAGAGAAGCAACACCTTTTGCAGGGCTTCTCAAAAGATGCTCCACCAGACCAAACGGTTGGGTCCAAAATCATGTCTTTAAGGTCCCTAGTAGACTCAAGGGAAACAGCAATGGCAGGTCTAATTGGACAATTATCGATTCACTCCCTGAGTTCCGTTTCGGACTTTTGTCAGCATAGAGCAGCAGTTTGGTCCAATACATTTTGTTGGCCCATCCAAGGGTCAAAACTCGACCTTGTTCTTCATACGAGACCCCTTCTTTACCAATGCCCCCGGATCCCGCCCCTTTCCATGGCTCGAAACGGGCATCTCTCGAAACCGCCCTTGAACGGAGGGCCGTTGGGCCGTTTACTTTTGCAGCCCGGGCCATACTCGGAGGGCCGGCGTCGGGTTTGAATTCGTCGGAACCAGAAGTGTCCGCTCGGACAGCTCCGACGTGGCCCCGCCAACTGCCGGCCCGGCTGCGATGCTGCGCCGCAGCGCGGGCGCGCGTTGCAACGATGCGCCGGCCCGGACTTTTCAAAGAAGCGGAGGGCTTTTGGCACATCACGTCACTCGCCGGAGAAAGACGCCGGAGGTCTGGGACGTTTTTAGGGAAGTCAGTGGTAGGGCCAGTCGCTGGAGTCTTGGAGTGTGGCCCTTTCGAGTGGGGATGTGAACATTGGGTGATGTCTTTCCTTGTACCCCTTGGATGTTTGTGAAGAGAAACCACCATTTTGAGGGTCCCCTATTTTAAGACAAACCCCGTTGTTGCTTGTATTGGTGCTTGTATTGGTGCTTGTGCAAAAACCCACGTTAAAAGTTTTCTTGGCAGTATCCTGCCGGCTGAAAGCCACGAACATGCTCAGCACTTTGACAGCGAGCCAACGCGCGCACGGATCACAGACATCGCGCGGTTCCAGTGCCACCCCACTCGGCTTGAATTATACCTCTTGCTCGAAGACGGAGGTGAACTGGCCAATTGACCTACCGTTTGGGGAACACATGAGGACCCAGCCTTTGTCGAGGAAGGAACAACCCAAGGGTCTCAAAGCAAAAAACATCCCCCCCCCCACCCTCCCCCCCCAAAAATGACCCTTGCCCGCCCCGAGAGTTGGACGAAGCCCTCCTAACGTCGTCTCTGCCCAGCGGCCGCGTCTCGGATGGCCGCGGAGCCTTCCGGCCCGGCTGAAGAGGAGGCAGCGGGTGAGGTTTGAAGCAGCCGGGGTGTTCGGTTGTCCAGTTCGATTGGAACAAAGATCAGGCTTGTGGGGTTTGGTTTGCGCCCTTTGATGTTTCAGTCGAATTGACGCTTCCCAGATTCAGCCGCACAACTCGTTTATCTTCTGCCAGACGGGTTCCAGACTGAATCGCACAAAAGATGCGACGCCCTGGACTGTTTGCAAGGAGCCATTCGAGAGTTGGAAAGGGGCCTTGCACCCTTGTCCCCTCTTGAAAAACAGGAGGCTACCCTCCCTCCCCCCAACATCGCAGCTGTTGGTTTTGGTACTTACCTGAAAACGAGGGGGGGGGGGGTAGTCCTGACAATCCGACTAGGTAATATATGCCAACAGGTAGAATTCAATTTGGCGGGGAATGTGGATATATGTTGCCTACCCCTTACACCCAATACCTTCATTTTTAAGTGTATGATGTCGACCCCGGGTACATGGATGGTTTGGGGATCGACTACCCTCCTGGAAGTCTGGAAGATCACGTTCCTGGAAGGACCCGTTTTTGGTGTCATGTCGCGGGAGAGAGGCTTCAAAACGTGAGCTGGGCGCTGGCTGTTTACAGGCCCGGAAATTTTGTGGACGAAATTAGGGGGAGGGGAGGAGGGGAGGGGAGGAGGGGAGGAGGGGAGGAGGGGAGGAGGGGAGGAGGGAGGAGGGGAGGAGGGAGGAGAGGAGGGGGAGGGGGGAGGAGGAGGGGAGGAGAGGGGAGGAGGGAGGGGAGGGAGGAGGGGAGGAGGGAGGAGGGAGGAGAGGGGAGGAGGAGGGGGAGGAGGGGAGGAGGGGAGGGGGGGAGGGGAGGAGGAGGGAGGGGGAGGGGAGGAGGAGGGGAGAGGGAGGAGAGGGAGAGGGAGGGAGGAGGGAGGAGGGGAGGGGGAGGGGGAGGGAGGGGGGAGGAGGAGGAGGAGGGAGGGGAGGAGGAGGGAGGAGAGGGAGGGAGGGGGAGGAGGGGAGGAGGAGGAGGAGGGGAGGAGGAGGAGGGGGAGGGAGGGGGGGGAGGAGGGAGGAGGGGAGGAGAGGGAGGAGGGGAGGAGGAGGGGGGAGGAGGGGAGGAGGGGGAGGAGGAGGGGAGGAGGGGAGGAGGGGAGGGGAGGAGGGGAGGGGAGGAGAGGGGAGGAGGGGAGGGGGTTGGGCCGAATGTCAGGGGAGCCGTCTTTTTTTCTTCTTCGGGTCGTTGTAAACGCAGAGCCCATGCAACTCCACAAGAATTGTCAGGTGGCTTGGATTGATTTGGGAATTTGAACCCTCAAGGCTTCTTGAGGGTCGCTGGGACACGATGGGACACGATGACACCTCAAGCCGGAACACCTCCCACTGTGATACTTTTGGGAATCTCCCCCTGAGGGTTGGTCCTTGAGAAGCCCTTTCCGTACTGATAGACAGAGTCCTCTTAGGCGCCACCGTTCAGAAAGCCTGGTTTCTGCTTCGATTCCCTGGTGAAGGCCAACAAACGTTATGGTGTCAACCATGGTTTCGTTTCGTGGTGAATGGATTTCGTCCATCAGCATCAGTTCTGTGGATTCCATGTCCCACCGCCTTGGCCTCCGAGGCGGCCGACGAGCCTGACGAGGAGCCTGACGTGGAGGAAGCGGAGGTCCCAGAAGCCGAGGCGGAGAAATCTCGCGGGCGATTTGCGCGGACGCGGAGCGTGCGGAAACCCGAAAGGCGTGGGCTTTTTCTTCGAGTTCCGCACGCTTTGAGGCTCTTTTTGTCCAGATCCAGTAGATGAGCCACGGGCCTCTCAAAACCAAGGTAGATGCAGGATAGTAAGGCCTCCCGGCCAGAGACCTGGTGCCAGGTTTTGATTGTGACTCAAATGGGCTTGTCTCCAATTGGGGGAACTAGGGGAACCCGAAGACTGGTGGTGTCCCGTTTGGCTTCCCTTGTGCCAACCCCAATTGGGTAGCCACCTTCAAACAAGACACACGCAATTGTTCAAGACAGCGAGCCATAAACCACTTGCATTGAATTGGAGCACAACGAACTCAGGTGCCCCTCTGCTTCGTTCCAGTTCATTTTCTCTCACGGATCCATGGATCCTTTGACCCCAGTTGCCCAGCCTTCAAGCCACTTGGGAAGCAGGTTGCAACCAACCCCAGTTGCCCCAGCGCTCATTTGCCCAAAGCTGACCTTGTGACCTGTTGGTTTCCTTGATTTGGTACTCCGGGCTCACCAAGGGACAACTTCGGTGTTGGCCATAGGTGTCCTTCTTAGCTTAGTTTGGTCAGAAATAGACGGGTCCCACAGGTTTAGATAGGTTTTATGCTTGAGGAACCCATTTTTTAGTGGTCATTTTCCCGTTGAAGGACGTGCAAGCAAAGGTCATGACGGTTGTTGGCAGGTTTTCAGTTGTTTGGTGGTTTTTGGTCTTGTTCATTTTTTGATTCTGTACATTTTAGTAGGGGCCTGCACAAAACCGCTCAGTTTGTTGCCAAGCCATACCAAGGGATGGAAAGCCAAGATTCGACCTTTGCTATACCACCAACATTGACATGAAGTACTTGTCCAGAAAAGGTTTTGTGCCCCATTTACCAACCCCATCTATTTGTCCGGTGTAGGTCACCCCTGGTAAGCTAGATACCTTGCCTTCCCCTTTGGAAGACTTGAGGGACGGCAAGGTATCTAGCTTACCGTAGGTGACCTAGACACAAATAGATGGGGTTGGTAAATGGGACATAACTCCTATACTGGCCACATAGATGGGGTTTGCCTCATAAAATGGGGCATAACACCAATACCCGAGCGGAGTGCTTTTCCCCCACTTCCCCGACGTCGCCTGGCCCCCAGAAGTCGCCTCGCGGTCGCCTCGCCCCGCCTCCCGAGGCCGAGGGAGCTCCGCACCTCTTCGCCTGGGCGCTGGCGAGGTGGCCGGCCATGGGCTCCCACCAGCGCGCCAAGAGCTACGCGCGGAGCGGCCGGCTGCGGGTGAACGGCCAGGCCGAAGTGGGCGGCGTCAGCGCATTGGCGCGTGGGCGGCGTCGGCTGTTTCGTCGGCTCGTCGGCGTTGTGTCCGGGGTTCGCGTATGGGCCATGGGTGGGGGCGGGGGGGGGGGGTTATGGTGGGGTCAGATGGACACTTGACGTCTATTTGGAAAAGGAAGCTCCTTTCAAAAGTGAAGGTGGGGTGGGAGGATTTTGGGGGTGTTTTTGGAGTTGGTACCCGTCTTCTTTTCTTCTTTAGGGAAGCCAAAAGGGAGTCCACGAGCTGGGTTTAACTGGCCCACCTCTTTCGGCATAAAGGGGCAAATGAGTTGCTTCCGATGCGCTGGCTCCAGAATCATGGCTTCAAGGAAGCTTCCCCTAGACTCAACTTTGTCCCTGCTTGGCAAGCCTTCACCAGCTAAGATGGCATGTGGCCAAAGTGGGCTCGCTTTGTGTCCTTTCACGCATCTAAACTTGTTGTCTACGCCGCTATGGTCCAAACCCAAGAAGTAACTAAAGTCCAGAAACTCGGGAAGTGAGTGGAGAGTTGTTCCAATCGGGGTTTGTGTTCAGGGAACCCACCATCCCCTGGCCCCTTGCCTTGGTCATTGCTTTGTTTCATGCAGGAGTGCGGCACCGCGGGAAAGATGCCTCGACAAATTCTTTCAGTAGTCCTTTCAAACCGTCTCGAAGAAGGTTTGGGTTTGGACCCATAGGTGTCCTTTTTGGTTGTTTTGGTCGACTCCTGGTTTTTACCCGGTTTTTCTCATTTGCCAGGGAACCCCATTTATTTGCCCCTAAAATTGGACACCTATGTTTGGACCATTCCCAACAAGCTCTGAGCCGCTCGGCGGGTCCCAGCTGCCCTCTTAGCTCTTTAGTTCTTCTTTCGGGTTTCGTGGGGGTGTCCATACAGCCGTTCAATGGGCCCTGTAAAGGTATCCGGGGCCGATTAGATGGAAAGAACGGGTTTTGCTAGTTCATGAGTCTATTTAGACCCAAGCCCCCCAAAAAAACTTGCCAAAGGCGCTTCTTAGTTTTTGTGTGTAGATATGGATTCGGATGCTGGTGTTTTATGTATCACCAATGTATGCTTGCAAAACAGTACATACCTAGTGGTATAGAACCTCCATACCTCCAACACCCTTCTCTTTGAAAATGCCCTTGACAGAAACAGACCCCTCAAACAGGTGGCCAAGAAAAAGCGACCCCCACAAGTCCAACATACCCGCGGTCTGTTTGACAGGAGGGTGGGTTTTGGGAGGGCTAAAAGGCACCCCTAAAAGAAGCAAATAGCCCCTGTGTTAGGCGCTTGAAAGTTTGGTTCGGTGCCCTTTGACAAGTTGGGTTACACGCTTTTAAGGTGGAAATTCCCACCCCCCCCCACGTTCGGGTTTGTTCTTCCAAATTCCTTGCTTGGCAAACAAAGGAGCCCGAGGTTTTCTCGGGGGCTGCAACAAGCAAAGTTGTTTGCGAGCAGACCAAGGGTTGTTTGCAAACCCCAAAGGTATTTTCGGGCTTGTGCTTAAACCCTTCGGACTCGCCCCTTAGCTTTTTTTTGCACAAAAACGGGTCCGGCACGCCTTCCTTGATGGGGGAGGGGGGAGAGATTGTGGCATGGGCGTTTTAGAGGCCCAAATCCAAAAGTTAGCTTTCCTCAATTGGTGGCTTGGAGTAGTGGTTTGGATTTGGTTTCGAGCCCCTGTTCGCTAGGCAATGGTATGGAGTAACGGAACGTTGCGTGGACAGTATAAGACTTGGCGTGGCCATTCAAGCAACAAGCGATTCAAATCCCTCGTGGTACCACCTGGTCACGTCAAACGCGTCCCAGTGAGCCCCTGTTCGCTGGTTCTTGTTGAGGGCTAATGAGAAGCAACCCCGCAGCTTCCGACAAGCACCAAAGCAAAACACCAATTGGAGGAGAACGACAGTACACTGAAGAGCAACACGGTTCCATTGTTTGATGAGCCCGAAGACTTAAACATCTTTTTTTGAAAAACACACTGGTTTAAATTCACCTTAGGGCCCCAAAACACCCGTTGGGTGTGTCTGTTTTTTCAGACTTCCCAAAACGGCTTCTGCTTCCTTTTGTCCCTTCACAACCAAGCAAAAGGGGGCCAAGAAACACGGAGCAGCTGGGACCCAACGGGCGGATTCGGAGATCCGGAGATCCGGAGATTCGGAGATCCGGAGATCCGGAGATCCGGGAGGAGGTGGCGGATTTCCATCGGCTGCACGCGGGTGACGTGGTGACTTGGCGCCGGAGTGCGGAAGTGCTGGCGCTGGGCCGGACCTTTCTGCGGCGCTACCAGGTGGAGGAGGGTGGTGGGAGGTAGGTGGGGCCAGGGAGGGAAGGTGGGAATCAGGGGGCTGGGTCTGGGGGTGGTAGGGAAACCAACAGGAGCTTAGACAGGAATGGTGAAAAGCTGGAAGTGTGGGTTCTAACATAGTAGTGGTTTGGGGGTAGTGGAAACCCGCGTAGAATCATGGAAGTAGACAGGGCTTGAACAAAAACACCATCGCCCGCTATGAATCTTCCTTGAGTTGAGTCGGCGCACGTTCTGCGCTCTTTTTTTTTGCTGGCCACGGTTTCCTCACCACTTCAGCTGGTCAACTCCGTGGGTCAGGGTTGCATGGGCCCCTCTTGCCGTGATACATGGAAGATGCACCCGGGTAGTTTGGACGTGATCGATTGGGCAGTGGACCGCTTCATATGAAAATCACCATGTGGGTGCGCCTTATTTAAAAGCCTTTGGGTGGGGCAATTCCCAAAAGAGAGGCCCAGATCTTTCCTTTCACAAAGGTCAGACCAAGCCATGCTTATGGAAGCTTGGCAGGTCTGTTTTCTTCCAAAGTGAAGCTGAGTCGTGTGGTTGGGAAGCGGGGATGTTAGAAGGGCTGATCGGGGTTCGGCGAAGATTCATTAGACCCTTGCCCACTGTAAAGGCCCACCAAAAAGAAGTTGCTGAAAACAATTGGTGTGCAAAACAGAGGTGGGGGCGTGGGAAGGTGGGGGAGGTGGGGGAGGTGGGGGGGATGGGGGGATGGGGGGGATGGGGGCGCATGGGGCGAGAGGTGGGATTGGGGGCGGGTGGGGAAGGAGAGGTGGGAGGGCCAAGGTGTGGGGGGAGAGGCGGGGTGAGAGGCGGCTGAATCCTGCCCCACCTCCCAGCTCACATCTCTCACCCACTTCCTCCCACCTCAGTCCCACTTCACCTCCAAGACGCCTCCCCCAAATTTCCCCCTCCCCCCGCCTCACCTCTCGCCTCACACCCCACTTCAACTCCCACCCCTCACCACCTCGCCTCCACCTCACCTCCCACCTCACTAAATGCTTGCAAACTCAAAAGATTGGGCGCTCTTGAAGGCCCATATGCTGAGAGGTCCCTATTTTCCAGCTCTTGGAAGTTCCAAAAATCGAAGCCTCTCGCCCTTGGATGCACAACATGCTGCAAGATTCCTATTGTTTTGTGACCAGCAAAAATGCTGCAAGGTCTCTAAAAACGCCTAAACACGTCCTATTCTGGAAGACTCTTCAAGACTCACGGCCACAAGAGCCTCCCAGAATAGGTTGGTTTTTCTCGCGTTTTGAGAGACCTTACAGCCGTCGGGGTTTGATCACTCCAGCCAAGGGTCACTTTAGCATTTGCATGGCAGGGTTACATGCATTTACACGTGTAACACATGTCACTTTAGCATTTCTTTTTGCATTTACACAGTTTGTTTTATAAGTCACTTTAGCATTTACATGGGTTTGGTTTGGTGCCCGCCGTGAGCCCTTGTGTGGACGAAGCATGCACAAGGCCCGCGCCGCCAAAAAAATGGGTTGGGATGGCACACTCCAATCCGGTCTGGTTGAGGTCCTGTTTGGATGTCCGATCCGCCACCAAACGGCCAGGCAAAAGTTGAAGCTGACTCTTTTTAGTTTTGGAAAACGGGTCCCTTGCACTTGTTTGAACAGGTTGTGCCCCTTGAGAAAGAGACCAACCGGCTGCTTAAAGCAAGAGGCGTTCAAAAGAGAGCGTTGGTTGGCCCATGTTTTTGGTGAGAAAGCAACTTCCCAGTTGCGTGGGCAAACCTTGATTGATTTCTTGTTGGCTGGTTTCTTCTCATTTGAGCCATGACCCAAAAAGGACATGGGTGTGGCTCAAAATTAAACAGGAGGGGCTAACCGCAGGTTTTGGTCCATGTTTCCACTTACCAGGGCAAGCCATTTTGGAATTCCGTTCTTTTTTGAGCCACAGCCACATGGCCATTGGTCATAACCTGTGCCTCCATTTTGGGGCGGATGAACACCCATGTATTACCTATTTTGATGTTCACCAGGGGTACCACTGAATCGCTGCCCGGCCTTTTGACTCTCCGAGGAGCAGCACGCGGGCTTGCGCTTGGAGGCGGTGTGCAAACTCGCATTCCAGGAGAGGCGCCGTATGTGTGGTTTGGGCCCCGAAGAATTTATATGGAGTAGCCCTTTCATCACTGGAAGGGCTATATACCAGCTGCATACACAATAATAATAATAATAGTAATAATAATACTACTACTAATAATAATAATAGTAATAGTAATAGTAATAGTAATAGTAATAATAATAATAATAATAATAATAATAATATTAATAATAATATTAATAATAATAACAATAATAATAATAATGATAATAATAATAATAATAATAATAATAATAATAATAATAATAATAATAATAATAATAATAATAATAATAGTAATAATAATAATAATAATAATAATAATAATAACAATAATAATAATAGTAATAGTAATAATAATGATAATAATAATAATAATAATAATAATAATAATAATAATAATAATAATAATAATAATAATAATAATAATAATAATAATAATAATAATAACAATAATAATAACAATAATAATAACAGTAATAATAAAAATATAATAAATTATATATATATATATATGTGTTTTGGAGGGTACCCTGCCCCTTTTTGTGGGGCTTAAAGATAAACCGAACGACACCACATTTGTTGTGGCTCCCCATCTTTAAAAACACCCATATCCTTTGGCTTTATAACCTAGACTCTCATTTGGCCGCCATTTAACGGCACACCAGTGTGTGCCCATTTAACGGTGGGTTCAAAGGTTGTTGTTGGATTTGTTTCCCACCATTTTCGATTGTTTGCAAGTGAACCAGCCGCATCCATGTTTGTCTTGCAGTATTTAGAGCATCTAGCATAGCGGGTTCTTCGAGGCTATCATAAACATTGGAGTTCTGGATGGTCCAAAGGTATTTTAGAGGGGTCTTATGTAAGAGCCGTAGAATCAATAGGTGTGGCTTGACTGGTGCGCAGCTGTGCTTCACGGAAACACATATCTCAATCAACGACTCTGGTCTAGTCCTAACAGTTCGGAGGGACCTCTGAGTTGGCTCCTTCGGGATGAATATCTTTTTGCCTTCCCGTTGAATGAGCCCAACTCGAACTTGGGGACCTCTGACAGAGGATGAGTTGTGAATCAAAGTGATTGAGTTGCATCCGTTCAGGGTTTCCTTTCAGGGAATCCCAAGCTTGCTTTCCAAAACCCTGGGTGATTCCCACTGAGAACCAGCGAGAGATTCCTATGTCTTGGGGCTTTCTATGCCGTCTTGGGGGTCTCCAACATGATTGAATGGTTGTGGGTTCGCCCAGTATGGCACCGAATCTGAAAATACAGTTTTCTGTGGCCAAACCCCCAAACCCAGAAGTTGGACCAAGATGCCCACTAAATCTGGTGTGTGTTCCTTCACTGTTGTTGGAATGTGTTTTTGTTTTTAGATTTCCTGGTTCTGTTCATTTTTAGTTCGGGGCTGCAGCACAAAAACGGAGTTGTTTGCTTCCATATTGAATCCCCAAGAGGGGGGTAGATACAAGGGGGGTGGGTAGTTGAGAGCCCTAGGGTTCTTTGGGATTTCCGAGATTTTCTTAGAGAGTGTTAGGCCCCCCCCCCCCGACCCCTCAAATTTGGCCCCAAGGAGGGATTCCATAACATTCCAAGGCTTGGACACGGGTATGGAAACGGCAAAACGAAACCACCAGGTCACTTTACCGAAATGGGCCGCAGTTTTTGGCAACCACTTTAACGATGCAACTCATATTGGGGTTACCCTATTTTTGACAACAGCAAAACATTGCCTGGAATCTGGGGTTCAACCGATTCCCATCAAAAGAATGGCCTTGGGGCCCAATTTGGAGGATGTTTGAACCCCAAGCATAAACAATGGCGCTTATATGAATTTTCATGGTTTTCATGGTAGCTGAACCCACAGAACCCACAGAACCACAGGTTTCTTCGTTTCGTTTCGCGAGGACCTGCTGCCTTCCCGGCGCAGTTTGCGCGCGGCGGTGAAGCAGCAGGCGGTGCTGGTGGACGGCTCTCCGGTGGAGCACACGCGGATCCTGCACGCGGGCGCGCAGGCGGAGTCGCAAGCCGATTTGTCCTGTTTTTGGTTTTTGGCTTGTAGATATGGGCGTTGTTTTGTTCAGGGGACCCCCCCAAATAGTGGCTGTCCTTTTGGTTTTGCTTTAACAACACCAAACAACGGGTACCAACTCAAAATAAAGCATTTAGAGGGCCCATATCATGGTTGTTGTTGGGAAACAGTTTACATTTTTGCTTATTGTGGTTTAGTGGTTGAAACCCAACCACTTAGTTGCTAAAAAATATTTTTTGCTCCCCTTCCAACGTCAACCAAGATATGGTTGTGTTTGGGTTGTGTCATTTTTTGGGTTGTTTAAAGGGAAACAAAGGAAAGCCATCTCTTTGAAGGTTGCCCTATTTTGAGACAAACTTTGGGTGGTTTCAAAGAGAAACAAGCCGAGCCACCCCCAATAGACCCCCTTGATTCATTCCTGACTCCATTTAGTTTGGGAAGCCGAGGCCCGTATTTTGCCACTGTGATGCACGAAAACTGTTCGAACGAAATGACACCATGGCTGAAACCATAGTTGGTTGGTATTTACAGGGGAATCATCGGACACCAGGTTTTCCGAACGGTGGTGCGAACTGGATTTCGCCCATCCGTATGTTTCTCGGGTGATCCCTGCACTTCCATGTCTGGTTCCATTTCTCCTTTGGGAAGACTAAATAAATGGACTTGGGGGACCCCACGCCCTGGTTTTTGTTTCGGGTAAACAAAATGAGGCTCAGGGGGAAGGGGGCAAAATGGTTTTGAGAACCATACCATTCGGTTCCAAAAGGGACACTAAGAGGAGAGTGTGCAACTAAAGTTGTGCTTTTCCCCCCTGGAAAAATGAGAAAACATGTCCAATAATGATAGATTCCCTTTGAAACCGACAGGGCAAAATAAAAGAATATTCTTAAGCAACTGGAAGTGAACGGGAAGGCTTTTGGCAAGTGCCATTCTTGTCAAATGCCTGAATTCTTTGGCTTGAGGCGGAATAGGATGGCTTCAATCCCGGGCGAAAAAGCCGATGGGCGTTTGAATTTTTCCGAGTTGGGCTAGGTTTCCGCTCGTTGAGCGCTGGGCTCGTCCCTTCGGCTTAGCCCCAGGTGCAGCTGCGCCTGCCGGCGGTGGAAGCCCTAAGGGCTCTCTGCCCCAGGCGCGGAGAGTCGGGAGGTCGGGAGGTCGGGAGGTCGGGGCTGGGGGGCCAAAGGAGATCCCCAGCTGGGTAACATAGCCATCATGTACAGAAAGTTCTGGTTCCTTTCAAATTGGTCCCTGCAAATTGGAATTGGGGGGAGGTGTGGATTTGTGTTATGAAGCTCACGCAACCGGCCCTCAAGGCAAACCCATCACTCAGGGCAGTTTTAGTGTGTAGACCAGCTTTCGTCGCGGCCAAATTGGGGCCTCCTCCGGCATTATTTCATGAAGTTACAAGGCTGACTGAAGATGAAGCATCCTTCTTCATATGTAGATGCATGTGTATATGTATATGTAGATGTAGATGTAGATGTACATGTAGATGTATACGTACATGTACATGTAGAAAGGGGTTGCTCAAAAGGGGCCAGTGAAAATTGAAAGTTCCGTGGGCTCCTGCTCCGGCAACGTTGCTCGTACCGCCGGAACGAACCTCCGAAGCCGAAAGCCGCCGCTCGGAGCCTCGGAGCCTCGGAGCGGCAGGTGCTGCTGGCCGCGTGTGGTCTACGAGGACAACTTCCTGGCGGTGGTGTGGAAGGAGCCGCAGGCGGGGCCCCGCTCGAAGGAGTCGACTCCTTTACCCTCCATTTGCTTAAGAATATATTTTCATTTTCCCTTGTTGGTTTTAAAAGGAATTCATCACTACTGGACACTTTTTTCCAATTTTTTCCTGGGTCCGAAAAACCAAACGGAAGTTATGAGTCAGAGAGGGTGTGTCCGTGGACACGAGCCTTGATTTCTTGAATTCCCAGTGGCGAAGTGCAATTTCTGGTTTCTTTTTTTCGGTTGGGAGGGGGTTCCGATTCCTTGAAAGTCAACCAACCAGAATCGGATGCCGATGCCGAGGCTTTCCCATGGCCACTGGGCATGAGATTTGGGATTTCGTCCCGAGAAAGTCTTCAGACCTTCAAGAAGGTTGAGAAATCAGCAAGAAAGGAGAGGGCAGAAGCCCATGGTTTCTCAGCATCCGTTTGTCGGATTACACCTTTCGTTGGCCTCACGCCTCTCAATTTTGACTGAGAAGGCAGTTTTAGTGGCCAACAAAAGGTTGGCCTTGTTTTGGCCCCACACAAAGTGGGTAATTCACTTTGCCATCGGCTCTTCTCTTTTTTTGTTTTGGGGGGGGGGGGCGGGGGCGGTTGGGTGGGACAAAGGGCATTCGGGTGTTCCTGCTTGTCCCTTATCAGAAAAGAGTACATGGCCAGCCCTGGGAGGGCCGTCTCAAAATGCGGCAACCCCAACAATGGGCGGTTTCTTTTCCTTTGCCGTCCCTTAAATAGGGCACAGGGCTGCCCTTCCAAAAAAGCGTACCCATACATGTTTGCCCTTCCAAATAAGCCTACCCGTATATTTCAATACACAGTGTATATATAATGTATATACATATATATATAATATTGTATACACTATGAATGATACATATATGTGTATATATATATACATATGTTTGTATATACATATATGCCTATATACATATACAAACTTGTGTGTCATATGTGCAGATCGGTTCAAGCTTCCGCAGGTGAAGTCCACGGGCGGCTGGCAGAGCGTGGAGAACGGCGCCCGCTTGGTCTGCGAGGCGTCCAAGGCGCCCGACGCCTTGGAAGAGCGCCTCAAGGCGTGCGGCGGGACCCGCCGGTTCGGTGGGGACCGATGGATGGGGTCTGACCCCATTTCCCAAAAGGAGATGATGACAAATGCTGCAAACCCGCTAGACGCAGGCCCATCGAAAAGTTCAGCTGACTTCGAGCCGGTGGTTTAGATTGGTTTGGGGAGTTTTTCTTGGGGGCTGTTTTTTTTGGGTAAAGCTTTGGCTCCAAAGAGCCGACTCCCTCCAATTGGTGGTTTGGATTGGTTTGGGATTTGCACCCTGGTTCTTGTAGAAGGTACATGGGGTTTCCCCCCCCTGAACCACCAAGCCAGCGATTCGGCTCCAAACCAGCACTTAGAGGGAAGCTGAGAAAGGTGAAGACAGACTAGGTCCCCCAGTAGTGCCCTTTTACCCTTTTTGGGGGTTCCCCTACTAAACTAGACTACAGAAAAAAGGGTACCCTTATTCTAACCTCTCTACTGGAGGACCTAGGAGAGGTTGGTTTGTCTTAGGCGGTGCATCGCTTGGACAAGCCGGTGGCTGGGCTCATGCTCATGGCGAAGACGCGGAGCTGCCACCAGGAGCTGACTGCGCGGCTCCGGGAGCGGCGAGGCATCACGAAGACCGATTCGACCGATTCAACCGATTTGGGGGATCCATTCGGGTGGCTGGGGGGTTCCATGGGCAGAGTGAAGCTTAAATTGTTGTGTTTGGTTCTTTATATAGGTCTGCCAGTCTGCCTATTTCATGATGCTCTGGGGGTAAAAGCTCGTGAAGGTCCTTTACCTGAAGATCCATTTCTTACTTCGGGCGTTGTTTTTCTTCCTTTTGAGGGTGCCCGTACTCCTGGTTCTTAAGGGTTCCCCCGTTCCCCCCTGTTCCGATGGGGATCCCCTTTTCCTTTTGACATGGGAGCGCCATGGACTCAGATGTTCTCTACCGCATTGCCTCAGGTACCCCGGCAGTTGGCTTGGATTGGCGGTTTGCGATCTTGGTTTACCCCTTGGCTCTTGTGGTGAATGGGAAACCGCCCCTCGGTTCCAGGACATACCGAGCTGTGGTGCAGGGGCACCCCACGGCCACGAAGACGGAGGAGGGCTGGTTCCAGGCGTCGCCCGGGCTTTCGGCGGAAACCCCAGTGCAGCACCAGGGTCTTTTCGAATGGGCTTTGTCTCAAAGGGGAGGGGTGCCCCCTAAACTGGTCAGGTTCCTCTTTTCTTTTTTGAACTTCCCAAGACACACACACACACAGGTTTCCGCTCCCTTGAAACCAGGGGAACTGATGCTGGCAAAGCGATTTCGCCCAAGGCCCTCTACTTGGCCAAAGGAAAGGAACACAGAAGGTTATGTCGGCAAATTTGTTGGTCGTCTTTGTTTAGGAACACCGAAGGTTCTGGGTCCAAATCTTAAACGAACACGAGCCGAAGCCCCGTGGAGTCATCTTTGACGGAGGTGGAGCTGCCCATTGAGGGCCGGCCTTGCCTCACACTCTTCAGGACTGCGAGTTGCCACTAGGTACTCCCAGTGAACATCCCAATCCCCACTAAAATAGGTTCTAAAATGGGTGGTGCACCTACCCCAAGATGGCGCCATTGGTGTTGACCCACAGCCACTAACACAGACGCCCGCGAAAGTGCTTTCGTGTGGCCGCGAAAGCATCGTGAAAGGTTACGCGCAAGCGGTTTGTGAGTGGGTTTTATGTATCCTATTTTCGGCACGGCTCACTTGACTGTTCACCCAACTTTGGCTATAGCCATGGTTTTCCCTAAGTTGGTAGATGTTTAGATGTTTTTGCTTGTCTTGGCTGGTTTAGTTTAGTGGCTGACCGTGATGGCATGTGTGCAATGGTGCCAGTGCCGCCAGACAGACACAAGGTCAAGGTTGTAGGCACGGGTAAAGCAGACCATGCTGCATTTTGCACAGACCCTGCTTGCTGGGACGCTGACTCCATATCAACGTACTGGAGCTAGACACACACACACACACAGACACACACATTTTCATATTTATGGAAAGCTTACCCGGGTAACACGAGCTCACCATTATGAAGGTCCTTTACTTGGTCTCTTATTTCAGGTTTGAACTATACGTACAAATATATATATATATAAATATATATATATATATATATATATTTAATATATATATATGGTATTGAGTTTGCAGACGTATCTACCATAAGCATGCTTACGGTGCATCATGTAGCAGCACTGGCTTAGTAGTCCTGGCATCATCCAATGCATCGGTGCTACTATATTGCAACTTGCATTGCCAGACGTAACTGACCTGTTTGTTTCGTCTGGCCTTTTGATCGTCCTCATTTTCCCTTCAATCAACAAACACATTTCAGGAAGCATTGTTCTGTTTAGCTCCAAAACACTTCGCTGCTTTGCTACCCCCTTGCCGCTTCCGCAATTTGAGCCATCCACCAGAGGGCAGGATAGAAAGACAGGATGCTTGTTCATGCCCCACATCCCTTTAGGTACATTTTTTTCAGGGTACCCCACGAAAGGTTGGTTTAAAAGAAAGGAACGAAACAGACACGAAGTGTTGGGTACCCAAGCTTTGACACAGACCCCCGTGACCCCGTTCAAGGCTTGCTTGTTCATGCCACAGCTCATACTATAGGGTGCCAAATCATCATGTACTATATTTCCCTCCTGGGGGAATGTGCGTTCCATTGCGGTGCCTCTGATTTTACATGGGCATGGGGCATACCATTTTGGGCTGGATGAACATCCATTTGCCACCTATATCGTCGTTCACCAGGGGTACAGAGTGTTGACCCACAGCCATATTTTCTGTAGATTGCGACTCTTAGATACTGTGGATGGTTGCGAAGTCCTCGTTTCACATCTCCGTTCAGAAGCGCTGGTTTCTGATTCGATTCACCTGCAAGTGCCAACCAACGCTCTGGTTTCAGCCATGGTTTCATGTCGCGGTGCCCAAGTGGATGTCGCAATCTGCAGTAGGGAGATTCCTGGCCAATCCCACCTTTCCCCCTCAAACCAAGGCACAAAAATGCACCTGGGACGTTCTTTTGGCCGCAGCTCGCCTCCCACCTTGGTTAGGTCCCCAGCAGTGCTCTTCTCTCCCCTTTTTTAGGGGGGAGGGTTCCCTACTAAAATAAGCAACAGGAAAAAGTTGGTACCAACTTATCCTAACCTCTCAAATTTGGAGGACCTAGGGATCGCAGGAGCCTGGAGCGATACCCAGACTGCTCGGTGCTGGAGCTGCGGCCGGTCACGGGCAGACGGCACCAGCCGTGGAGCCCAGAGCGTGACTGGCCGATCCGCTGGCCGATGGAAGTGAATTCAGTGGCCATCAATTTCGGAGTGAGCTGGTTTGGTCTATTTAAATATTTGAGAGAGAGAGAGAGAGAGAGAGGAGAGGGAGAGAGAGAGAGAGAGAGAGAGAGAGAGGAAGAGGGAGAGAGAGAGAGAGAGAGAGAGAGGAAGAGGGAGAGAGAGAGACACATTTGGGTGGTTTCGTTCAGCTCCGTCTCCCTCAAAGTGGAGCCTATGCCACGGCCTCCAAGGCGAAACAGAGTTCAGCTAGCTTCCCTGGTCCGGGGAGTTGGCTTCCCAGCTCTGACTCAAATAAATGTACCAAAAGACCAACAAGAATAATTTACCCAAATAAATGTACCCAAATTTACCAGGCCTCGGTAAATGGTGCTCTAGCTTCTTGGATTTTGAGCCACGCCCAGCCAGGCATCACGAGATCGATCGATGTATCGAACCTTTCAGTTGATGTAGATGTTTGTGGGGTATGCCAAGAGCTGAGAAATGAACATTTTTGATTCGGCGCGACTCGCGCGTGGTTCGTGGTGTTTCTGGCTTTTTCAGATCCCAACCAACATGCGCGAGTATGAGCGTCAAAATATTTGTTTGTCACCAGTGAGTGCTGCAGTCTCCACTGTTGTCACCACTGACTAGACACTTGTTTTCATTTCGAGGGGGGCTCAGAGTGTTTCAGAGAGATTCCGAGGACTGGTCCGGGTCCGTGGCCTAAGGTTTTCGAAGGTTTTGGCGGTGGTTGCTGGGGATGATTTTGATCAAACATCGTGGGTGTTGGCTGGAATCCTATTTTTGAATGGGAACCTCGGAAATAGAGCGCCGCCTTGTAGTGGGATTCAGACTTTTCAACGGGAAAATCTTTGCATAGAACGGATTATACTTAGATCCGGGGTCAGCACTCGTCTCCAGGAGTTTCCCCCCAAACATGTCGTCTCCGGAAATTACCACCGAGTTTGATGGAAGATGCAGGTGTAGTTGTTGGTTGGTCCCTTGGGTCAGCTTCGCCCAAATTGGTTTGGATAGATTTGAACCCTGTCAAATGTTGGACCTAGCCAACCCAAGCCACCAACTAGGGGGCATAGGTGTCATTTTTCTTTTGGTGAACACCTAGATGGGGATTCCTTGGACCTGGGGCCATCTATGTTCCCAACACTTCCATTTGCTCAAGATTTCTTTCTATTTTCCCTTGGGTTTAAACGGACTCTATCACTACTGGACATTTCTTCTCATTCTTCCCGGCCGAAAAAACCAAATGGGAGGAAGAAAGGATGCGCTTTTTTGGCGCTCGGGAGCGGATCGGCGAGGCTCCGGGTGCACATGGCCGCCCTTGGCTGCCCCATGCTTGGGGACTGCGAGCACGGGGGGAGGCGCGGGGTTCGAAGCCGCTTCGAAGTGAAGAGGTCGGGTGGCCAGAGGCACAAGCCCGGGTAAGTGAAGGCCAAGGGACAGTCCCAACCAGAAACAGATGCGGCCGCCTTAATTCTTTACATGATTCTGGGGTGGACCAGTCGAACGCCAGGTTTTGACTGTGCCTCACTCCCCAAGGCCATAGTGACTGCTGGAGAGACTTGGGAAGGGGTCAGGAAGGGCAAGTGGATGCACCTGCCCGGCTCGAAATACGTCTTTAAACGGCTCCTTTTAAACCTCAATTTTTCAGAGGCTAAGTTTGAGGATGGGTTTGGCTTTCTCAGATGGACCTCCTGGGTCCGAGTGGTTTCCCCCTTTGAAACCACCGCTAGCCGGCTGGGATCTGAGCCTGTCGGCTCGGCGCAGGGGAAGAAGCATAGGTGTCCTGGTTGGTTTTGGTAGAAACATAGATGGCGGTTCCTTTTTCTTACCTGGTGGTTTTTAGTCGGGGCTCCTTAAAAGAAATTCATTTTGCAACCATTTGAAACATGGCTTTGTCAAACCAAAATAAAGGGAAACCATTTACAAGTTGCAATGTTCAGGTGTACAATGTAATGGTCCCTGTTTAATCATCTACCAGGGAAACCCATCTAATTATTTCCCCTAAAAAGGACACCTATGACAGGAAGGGCTTCCCGCTGCTGCTGGTGTCTTTGGCGCTGAGTTTCCAGCACCCGGCGACCTCCGCGCACCTCGAGTTCCAGGACCGACATGGGGCTCGTCCGATGCGCCGTGTCGCGTCTCCGGCCCGCTGTTGGTTTCCTTTTCGGGGCGTTTGGTGGAAGAGGCGGCTTTGTTTAGATTACCCTCTCGGAAAGATGTGTGGCCTAGAGATACTCTGAGAGGGGACTTGCAGTCCAGGGATTGCAACTAGATGTCCAACTTCCGAACGTAACTCAAAGGAAGCTCATTTCATCGTTGTCAAAAGGCCCAACGGGTGACGACCTTTGAGCAGATTTTCTTGCCCGACCTTTAGGGATCAGAGGTAGAAACCGAAGGACTTGTTTGAAGTGTCTGGGTCGCTGTCCATGCTTTTCGTGTGAAATAGCATTGGTTGGCTCGTGACGCGCCTAGCATTGTAACGCATTTCATTTTTCAGACTCCTCGAAATAGTCATGTGGGCTCGGGGGGAGGTAGGGAGAGGGGGGCGAAGCTGTGAACTTCTTTGGGCTCCCTCCCGCTCCCCTCCCTCCCATAGTTTGGGGCGCAATCGGAAGCTGGAGGAAGAGGAGCCGGAGAATTTCCAGCGCTGGCGAGCCAGCCGATGAGCCGGATGAGCCGCATTCGAGGCGAGGGCGCGATCGGCGAGGCGGTTGTTGTGGGTGTCCATCCCGAAGCTACCTCCAAGGGAAAAATGGAGTGTGTGTAGTCTTTGTGAACTTGGTGGTTCCCAGCCATGAGGTTCCTTAGCCTTTTGGTTTTTTAGTGTTTAGTGGTTGGAATTGCATTTTCACCCACCAAAAGTTAAGCTTTGTGCCTTTTGGAATCTGAGAACCAACATCCCACAGCGGGATGTTGGTTCGATCTCCCATTTAATTTCTGGGGTTTCGTTTGGGTGTCGAATTCGTTGGGCCCTCTTTGTCCGGGTGATTTGCACAGCGAATGCAATCGTGATCTCACGCCCATCGGGGTGATGAGGGCCTCACCAGGTGGGGGTTCTAAAACCGCCACTTCTAGTTGCAGGTTCCAAGAGCCTTGCTGTCGGGTCATTGGTCGGGTCGCATCGCAGGCCTCAACCATAGTTCCACGAGTAGCAAGAACACCCGGAAATCATTCCGAGTTGCAGTTGCATCCTCTGCAAGCAGTTGGGATTTCATGGTGGGCCTTGGACCTGCTGTAATTGGCAATTACCGATGTCCGCGCAAGATTGCATGTTAAAAACACCTTGGTAAATGGAACCAAAGACTACCTGCGTAACCACCCGTATGGTTTGAGAGCTAGAAGAGGGTGCTGAAGTAGCCCAGAGAACCTTTGCTCGAACGGGTGTCGTCCCGAACACGTTTCCAAAGATCGCCTGGGCCAAGTGGGCCAAGGCAGTGAAGGACCCGTGAACAAGAATGCCGCCACGAGATGAGCTTGACAGTTCGACGCTGCCATTTTTTTGAATTGTCTAGAAGGGATTCGGAAAAGGAAAGGAACTCCCATCCCCGGAATTTTCAAACGAGGGAGGGTGAAAGAAAAACCATTCGGTCGAAACCCCTTCTTCGGGCTTCAACCCCCTCGAAGTTGAACCGACCTGTTGATTTTCCAAAAGCCCATTCTTTTGCCGCCTTCGAGCCATATTCCACTTCCCCAGAGTTAGCTCCCCTTTTTGCTTTCAAAGGGGGTTTGTTTTGTTTTCCACTCACCGGGCAAAAAATATATATATATATATATGTTTTTGCTGGGGTCCGATTTTTCCAGCCAAGGAAAAAGGGGTACAAGGGCAGAGAAAAGGGGCCGCTGGGTCCAGGACTCGCCGGGCTGCCCCCCGGCTGACGGCTGGCGACGGAACGAAGGACCGAGGGCGGATGGGGGAGGGCACAAAACCGGGAGGGCGGGGGCCGTTGGAATTGTTTTGTGGCGTGGGTCATCCTTTTTGGCCGTTTTGCTGCAGAAACATAGATGGCGATTCCTGGTTCACCTGGTGGTTTTTCCCGAAGCATTGTGAAGGGTTCTTGCGTGCGGAGCTCTTGGTCAACTTGCGCAGAGTAGCTTGCACAGAGTCACCAGCATGGCGATACCAGGAGCTCTTGGTCAACTTGCGCAGAGTAGCTTGCACAGAGTCACCAGCATGGAGATACCAGGAGCTCTTGGCCAACTTGCGCAGAGTAGCTTGCACAGAGTCACCAGCATGGAGGTACCAGGAGCTCTTGGTCAACTTGCGCAGAGTAGCTTGCACAGAGTCACCAGCATGGAGATACCAGCATGGAGATAGTCGCGCAGAGTTACTAGCGCAGAGTAGCTTGCACAGAGTTACCAGCATGGAGATACTTGCGCAGAGTCACCAGCGTGGAGGTACCAGCGTAGAGTTACTTGCGCAGAGCCAAGTGCAAAGAGCCAAGCGCATAGAGCCAAGTGCTCAGAGCGAAGTGCAAAGAGCGAGGTGCAAGGAGCCAAGTGCACAGAGCTAAGTGCACAGAGCCAATTGCAAAGAGCGAAGTGCATCGAGCCAGGTGCATAGAGCCAAGCGCATAGACCTAGGTGCATAGAACTAAGCTAAGCTAGGTTTAGAGGCTCGGCGTTAGCAGCGTGTACGCTAGGCTAAGTAAGTTAAGTACTTAACGCGCGGGAAAGAAAGAGAAAGAGCTCGGTATTCAGAATCTCTTTCTTGGCGGGGGGTGGGGATGTTGCCGGCGATCGGGGATGCGACCCTCTGCGGGGATCGGCGTGGTCGAGTTGCAAAAACTCGAGTTTTTTTTGCGTTTTTGTCGGTGCGCGCGCAACCCTCTGCGGGGATCGGCGTGGTCGAGGTGCAAAAACTCGAGGTTTTTTACGTTTTTCCCGAAAGCACGGCGAAGGGTTCTTCCGCTGGGTTCACTTGAGTTGTTCTCATGAGAGCCATTGCAAGGAGTCATTGCAAGGAATCATCATCATGAAAGTCATTGCAAGGTGTCATTGCAAGGAATCATCATGAAAGTCATTGCAAGGTGTCATTGCAAGGAATCATCATCATGAAAGTCATTGCAAGGATCCTTGCACTTGCAACTTGCGCTGGACATCCTTGCACTTGCAACTTGCGCTTGACTCCATGCACTTGCAAGTTGCACTTGACTCCACGCACTTGCGACTTGCACTTGGCTCCTTGCACTTGCAACTTGTACTTGACTCCGTGCACTTGCAACTTGCACTTGACTCCATGCACTTCGCTCCTTGCAACTTGCAATGGCTCTCATGACTCCTTGCAATGCCTCCTTGCAATGACTCCTTGCAATGACTCCTTGCACTGACTCCTCGCAATGACTCCTTGCAATGACTCCTTGCAATGACTCCTTGCAATGACGTCAAATGCAATTGACTTGCGAGGGGTTAAAATCTCTTCTTAGGGCGGCGGGGTAGTGCCGACGACACTACACGAAAACCGACCCTCTGCGGGGATTGGCGTGGTCGAGGTGCAAAAACTCGAGGTTTTTTGCGATTTTGTTTTGGCTGGCGCGATCCTCTGCGGGGATCGGCGTGGTCGAGGTGCAAAAACTCGAGGTTTTTTTGCGATTTCTGCGGTGCTCGCGCGACCCTTTGCGGGGATCGGCGTGGTCGAGGTGCAAAAACTCGAGGTTTTTTTTTTTGCGATTTTGTTTGGGCTGGCGCGACCCTCTGCGGGGATCGGCGTGGTCGAGGTGCAAAAACTCGAGGTTTTTTGCGATTTCTGCGGTGCTCGCGCGGAGTTGTCTCGTGGTACGCCGGGACCGGCGGGTCGCGGGTTCGATTCCCCCTTGCTCCGCGGTGCTTGGCAAGCTGCACGGAGCAACTTGCAGGGAGCCACTTGCAGGGACCAACTTGCACGGAGCAAGTTGCGCGGAGCAACTTGCGCAGAGCAACTTGCGCAGACCAACTTGCGCCGACCAGTTTGCGCAGAGCACCTTGCCCAGACCAACTTGCGCAGAGCAACTTGGGCAGAGCAACTTGCACAGAGCAACTTGCACAGAGCAGCTTGCACAGAGCAATTTGCGCAGAGCAACTTTGACAGAGCAACTTGCGCAGAGCGACTTGCGCGCAGCAACTTGCGCAGAGGAACTTGCACGAACAACTTGCACAGAGCAACTTGTACAGAGACATTTGCACAGAGTCAGTTGCAAAGAGCTTCTTGCACAGAGCAGCTTGCACAAAACAACTTGCGCAGAGCAACTTGCGCAGAGCAACTTGCACAGAGCAACTTGCACAGAGCAGCGTGGACAGAGCAACTTGCAGGGAGCAACTTGCACGGAGCAACTTGCACGGAGCAACTTGCACAGAGCAACTTGCGCAGAGCAACTTGCGCAGAGCAACTTGCACAGACCAGTTTGCGCAAAGCACCTTGCCCAGAGCAACTTGCGCAGAATGGTCACGGGGCTGTGATGCTTTCGGGCGATATGCCCGCGCGACCCTCTGCGGAGATCGGCGTGGCCGAGGTGCAAAAACTCGAGGTTTTTTGCGTTTTTGACATTCCCGGATGAACCCTCTGCGGAGATCGTGCGTGTCGAAGCGCCCTCGCTGTGGCGCCGTGCGAATTCTTCTTAGTCTCGGCGAACCCTCTGCGGAGATCGTGCGTATCGAAGCGCTCTCGCTGTGGTGCGGTTTTGTTGCTCGCTAAATGGCCTTTGGAAGTTGTCTCGTGGTTTGCGCGCCTGCTTTTGCAATCCCGCGGTCGCGGGTTCGATTCCCCCCTGGTCCGCGGCAGCTCCGGCTTGAAAATCGCTACAAACGTAGTACGCGGAGCGTGCTCCTGCAGCTCCGGCTGGAAAATCACAACTTTTAAGTACAGACGTAGTATGCGGAGCGTGCTCCCGCAGCTCCGGCTGGAAAATCGCAACTTTGGTACGCGGAGCACACTCCCGCAGCTCCGGCTGGAAAATCGCAACTTTCAAGTACAAAAATGGTACGCGAAGTACATACCCACAGCTCCGGCAGCACTTGCGCAGAGCAACTTGCGCAGAGTCACTTGCGCAGAGCAACTTGCGCAGAGCAACTTGCGCAGAACAACTTGCACAGAGCAACTTGTACAGAGCAACTTGCACAGAGCACATGCGCAAAGCGCTTGCACGGAGCAACTGGCGCAGAGCACTTGCGCAGAGCAACTTGCTCAGAGCGCTTGCGCAGAGCAACTTGCACAGAGCACTTGCGTGCAGCAGCTTGCAGAGAGCAACTTGCGCGCAGCAGCCTGGAGCAATGCAGCTTGCACAGACCACTTTCGTGAGAAATCGTGCGGCGCAGTTCGTGCAAAGCACATTGCGCCGAGCAGGCTCGTGCAGAGCCAACTTGCACAGAGCCAGTTGCGCAGAGCCACTCGCGAAAAGTAGCTTGCGTAGAGCCAACTTTCACAGCGCCAAGCTGCGCAGGGCCATCTTGCACAGAGCTAAGTTGCGCGAGCGCGCTTTGCAGAAACTGTGGCCGACGTGTAAGCTTTGCTATTGATTGCTTTTCCTTTTGCTTGTAATTCGTTTCGAGCTTTACGAGCTTTACTCTTCTTGTTTTCACGGATGTAAATATGTGGGATCGAGCGCTGCCATGTTTCGTCTCGTAGGACGACGAAATGGAGCTCTCATGTGACCATACACATTGAGCATCGCCGCCTGCAGACACGCTCGCCGCAGCGATGCAAAAAGGTGTCTCCGCGGCTGGATGAGCACCTGGGGAAAAGTGCTTTCGGGCCAATCGTCTGCTAGTTTTTCTCATCTACCAGGGAAAACCTATCTATTTCCCCTAAAAGGGCACCTCTGGCTTGGGTCGGTTTGGTGGTTCAATCATGCTCGGCTTATGGCTGATGCCGGGCATGCTTTTGGGTGTGTTTAGGCTTGACTTTGGTGGGTTTGGAGCTCATTGTGCCATGCTGGTCTAATTCGGATTCTGGCAGAGGTTTGGGGACCTTTCGGGATGTGGTGAAACGAATTGGGAACGTGACTAGAATTAGTTGACTAGAATTACTTTTGGAAGGGGGAACAGCTCGGCTATCCAACCATCGCTATGTTTGTATACTTATTTGTGGCGCTTTTGAGTTCGCTGAATCTTGTCTTGATGCTAGCTTTTCTGTGACAGTTTGCGGCTCACACGCAGCCACATTTGATTGTTTCCTGCATGGCGTGTGTTCGCTTGCTAGATGGGACGGAGGTGATGACGGCAAAAGAGTTCTCTGTGTGGTGGGACGAGCTGCATGGGCTGAAGGATCAGGGGTGCTTTTTCGATGCACTGCGGCGCCACCTGGCCAAAAGGTTTCTTTTGCAAAACTTCCGGCAGCTGGCATTGGCCAGTGGCTTAGGCTGCCTGGGGCCTGAGAGTCCATGGGAATATGCTCGCCTGACTGCAGTTGTGCGGCCATACGCCAAAGCATCCACAAAGAGTGGAAGAGGCAATCTGCCAGACTTGGTGCAAGCGGCTGAAAGTGGCAACAAACAACTCGTGCTGCAGCTATTGGAGGAGCCTCGTGATCCTAATGCTGCGGAAAGGAACACGCTTTCTACCCCGCTACATTATGCTGCGAGCAAAGGCCACGATGGCATTGTGCAATGCTTGCTGGAAGCAGGCGCTGACAAAGGCAGGGCAAACAACGATGGCTGCTTTTCAGGGCCGTCAGGCAGTTGTGCAGTGCTTGCTGGAAGCCGGGGCTGACAAGGACAAGGCAACCAACAAGGGCAGAACATGATTGCACCTTGCTGCTGAGCAAGGCCATGCGAGCATTGCGCAGTGCTTGCTGGAAGCAGGCGTTGACAAGGACAGGGCAAACAACCATGGCTGGACACCGTTGCAAGTTGCTGCTTTTCAGGGCCATCGGGCAGTTGCGCAGTGCTTGCTAGAAGCCGGGGGGCTGACAAGGACAGGGCAAACAATGATGGCTTGACAGCGTTGCATTTTGCTGCTGAGCAAGGCCATGCAAGCATTGCGCAGTGCTTGCTGGAAGCTGGGGCTGACAAGGACAGGGCAAACAATGATGGCTTGACAGCGTTGCATTTTGCTGCTGAGCAAGGCCATGCGAGCATTGCGCAGTGCTTGCTGGAAGCAGGCGATGACAAGGACAGGGCAAACAATGATGGCTTGACAGCGTTGCACCTTGCTGCTGAGCAAGGCCATGCGAGCATTGCGCAGTGCTTGCTGGAAGCCGGGGCTGACAAGGACAAGGCATTCAACAAGGGCAGCACACCATTGCACTTTGCTGCCAAGCAAGGTCATAAGCGCACTGTGCAGTGCTTGCTGGAAGCCGGGGCTGACAAGGACAAGGCATTCAACAAGGGCAGCACACCATTGCACTTTGCTGCCAAGCAAGGTCATAAGCGCACTGTGCAGTGCTTGCTGGAAGCAGGCGTTGACAAGGAAAGGGCAAACAACGATGGCTGGACACCGTTGCAAGTTGCAAGATGAAGATCAGTGAGGGATAGTCCCATAAATGGGGGTCTTCGCCTCTTTTTGGATTCTTTACATGGTTCTGGGTAGGGTAGAGTATTTCAATCACTTGGTGCAAAACGACGTCAGGGGCCAACCCTTACTAGGCAGCCCAAAAATACTCCGTCGGTGTTTTTTTCCTGAAAGGCAACTTGCCGAACCGCGCGTTTTGCCTGGTTCCCCCCGCTCGAAGCCTAAGAGCCCGCGGCCCCAGGGAAAGCAAGCCAAAAATGGTTTCGGCAAAGCACAGCGGGTGAACAGCGGAATCAAGGCAAGCGTACTATTCAAACTTGCTCACAAGGGGAGGAGGTCCCCCAATTTGGGGCTTTGGTTCAGCTCTTTTCCTTCTGCTTCTCCATGGCCAACTTCAAAAGACACACCAATGGCCATCGCGGTTTTCTTGGCTGAAAATAGCTGATGCTGGTGTCAGTTGAAACCCTGAGAACGTACCAATGCCATTGTATTTTACAGAGGTACACCTAGGGCTTTTCCAGAACAATTCGCAGCAATCCCTGCTTAAAACGGGGTTCTTCCTGTGTGCCTAGGCCGGCCAAAGCAGAAGGACACAGTCGGAAACCAAATTGGGGAAGCTTCGACCTAATGACACTAAGAGTTCCTGCACTTATGGGCGAAAGGTAGATCATGGGGCAGGGTTCAGCACAAAAAAGGTATCAAGCACGGATGAGCGCATTGACACCTATGGACATGGGCTTGTGTAGCTAGGTCCCCCAGCAGTGCCCTTTCTCACCCTTTTTTGGTGCAGGGTTCCCCTACTAAAATAGACTACAGAAAACAACCGGGTACCAACTTATTCTACTCTCTCTACTGGAGGACCTAGTTTTTTCTCTGTACAAGTGTGCCGCGTGTGATCCTTGCAGGTCTCCTCCAGCACATCCGCGAGAGACGAGGAGGGAAAGGGCTGGAGGTTCCGCGGATCACCCAACCACTTAGACATGGAATCGGGGCAACCGTTTGCTTAAGAATACCCTGGTGGTGATTCTTGCAAATTACAGCTTCCCTTGGTTTCCCATTTCCCCTGCAGAAACAGGGGTCAAATCCAAGTCCAAACCACCAACCTCCATTTGCTTAAGAACATGTTTTTACTTTGCCTTGCTGGTTTCAAAAGGAATTCATCACTACTGGGCATATTTTTAACTGTTTTCCTGGGGCCGAAAAACCAAATGGAAGTCAAACATGGAATCGCTGGCTGACAATGGCCAAAGGAATCCCCGGAACTGGGGCAAGAAACATGGGAGTTGGCGGATCCGCCTCCTCTTAGCCCTTCAAGGCAAGCGGGCGGACCAAAGGTGAAGTCACTTGTGGCGATCGAGTCTTGGGGACCAGAGCAAGGTGCGTTTCCCCTTACTCCATGTGCGGAGTCCGAGTGCGCACAACTAATTTGCACGGATGGTGAGGGGAGGACATCTCTAAACTCTGGGACGCCAAGATAGAAGATAATCAGGAATCGTTCAAGTAGAAGGATGCACTGTTTTGGCACTTCCCGCCCATATGTAGAATGCCCAAAGGCAGCAATGATGGCAGATATATTCATGGATGGTGTCAGGCAAAGAGTCTGCATAGATGCAGAAAAACAAAAACAGGCCATGGGATTTTTTCATTCGGGGACTCCTGGCCTCCAAGGTGTGTAGCCTTCCATTTGCTTAACACGTGTTTCTACTTTTCCCCCGTTGAATTTGTGTTTTGGACATATGCTTGTTTTTTTCCCCCCAGGGGGCGAAAAAGCAAATGAAAGTAGCCTTTGGTCGATGGTACTTTGAGTAGCCACGGGAACTGGGCAACGGGGGCTCCCGAAGAGTCTTGGCGTTATGTTTGAGCGAAGCTACTTGATGGTGGAGAGTGGAACATGTTGCACGGTTCCAAGCGGGGCGCTTGGAATCGTTTGGACGTTCCATTTCTTGATCGTCCTTACCAGACTTAAGCCCAGACATTTCCCCTTCTTGCTGGTCAGGGAATGAGTTGGAATGACCCTGACAAAACCCATCCCTTGTGGTTTCCTTTATTCGGGAATCCCCGAGTGGTTCATTCCAACACCCGGACTCGGTCATTCCCTACCTATCGCACCAGCAAATTTTTGGGGACATTAACATCGGTTTAAGTCATTGAGAAACTCTGCCAGCAAAATAAATGTCATTCGACATGTCAAGTTCGGATGAGTCAGAAGGAGGACGACACTGGTCAAATTGGGGGGAGCACATGTCAAATTCGGATGAATCAAGAGGTCCGGAACGGAGCGGGTCCCCTGTGGTTTGCATTTAATACCATCAAGGGCCGGGTGCTCTCCAAAGGCTTCTCCGGTGAGCGATTTCTGCGATTCTTCCGCCTTCAGCGAGCAAAGGACCCTGGCTTGGGCCTACACCTTCTCTCAATTCCTACAAGACAAGAAGATCTCACCGGGGCCTGAAGTCAGGGCAGAGGAACGGGATTTCAATTTGCCCTTGGACTCTTTCCCTTAAGCTCGATTGCGCCAGAGAGGATCTCTCCACGTAGTGGAGGGGACCTCCAAAAATCCAATGTTCTACAGGTTGACTCCTGGTTCTTTTCAGGACGATGTGGGGTTTTCTGAATCTCGGGGTCTGAAAATGGAGTTGGGGAGGGGGAACATTTCGACTGGAGGTCTCCATTGAGTTCCATGAATTTCATTTGGAGATTACTAGCAACATGGAATTGGGGCCCGCCCCTTTTAACAGGGGTCGATTCCTACATTTCCCCTTTTGGTTGGTTTTAAACATCACTTTTTTGGCAACCATGAAAGGTGAGTGCCCCTTGGCTTGGGTGATGTTTTAAGGGGAAATTACTCGGGAGCCCTGTTTAAGGAGAGTTTCTTCTTTTTCTGGGAAAGACCTTGGCTTCTGCTTACCGCCACTTGTCTCCTTTTGCTTGGAGTCGCCCGGGGAATACCCCTGGGGCAGGGTGAAACAGCCCGAAGAAAACAACTGGTACAACAACTTGTGATTGCTTCTTGGGGTCTATTAGTCAACGTTTAGTCAAGGTTCCAAAAGGTCCCACCTATCTCCAGGTCCTTTTGAACAGGTTCTCTTTGTAACGCCAACTCAAAAAGAAGAAACCACTGCAAAACAAACAAGCAACGCCAGAAGGGCTAACCTTTCAAGCGAGCGGATCAGATTCGAGTCTTTCTCAGACCAAACAGTAGGTCTAGAAACAAGCCACACCTCACTGCTTGATTCAGCCACTATAGCAGTGGGCATCCCAGCATCACTCAAGTCAACACGGGCGCTTGCTGAACATTGGCCGCATTGAGCAGTGGAAGATATGATTTTGCAGCCCCCCAACACGAAGTGAACAGAAAAACAAATAGATCCCAACCAACAGCAAACCGACCAAAATGACCCCAACGCAACACATGGATTGTCCAATCCCAGAGAGCCACAGGGCAAGACGGCCGTGGCCGCCCTTTTTTCCGGCTGCTCGCGTCCGGCCGCTCCTTCGGTCCTCGGTGCGCGTCCGGCGCCATGGCAGCCGTTGCCATGCCGCTGAGCCACGGCCAGGTTCAGGAGAGAAGTCGGACCGTATCCCCGCCCCCCTTAAAAACGGGATTGGGGGGGGATTTCGACCCCTGGAAATCCATTTCTGGCAACCCATTTTCCCTTTTATTGGGGAAGACTAGATAAATGGAATTCAGGGCTCTTCACCCCCCACCCCCCTGCAGCAGGGGGAATCCGGCGTAGACCTCCATTTTCTGATCCAAGAGCAACCTGTTTGAGCCTGGGGTTGATTTGGAGACACAGGTACCCAAATACAACCTGGGCCTTGGAGTTGTTTGGCATTGGGCCATGGGTGGCTCGTCGGTTTTTGGGCGGCCGTACCATATGGGACCCGCTGATCGATTGAACGAGGCTTCGGAACAAATCAGAAATCGGTCCCTTTGAACCTGGACGTGTCCAGGTTCACAAGTGGCAGTGGGTCAAAACCAGTGGGATCCCATTTTGGTTGGGATAGGTGTGTTTATCACTCACCCAGAGGAATAGAGCCAAACTGAAACCAGTCGAAGCCATGGATGATGAAGCAAAAAGAACACCCGTGCGGCTTCTTTTGGACAGAACCTAGCCAAAACCCACTTTTTCTAGGAAGCAAGACAAAGGAACTTGCTGCTCAAGAGGCTGACTGGGATCGCCCAGCTACCCGCTCTCCAACCAGCATGTGTGCAAAACGAACCCTTCCTTCTAGAAGGGGCGAGTTCCTGCACACTTCCACTTCCACTTCTCCGTCTTGCAAAAACAACATGAAACCGCCGTGTTCAGCTCCCGGTCCATGTGAAAAAGTATATGAACTTTGAAATAAACACCCTTCCACGGGCTCTTGTTTTGGTGGGGACGTTTATATCCAGCCACTTTTGAGGCGGTTTTGTGGACCATGTATGAGACACACACAAAAAATATGTCGTGTGACGTTTGTCAAACAAGCAAACCATTTGGCCATGGGTCAAACTCCCGGTTAGCCCCCAGTGAACATCCCAATCCAACCACTAAAATAGGTTCTAAAATGGGTGGTGAATTCACCAAGAGGACCCATTAACCTGGGTGTTTTTCTTCTGGTTTCTGCATTAAACAAATGGGTGTGGCTCAAAATTAAACGGGAGGGGTTACGCAGGTTTTGGTCCATGTTTCCACTTACCAGGGCAACCCATTTTGGTACCGGTTTTTTGAGCCACACCCAAATCTCAAAGATGGCGCAGCCTCCAAAAACGACACCTATTTGCCAGTGCCATCTATTTGTGTCCAAAGGGCACCTATCAAAGCATATGTACATATATATATATATATACATGCTCATGCCGCCCGAACTACCTTTGTAGAAAAACCTATGTGGAGACTCTTCAAATTTCCTTTAAATTGCAGCTCACTTTGAGTAAAGAATTATTTAGAATTGAATTCCTGTCAATTCTAAGCTAGACACTTAACATCAAAGTACAGTGCAGCTAACTTTGTCAAAGTCCTAATTGGAAAGGACATCCTACTTAGATTCTAAATCAACATAGACATTCAAATTCAATTCTGCCCTTCTTCAGTTCTATCTTAGGTTTGTTTTCCAATTATCATTAAACATTAGTTTACACTTGAAATTTGATGAACATAGTCCATCATATTTGAAGTCTTCCCTTGTTATGATGTGAGATCAACATCCGGATCCGGCCGTGGGCACACCCTCAACCCAACCGCAGTGGCCCCATTGGACGGATGGATGTTGCCTTGGATGGTAGAGAGCCTTCCGTTTGCTTGAGACTATGTTTTGACTTTCCCTTGTTGGTTTTTTGAAGAATCTGTTTTGCCTTTCCCTTGTTGGTTTCAAACAATATGTTTGACCTTCCCTTGTCGGTTTCTAATAATATGTTTTGACCTTCCCTTGTTGGTTTGAAAGCAAGTTTATCCCTACTGGACATGTTTTACTTTTTCCATGGGGGTTAAAGCCTTGATGGTAGAGAGCCTCTTCTCAGGAGCTACTAGCTGATAGACGGGCTGTGTTGTCCTCGGATTGCGGAATGAGGGAGGAGGGGTTAAGGATCCAATTCACAGACCCTCCATTTGCTTTTTTTTTTTTTTGCCTTGTTGTTTTCAAAAGGAATTCATCACTCCTGGAAGTATGTTTTTTCCTGGGGCCTTAACATGCAACAAGACGGAGTCACTTTAATTGAGGAGTTTGATTAGCTTTGTGGGGTTTTTGCAAGGTCTGTAAACCGCTTTCCATTGCTTAAGAATACGTTTTTCCCCTGTTGCCAAGAAAGGGACATGTATCGCTACTGGACATATGTTGTTTTTGAAGCGACGATTTCCCAAATGGAAGTTTGAGGGGCTCATAGTCTCAAAGGAGTCTTCGAACTCCTCCACTTAACCAAAAGATGGCAGCCATAGAACCAACCGTCCATAAGTGACAACTTCACTCCGCAAAACACCACGAGGTTTCTCGGCATGCTTTAGGTGTTAGTTGTTATTTTGGTTTGCCCAGTTTTAGCAGGGGGTTGTGCTACCTACTCCAAGGCTTGGGCTCGCTGACACGGGGCGTTTCACTCCGCGCCAGGCGCTCCGTGCGGCGCCCCTTTTCCAGGAACCCAGGCGCGCGTTGCTTGGCGGGTGCTCGGTGTGTTTTGGCCTCGTTTCGGAAAAAAAAGGAGAGAAATCCGGCAAGCGCAATGGGCAAAAAAAGCTGTTCCTGATTTTTTTGGGGCGGATGTTTTTGACGTTTTGCTCCGTCACAGAACTCACAACCCCCCCCCCACAGTTTTGACCGTGATATTCTCATGGACCAGAGCCCTGGGTTGGGAGAAATGGGTTGAGGCGTCCTCGTGGCAGGCCGGTGGCGAAAAAAAATCCACGGGGACCCTCCCAAACATCGGATGCAAAGGTGATCTGATGAAGAGAGCGCCGGTCGAACGCTTTCCGAACTGGGAAATGAAGCTCATCTAGATCCCCACAGTAGTGAGTGCCCTTTTTGCCTTGTTTTGGGGAGGGTTCCCCTACTAAAATAGAGTACAGAAAAAGGGTACCTTTACGGCCAAAACATCCCGCTTGCCCGCGACGTCTGCGACCGCCCCCGCGCCGACCCTTAAAAAACGTGGCAGGCGTGGGGTGAACTCCCTCAAAAACTTGGGGGTCGAAACCTGGATTTGGAGCACGCTGTCTTGGGTTTAAACCCTAAACCCTAAGCCCTAAACCCTAAAAACCCTAAACCTAAACCCTAAAAGCCCTAAACCTAAACACTAAAAACCCTAAACCTAAACCCTAAAAACCCTAAACCTAATCCCTAACAACCCTAAACCTAAACCCTAAAGGCAGCGGCAGACATCCCCATAAAGATGCTTGTGGGCGAGCCGCGTGTTTTGTGGGTACCTTTATTCTAACCTTCTACTGGAGGACCTAGTCATCATTGGTGGTGGGAGGGTATGTTTTCGTGAGAGGCGCGCAGTACCTAAGCATTTTAGGCACACCCGCAGGAATACGTCGGAAAGAAGTGACGAGCAGATAATATACCGCCCAATACTTTGATTAGATTGCCACGTTGATCTTTGGGCAGGTCTTACAATCTTGATATTGTTCACGTTTGTTCTTAGGGCAGAAACAAGCGCTGCTTGAGTGGCAAATACTTTCTCTTCAAGCCCTGCAAGAACCCTAGACATGCCCTGGGAGAGAAACGTCAACTGTGCTGCTTTAAGAATTGACACACCGATGGTTGATTCACTAGGCAACTTGTGTCACAACCCGGGCAAGCGAAGGTAAGGGACAGTCCCAGTCACAAATAGGTGGAGCCACCTTGGATTCTTGACCATGGATTTTGGGCAGACCCCTTCTGTGCCGATTTGGATTGTGACTCACTTGAGAAAAGCCCACAACCTTCGTCTGGAGCTTTATGGTACGTGGTGCTGCTGCCTACTTCAATAGGGATGATGGTAAGGCCATGTAAACCATCAGGGCTGTGTTGATAGAACCACATTTTCTATGGGTGAAACGGGCGGTGCTCACTTGGCCAAACAGGATATTTTTTGATGTTCAAGCCATGTTCAAAGCGACTTCGTATGCTTGGGTTTTGTGGGACGAACCAATTAGCAGGCACTATGTATTTCACAAAACGAGCGAGCAACCGGGAGTCTCCATGCAACAGCCTGTTGCAACTTACTTAGTCTAGGTCCCCCAGTAGTGCCCTTTCTCACCCTTTTTGTTTTGGGAGGGTTCCCCTGCTAAAATAGACCACAAATGAAAGAGTTGAGTAGCAACTTATTCTAACCTCTCAAATCTGGAGGACCTAGTCATGCCGACCTATAAGACAAAAAACCCGCTGCCCATTTGTTTGAAGTCTTATGAATATGGGGTGAAAGGGTTCCCGCTGCAGGCGCCCGGCGCCGCTGGCCTCGGGCGCCGCGGGCGCCGCCTCGCTGCAGCGTGCGCTGGTGGCCTGCGCGGTGGCGGCCTGCGCGCGGCGCGCCGGCCAGGCGCGGGGCGCGGGGGCCGGGCCGAGGATGGGCATGGGTCACAAAGTCGAAGGGCATGGGTCAAGGTACGCAGGTTGGAGTGGTTGGTTCCATGTTACCAATATTCCCATTTTGGGGAATTACCTATTTTGGACCCACAGCCATATCAACGATGCAACTCGCAGGTTGTTGTTTGGAGGAAGCTTAAATTGGAGGAAGCTTAAATGGTCGACAGGGGGCATGGCACGTGCTTGGCAACGACGTTAACCATGGTTGTAACCCACTCACCGAAATTGTAAGCCCCTGAAGTACGTAACCAGACTTATGAAGTACCCTGCCCCCTGAAGTTGGACGCTTATCCACCAAGATGGAAAGCCACCTCCAAAGCATGGAGCCTGACAGGGGGGTCCTGGAAGACCAGTTTCTAAAGGGACCCCCGAATGTCAGGTTGCATGTCAATTGGTGGGCTTGAAGGACTGCAATGCTAAAAAATGACCTCCAGTCCACTTAATTGTCGGACAGATGATACTGCGGATGGTTGCGACATCCATTTCCACAAAATGAAACCCTGGGTGAACCCATATGGTTTGCTGGTATTTAGGAGGAGAAGCACATCATTGGGGTTGTTTTTTTTGGGTTGCAGGATTTCGTTCATCCGCAGCAGGGGATTTCACAGAATGTTCTGTCCCTTCCCCCGGTGGTTTCTTTTTTAGTAATCTTTTAGTCTTTTAGTACTACTCTTAGTATCCCAACAAGGGTGGATCCACAGATTAGCCACAATGAAGCCTTTTTCTAGATTTTATGATGGTTGGACAGATGATAGGGACACCCAACAAAGGAGGCCGATTTTTTTCCCATGGAAATTCACTGGGCATCTGAGTAGGGTATCCGTGTCAGATCCTCTGAGTTTTTTTTTGTTTTGCGGAGGAGAATTTCTGGGGCCCCGCCTGCCTCTGCACCGGCAGGTGGCGATGCGGAGCACCGCAGCGCGGAGCTTAAGGAATGGGGTGCTAGGTCTGCCAGAAGTGCCCTTTCTCACCCTTTTTTGGGGGAGGGCTCCCCTACTAAAATGGACTGCAGAAAAGCATACCCTTATGCTAACCTCTCTACTGGAGGACCTAGGGTGTGATGTGGCCTGGGCCTCCTGGGCCCTCCGCCCAACGGGCTTCATTGATGTCTAGCTGTGGATCCGCAATCCAAGATGGACACCCCCAAACCGAAGCTTCCCCCAATAAGCATGGGTAGTGTAAACCCCTAAGTTGCTGGTGGTGGTTGTGCATCCCACTTAAACCCCTGGGAGTTGTGGTTTGGGGGGTGGCGGAACCCTTTAAACAAACGTATGCCATTGTGAAAATTCTTTGTATAGGTCACTGTTTGGTGGTAGAAAGATTGGGTTACCTTGAACGGTTGTTCGTGGTTTGCGAGCCACACTCAGAGGGCCCCAATGCTTGGGTCTGGCTTTTTGCAGAAAACCCAAGCCAAGAAAACCCAAGCCTGCACCAATGGAAGCAGCAGACTTGGGTGCATCCGTATTCTCGCCTAAATATTTTGATTTGGGTTTCCGGGTACCAAAACAAATGATGTGATGCTTATAGAAGCAACCATTGCCTGTAGTATTTGTTTCAGCCTCTTATTTTCTTTGCCCAGGGCGGGGAAGCACATGCTGTTTATTTAGTACAGCATGTTTGGTACTCCCATCTTTCCAAACCGTGACGTACACATAGGGTTCACAACTGGCATAGGTTTGTCTACACAGGCTTCCAGCACCCCCAAACAACCCTCATCGTTCCTGAAGATAACTGATAGTTTTAGTTTAGTCACAGGGCAGGCCACGTTTTGTGTCACCAGGCTTTTGCTCATTTAGATCGGGTTTTTTGACTCTAAATAACCGCCCTTTGTATTGTTTTCTGGAGAGCACTTGCCATGAACTCAGCTCTTCTTTTTCTTTTTTCAGGTACCCACTAGTTCGTTTTGGATGATTTGAACCCCTGGGTCTTGCAGAGGTTAGATGGGAAACCACTCCTCAGCTCTATAACCCTTGGTGGTTCCCAGCCATCCACGTGGCTTTAGGGGTGTCCGTTTAGCCCACTAAAAGTCGACTTTCTGCAAAGGGCTTAGGGCAGCCCAGCAACCCTTGGATTGGATGTTGGGAAGACTCCGTTCATACACCTTCCCCTTTGCTCGGCTTCCCTCGTCTGCACCCTCAGAAGGGGGCAGCCCAAGATCATGGGCTTCTAGATGAGGGGCGCCCAGAAAAGAAGAGGGGCTTGGGATGGCCATGGGTCAAAATCCCGGTTAGCCCCAGTGAACATCAACCAATCCCCACTAACATAGGTTCTAAAATGGGTGGGGCACCCACCCACCAAAATGGGATCCCATCGGTTTTGACCCACAGCCAGATCTGAGCCTTTGGGACCCTCCCGGAATCATGGGTCCAAAGTGGTCCATAGATTCAAATCCAATAAGTTGGCCTCGGTGATCAAAAGGGTACCACACCACACCGCCCCAAGAAGCAACGGCTTCAGCTGGCCTTTCGGTTTTCCTTGAAGTAACCCTGAGAAAGGGTACCCGTGCAAAACACACCCATGGGCCAAAAACAGCCACAGCCATAGGTGTCCTATTTGGTGGTTTTGGTGCCCTGGTTCAGCTGGTGGTTTAGTCATCTACCAGGGAAACCCATCTATTTCCCTTAAAAGGACACCTATGGCAACAACTGAGAACCGCCCAGGTGAAGGAGAAGGAGCGCGAGGCGAGCGGCGAGCTGCTGGCGGAGCCGCCCGGAATGCACGGCTCGCATCGGGTCCGATGGCTACGGTTGCGAAATCCTCTTTGGCGCCAAGAAATGGCTGTGGCTCAAAAAACCGGTACCGAAATGGAACCCTGGTAAGTGGAAGCATGGACCAAAACCTGCGGTTTGCCCCTCCGATCGTTTAATTGTGAGCCACATCCAACTGAGTCACCATGGGAATTCATCATGACGTTGGTATTTATTAAGGGGAATCGAATCAGACACCAGGGTTTCTGGGCGCGGGATTTCCATCAGTATGGACATGGGCTGGCTCGTGAGTTTTTTTTCGGGGGCCCGCCAAATTGGCGGGTTTGCCTTTGGGTCCTCTAACACCAGCCCCAAAAATGAGACACGGCCATATGTGGCTTGGCTTTTAATTTCTTTTTTCTTTTTTCGGGGGGAGGCTCCCTTGTCGTATTTATCGTTTTTTCCCAAGCTGAGAGCAACGGGGTCGATGGCCCCACATGGGACCTGGAGGGGTTCGGAGTTCGGAACAATACGGAGACAAGGGTTCTTTTCCAGGGTTCCGGGGGGTGCGGTGGGACCCGAATGTTTTCTTTTTTTCCTGATGGCTATAAACGACCCCAAACAGGGTGCAAACAAACGCGCACCAGCTGTGGCCTTGTTTGGGGGGTTTTTCCCCGTTTTGCCGGAGGGCTAAATGGGAATCGGTGTCCTTTTGCGTGCCTTTCAATGCCAGCCAGGAGGAGGTTCGCCATTTTGAGCAGCTTTCGAATATGAAGCATCATTTGTGCCAGTTCCTCTGTGGTGCGTCCTGGGCAATTGATCTTTACGCACTTTCAGAGCCTTTTCCTTCCGGTACCAAGCAAACCAACGTCGAGCCGCCTGTGGCTGTTGGCCTCGCAACGTTGCCCGGCTTCCCGAACCCGGTTTTTGTGTTTGGCGGATGGGGGGTCAACTGTCAGCGCCCCAGCGAAACCGCCGAAACCGAAGCCGCGGCTTGCCGCGCGGTTGGCCACGCGGCGCCGTTTGCCGCGGTGTTTTTGCCGGAGGTTCGAGAGCGGGTGCCTGAAGACTTGGCGCCTCGAGCAAGCGCCGCGGTCTCTCGGCGGAAGCCGCTTTCAGGGCGAGGAAGGGGGCTCAGAAGAAAGGGGGCTTCCTACACAAAAAGCAGGGTGGCCTGATTTGGAGAGCTCAAAAGTAGGTGGTTCCAAGTGACAGCTTCTTGTAATCCATTTCCTTTTTTGAGTAATACGCCCTATTGATACATATGGTTTGCCTCGCGGAGGGAATTTCGTATTGGGGAGAGCGTAGTTATGTTTTTGGGGCTGCCCTTCCTTCCAAGCGCGAGCTTTGCTTTGTGAGCTGTTAAAACCCGGCCGGAGGGAAACCAACCGAAGGTTGCTAATGCCCCCGGATTAGACCTGTCCTATTTGATAGGGGAGTGTCACCCACAAAGGTAAGGATTCCGACTAGAAGGGGACACCCGGCATTGGTCAACCATGGGTTTATTCGTCTACATCAAACAGCAGGGGCTTAAGATGGTTCGAACATTTGGGAAAACCTCAAGAACCTCAGGCTTCAGGTGGGTTCACAATTGTCAAAACAAGAGGTTCCCAGACATGGCTTCAGTTTGCCTTCCGGTTTTCCTTGAACTTATCCGGAAAAAGGGTAGCCTCGCAAAACACGCCATTTGTGGCTTTCCTTTTGGCTTCCCTTTAAACCAACCCCAAAAGGGTGCCGTTTACTTGGGGAGTTGTATATATATATATATGTAGTACATACATAGAGTGTATATATATATATATATATGTCACATGCGCTTTTGTTAGTTTGACCAGATGCCCTTTGGACAGTACTTGCACCTAAGGCGTTGAACAACACTGGACCCATGTTCGCGCGCGGCGCGAGGCTGTTGTCCTGGCTCGACACCTGGGACACCGCCGGCCGCGGCGGCCAGGAAACCAACTTCTGGCGCCGGCGGGTGGTCATGGCCGCCCGTCATGGCGCGACATTTTTTTGGGTATGCGCGATTTTTGTTCAACCAAACCAACCGGTACCCACACCGTCAGCAAGCATCATCAGGATCAGCTTCGAACATGATGGGGATACTGCCGGCCACTGACGTTCTTAGGGTGGCATGGGCCTGACACCAACACCTGTCCAGACAGCACAGAAGCTGTTGTCCCTGCAGAGCTTAGCAGTATCGCTTTATGGCTGTTCATTTGGATCTTTTAACTTTAACGTTTTTTGGGAAACAGCAAATTTTCCATTGGACAGACAACACAAACCAACTTCTTGCAGAGGGGGCCTCGCCAGCAACCAAGAGGCTTCCATTTAGACCAGTTTTTTTTTTAAAATACGTGGCCATAGCCTGCCAAACCGTGGCTGAGTGGTTGTTTTTCGCCCGGCTTTTGGGACCTGCTTGAGTTTTGTTTATTTGTGCATGGCTCTTGGGCAAACACATCCATGGCCAGAGGTCCATTTCATTTCTCAGAGCCGCGCGCCTTTCTTTTTTTGGCTGGCTCCCCTTTCCGCGAGCCGAAAGAAACACCTTTCCCGAGGCTCGGCATCCCGAAAGGTCATGGTGGTTGTTGGGAAACAAATTCTGACCATTTTTGAGCTTATTGTGGTTTACATCCAACCACTTGACTGCTAAAACTTAAAACTTTGCTCCCCTAACCCAACGTCAACCAAGGGGTAGTGCGTGAAGTTGGGTCCCTTCGATTGCGAAGGTTTGGAGGAGTTCCAATCCTCTCTCGAGAGTGGTTTCCCAGAACCATGTGCGTAAGTGTGTGTGCTGTGTTGAGGCTAATCTTTTTTTTTGCAGCCTGGCTCAAAGGGAAGCCAACAAGGAGACCGCATTTTTTTCCTTGGGCTCCCGTTTGACACATTTTGACACATGGGGGTTGATCAAAAGGCCCTTTACATTGGGTGACCATTGGGGAAAACCACGAGAAAGGATGATCATATTTCAAGCACTAGAGGGGATGGATAGTCAAACCTGGGGGCCTGAACCCCCATATGCATCCCATATGCATCTAAAGTTTTGTTCCCCAGCTGAAAGCTTTGGGGTCGATAGGCCCAGGCTGCGGGGTGGTCCGGGGCGGCCCTGAGGTAATGTTCCACGAGGGTTCCACAAGGGTTCCACAAGGGTTCCACCAGGGTTCCACGAGGGTTCCACGAGGTTCTGCGAGGGCTACGTGGTGCAACTGTTGGGGATATCACCTGAGCTTTTTTTTTCAGGGATTCCACTGGATTCGGTTCTGAGAATTGCCCCCAGCGGAGGCAATGCAGCAGCGCTTGCAGAAAGTGGCCGACAGCGAAAACAGCTCGGGAGGTGCGGATTCAGAGCAAGGGGGTTGTACTGGAGCATCTCGGTTGGCATGTTGTTTGCCTGCTCAATTGCGCGTCGATTATTCGCTTACCAGCAATTAGTTGTTAGCTGGTTTGTTCGTTATGTTTGTTTGGTTACTTGTTTGGCTGCTTGCTTGCTTGCTTGCTTGCTTGCTTGCTTGCGTGTGTGGCTGTGTGTGTGTGTGTGTGTGCGGAGTTTCTGATCAACCCAGGAACCATCGTTTGCTGTTACACGCACAAACGATGCCCAACGAAGCTGCGCGAGTGGAGGGGAAGCTTGGATTGGCCGTCCGGGTGTACCTGCTGTTGTACAGTGATACAATCTTGATCGGATTAATAAACCCCTGGTTGATTAATAGGGGGTGTCCCCTTTGAGTTGGGATTCATCACTTTTGGAGGGAAGGCCCCCCTAATACTGGGACAGGTTTATTAATCCTGGGTCAACATTATTGGGTTGGATCTCTAGACTTTACCCTTCGGAAATTCAATGGGCTTTCCTTTCCACGAAAACCCCCAACAAGTTCAAAAGTTCTTGCAGGGGGGTCAACAGCAACCAAGCAATGTCCTTTTGGTTTTGAGCTAGCGTGAAACCACGTCAGCCACCACTCGAACATCACCACTCGAACATGGCCGCTCGAAGGTTAGATCTCCAGCCCTTCTGGTTTGTTTGGCTTGTTTGTTTGCGTTTTGAAGTGTTTGGTTTTGTTCCGTGCCCTTGTTTGCCATGCTTTTGTGTGTAACATGACAACCTCGCAATCTCATGTTGTAGCGATTCGACACTGAGTGAAACATTCTTACATGTCGATGAAACTGGAGATGTCAATTTCACACATCAAATGTGGCCGTGCCGTTGGATGTGTCATGGGTGGTGGGTGGCACTTTCGCGTGTTACATGTGGTCATGTTGTTGGGATGTACTGTTGAAACGTGGCACTATTGTGTGTCAGATGTGGCCGTGCAATTGCGATTTGTCAAGAACGCGACTTTCCACGAGTTTACACATACTTGTTTATATGTTGTTTCTGATACGCGACAGTTGTACATTGCAGACGTGGCCGTTTCCATTGCATTCTGTCAGGAGCAAGACTTTCTTAGGTGCCGATGTGGCTGTGCCTTTGCGATTTGCTCTGAAACCCATGCATGTGTCAGATGCATTTGTGTCGTTGAAACGTGACAGTTGTGTCACGTGGAGTTGCGACAATGCGGTTGCGTTTATTTGCTGAAGGAGACTGTGAATTGGACGCATCCGTGTCGTTGGTGTTTATTGCATTCGCACTGGGGAGGGTCGGGTGGATGAAACAAGTATTCAGTACTGTGGATGGACAGAATCCTGCACCACCTAAGAAAGCCAGGTTTCTGATGATTCCCTGGTAAATGCCCACAAACAATGGTTTCAACCATGGCTGCTTCGGTGGTGCGAAATGGATTTCGCAACCATTCACAGCATGTCGCAGATGGTGTTGCGTGTGATCGTGGGTGCGTCGGACAGCGCACACAGGCTTTCTCTGTTTTCCATGAGAGCTTAACGTCCGGCCTGGGAGATCGTACGCGGGGAACGTTTGGAGGGGGGGTTTGCCTGCAAAACCCCACATTCCTCAGCCTTTTTTGCGGGTGGGGATGTTTAATTGCAGAATAGGATGTCAAGCACTTTTCTGGTATCAGTTATTGTTTTTGGTTGGAGTTATTGTTCTTGGTTGAAATATGAAGACGGACACCCCCCTCCTCCAAACGAACACGGAAACCCCCCTCCTCCAATGATAGGTGCTGTCCATTTGGTTCTCCTGAACCAGCCCTCATCTTGGGGTATACATACAGTCCCTCCAACAGGGGTACCTTTATTTCCCTTGTTGGCGGATTTAAACATCACCGTGTTGCCCATTTCAGGTGAGCTTCCCTTCATAAAGCTGATGTTTTGAGGGGAAATATACTGGCCTCATTATTTTACCAGGATCAAAGTCACCCACTAAGTGGTGGGTTAAAGGGAAACCACCCCATTTCCTGACTTTGATAGCCCCCAGAAACCGTCAAAACAATGACCCCAGATATAGGGAGCCCTGTCCAAGAGAGACGCACTCGAGGGGCCCTCGTACCGCAGGCGCTGAGTTGCAGATCTACTCAGTGCACCAGCGACTTGGAGTCGTGTGGAGTTATCCTTTGATTGGCCACAACACACCCGGGCGTGTTTTTTGGTTTGGGAACCTCTTGTTGTTTTCCCGTGGGATGTCCTCTAGGAGGCCTCGGGTGCCAACTCCAATAAACCTTGATGCTTAGAACACCCTTCCATCAGGGGAATCTCCTTAAGCCTTCCCCAATTCGAAGAGGGCAACTACACTTCAGGTTGGCAATACAAACATAGGTGTCCTTTTTGGTTGTTTTGGCAGAAGAACAAATGGCGATTCCTGGTTTACCCGGTGGTTTAATCATCTACCGGGGAAACTCATCCATTTCCCCTGAAAGGACACCTGTGGCCGGGTGTGTCTTTTTTGGGAACCTCTTTTGGTTGGTGGTCAGGGGAAGCCAAAAGGACATCAAGCATTTTGGGGGATACCTCCCAGTTGGAGATGCCACTCAAAGCCATACCCGTCTTATGCCATTCTCAGGCATCCTTTTGTTCAGAAACTGGCCCCAAGCCGAAAGAACATGGGCTGTTGAGGATTCAAGACTTGTCGCACGGTCAGCTCCCCAAGAGAGCCACAGCCCCCAACAGAAATAGGCTTAGGGGTGGTCACCTTTAGTCTGAGTTGTCCAAAACCAACCTGATCTGACCTTTGTTTTCCTATTTTGGTCTGTGTTTGGTCAAGGTCCTAAAAGGGTGACCACCTTTGGTTTTTGGGTCCTTACGGGCATGTGGGTGCGGCTCAAAATTGAACAGGAGGGGCAGACCGCAGGTTTTGGTCCATGTTTCCACTTACCAGGGCAACCCATTTTGGAATTCCGGTTTTTTGAGCCGCAGCCATGTGAGTATCTATAGAAGGCGGGTCGACCATGTCAATTGTGACTCACTTGCCGAACTTATGCGTGAGTTCTAGCCTTGCTTGCTTGCGAGGTGTAAATAAGTTTCTTGACTGTCCATTGTAGGGGTTCCCACAAGGCGATGGGAAGTTGGTAAGTTCTTCCCGACCCCCCCCCCCCAAAAAAAAAACCACAAACAAACAAACAAACCCCCCAAAAAAAACACCGAAGAACACTAGAAGAACCCCCCAACAAATAGTAATAATAACTAAAACACACATCAAATAAAGAAAAACCATAGAAGAGGGCTCCGAGCTTGGACCACCTCAAAGTGTATGGGCATATCTCAACCTGCTTGGAAGATGTCCTAAATTTCCCTTGGGAGCGGAAGCCGTTGGTTTCCTTTGGGCTCCTTGGGATCGATTCGTTTTTGTCCCAAGCTGACTGAGGGCTGCCCCAAGAAGTCCTTGCGTGTTGGTATCTTTGGTACTCGCAAGCCGAAGCGGCCGGAGCCGACCTTTTGGCTTGTCTTTTTGTTGGGTTCCCATCCAAGGTGCACCTTGTAGTTCTGGGTAGCTTGTTTTTGAGGGGGGGGTGCTTCTTGGAGAAACCGCAACTTGCCATTTCTGTGGCCCCAGTTTGAGACATGCCCATATGTCATATGCTGCCTTGGGCTGGTTATGGATTCCTATGGGCCAGAAAGGATTTTGTCACAGCAAGTGTGTGAGATAAAGCTTTGCGTAGGGAATCTAAGGGAAAACTGAGCATTTTGGCAGTTCTCCTGGTTGGCAACAAACCCATGGGCGTGTCTCGATCAACAGAGGGGATCTCCAAACATGTCTTTTGGGGGTCCTTGTCGTTTCTTGTTTAAAAAAAGAAGAAACACAACAAAACAACTTAAACCAAAACAAAAAAAAACATGAACCACCATATATATATATATATAAACCGTCCAAGCAAACCAGTTGCAAAGCGGGGCCCGGGCGGTGAACCAAACCTCGGACGACGAGAACTCCGAGCCCCCGAGCCGAGGACCCCGGAGGGCCAGGCCCTCGCGATCGCCGTGGTGCCTTGGGCGTGAGGAACGGGAGGGACGTGAGGGACGTGAGGGACGTGAGGGATGGGGAGTCGCACGCCCAGAGGTTCTTGTTGTGCTTTGAAAGCAGTCCTTGGGGGGGTGCTGGATTGCTGGATCTTGACCTGTTTGGTTTTTTGGTTAATGTAATCAATTCACCTGTCGGGTGCCGTTTGAAGTGAGCCTCCTGTTTTGGTGGAGTGATGTTTCAGCGGGACATGTGGGGAACCCTGCAGCGAATCTTCTGGCGGCTGCCCAGCACCTTGGTTTGTTCCATGTGAATTCGTGCGTGTCGACCCCCAGATGCTTCAAACTGTTCGGTCAACCGCACCGTCACAGGAGTCCGTTTTGGTTGTCTTGCTCGAAAAATAGATGGCGATTCTTTGTTTTTGCTTGGTTTTTTCCTCATCTACCAGGGCCATTTCCACCCTGAAAGAAAGGACACCTATGCGCACCTTCACACCCTGAGTGCCTTCCAAGGGCCGAGTCAAGCCCCGAGTTGGCGCTGAGGGTGCTGTTTTGACAGCCCTCGCCTTGGCCATGGTCGGCACTTTTTTCTTTTCAAGTTCCTGGACATCAAGAGTCCGCCGAGCTTTGTGCCAGTGGAAGGGGTACGAGGAATTGGTTTCTCCAAGCCAGTGCGTGTTGACAGGCCACCTGAGGAGGTAGATGTCCATAAACATATAGGTCGGGGCTGATTCTTCGCACATTTGAAGCGAACATGCACATCCGTGGCCGCATGGGCCTGAAAATCAAATGCGGAAGCAGCTTGCTTTAGGTGCGCTGTTCTTACGTGATTGGCCGTTAGAATGGGAGTCTCGGATCATGGGGTCTGCATTAAGGGAACGCACAAGGAAGCACGAACCCACTTGGGGCCTGCCGGCCTGTTCGCCACGCTCTTGCCTCATTTGCCTTCCATGTTAAGGGAACGCCTATGCACCAAAAAAGGCGATGCTTCAAGCCATTGAAACGGGAAAACCATGGATTTGGTATGCGTTAAAGGTACGGATTTGGACCCCTCCAAAGCTGCAAGCTGATTTCCTTCTGGTTTCCCCTTCAAGTGACCCGACCAAAGAACCATGATCAAACACACGCAGCTGGGCCAACCGGCAAAGGCTGTGTTGGTTCCTTCCTGAAACGCCCACCGGGTCGTGTTTTTGTTCCCCCCCTTTTGACCTGACCTTCCCACAAGGTTTCATTTTTGAGGGGGGCCCTCGAAAAATGACCGACACCTTGTGACCTTAAGGGAGGTGACCTTGAGGGAGGGCTTATTAATCCGGGGCGCCCAGGTTGCAGGGCAGCCTCCTCCAACGAATCTATGGCTCTGGCTCAAAATTTTAACCAGGAGGGGCAGACCGCAGGTTTTGGTCTATGTTTCTACTTACCGATCGGGCAACCCATTTTGGAATTCCGGTTTTTGGAGCCACGGCCATATGTCATCCCCATGTCCGCGGCGAAAATCCGAAAATCGAAACCTGAGACCTCGGAGCGACCCTTGGGCTTGGAGCCGCTGCGGGCGCTGCACTTGGACCAGATCGCGTCGTCCCCGGAGGCGGCGGGCAAGGGGCGGCCCGGATGCATGGCGCGATGGGGATGGGAGAGAAGTCCGGAGCTGTGGATCTGTGGAAAAGGGGGCGCCCCGTGTTTTTGTTTCATTTTTTTTTTGGGGGGGGGTTTGGCGTTCAAGCTCCGAAAGGATGGGGGTGAGCTAGGGGTTGAGCCGGGGTGGGGGGCTAGGGGTTGAGAGAATATCACCCAAGGAATTGGGGAAGTGGGGATGGGAATCCCACTTGGTGTCATAGTAAATTGACTTTTCGCAACCATGTGTAGTGCCATGCCAACTGAACATGAAAGAAAGGAGGGGAATAGGGTTGGTTCGGTGCTTGGATGCGGCTTCTTGTTCGATATTTCTTGGGAATCCGTAGGGTTCGGCCTCCCTCGCATCTGTTTTTGTCCAACAAGAGCCATCCCGCTGCATCAAACTATATTTTTTTGACACTCAAGCAATCTTTCGGGAGTGACAGCCAGGGAGTCAGATGGGTTGGAGTCAGATCCAGTTTTCAGCCGGGTTCTGGGCGTACGTGGGGAAAGAATCGCAAGACGTTTCGGCTCTGTTTATGTGATCCCTCCCACCAACATGGAAGTGCAGAGTTTGGTGTAATTAGCGTTTGTTTGTTCTTTCCAACTCACCGGTTGAGTTGGCAGACTTCACCATTTTAGGCCCAAGTTGAAATGTTTGGACTAATTAAACTCAGCAATGAAAAAACAGCTGTTTTTGGCCTGCCTCTTGCTTTGGCAGCTGGTTCCTGGTTTCTCCATTGTAACCCAAGGCCCCTTTCTTCAGTGACACCTCCCGACAAATCCCTCAAGGCCTATGTGAGGGGTAGGATATGTCAAGACAGGGTTCTCACCACCGAAATCTGGGTTTTACTCTCCCGTCAGTGTCCCAAACCAACCTGAAAGGTACTAATTCAAACAAAGCACATCCCCTATTTCGTGTGTTCAAGCTACTGAGCTACTTAGTAGGTCATAACCATTTTTCTAGGCCTACGAACCCCACTTACCCCAATTAAATTAAGTTCATAGCATGTTTTATCTAGCATGAGTTAAGTTTATAGCACGAACCTCAAGCAGAGGAATTCTCGTTTTCGAACAGGTGGCGCGGATTGATCCATCCGCCGGATGGGTTGACCCGAGGGGAAACGGACTTGAGAGTCGACTCTTTTGGAGACGACGTCTGTGGCAAGCCTGGCGAGCTCGAAGAAGTACCTGGCATCAAAATTTGGGGGGGCACTATGTGGGGCCCGCTTCGGGAGCACACTACCTGACCTGCCATCCCTTCTGCAGGGTCCAAATGGAACCACTTCAGTTACTTTGCCTGGCAAATCCACTCGGAGGCTAGCCGAAATTGAGAAGACACCGCCACCAAACGAATCGATAGCCGGAATGCACTCCAGCGAATCCATAGTAAAGGTCCCAACACACGGTTGTTGTTGGGACAAATATATATTCATTTTTGCTTATTGTGGTTAGTGGGAAATCCCCACCTAACTGCTAAAATTAAAATTTTAGCTCCCCTTCCAACGTCAACCGAGAACAGGTGATCAGCTTTTATTTTTGCAGGTCCCTCAGCGGGCCAGAGCCTATGTTTGGGATACCTATATGATATGTATGGGTATGGCTCAAGATTTAACCACCAGGATATGGACCGGCTTTAGTGCTTGCTTCCATTTACCAGGGGCCCATTTGGGATCGACTTTCTGACCTTTTGGTTTTCCCACTTGAGTCCATTTTTAGTAAAGGTCCCAAAAGGGTGATCACCAATTGTGGGGGCAAGCCCAGTTTTGGGATTACATTGTAAATAAATCATGGTAGTACATTGTAAAGATACCATGGAGGCCATGTTTGACTCACCGCAGCTTCGCCTTCCCCAAACGGTTTGCACCGACGCCTCCGCGACGCCGCAGCCCGGAAGCTTCGACTCTTCGACGCCGAGGTTCGGGGCCGCGCTGCTGCGGGGCCTGGTACAGCGGGCGCAGATGGCGCAGCAGGCGGATCTTTGGAGCTTCGGGGTGGGTGGGGGTCGTTTGGGGGAGGTTGGAGGTGGGGGGGTTTGGGGTTGGGGTTGGTCTGGGTTGGGTTTGGGGTTGGGGTTGGTTTGGGTTGGGTTGGTCGGTTGGGGTCCCGTGGACTTTAGTCACTTTCTGAAGAGCAGTTGAGTGGTAAATAAGATGTGTGGATTGTGTTTGGAGCACCAACTCGGGAAGCGAGGGGGTGGGTGGGTGGGTATTGTGTTTTACGTCTTGTTTGTAGCCGGTCGTTTGACCAGGATTCTCATTTACAGTTAGGGATCCGAGATGGAAGTGGATAGATCTCATGTTAACATCATTTCTATCAGGTTTGACACCAGATTTTGTTGGCTTATTGTTTTGCTTTGAAACCCCCAGACAAAGGCGCTCAAAAGACATACCTATGTCGTCTTTGGGTTTATAAGCGGAGGCGCTTCCGCTGGATTGGTGGGTTTCACAAATTCCGGGTGGGGCTAAGTGGGCCTTTCTTCGGGTCTTACTTATTCTAACCTCTCTCCAGCCTTTTATTCCTAGGTCCCTTGGGCAACTGAGCTTCCAGTTGGCTTAGGGAAGGAACACAAGCCCTGCTTTTGAGAGGGGTTGAGCGGAAGATCATCAAGGTAACGGCAGCAGCCTTGTCCAAGCAAGATCTTTGGAAGACCCAGGCGTGCCGGATCTTGTTGCCGGGGACTCCCCAAAGTTGTGAATCCCCTGGTGTTACTGGCTGCAATTGCAAACCTTGGAAGGGGCTGCAATTGACAGCCCTTAAGGGCGACCAACACAAACAACTCAGCAAAAACACGGACAAGCGGGCCAGAGTCTATTTCACTAGGCGAAGAATCTACCACAACTCTGGTTTCCACTGCCGCGATTATGTCAAGCCCCTGCTTGAACGGAAGGTTGGGTGGAGCACTTCAGAGGTCAAGCAGAACCCCTTGCGTGGTTTCTTAAAGGGAGACCCAAGGAAGACACGGCTCAAAATAATGAGACTAGCCCTAATACTGTGGGTGGTTGCGAAATCCACTTCGCACCACTTTGGAACCATGGGAAACCATTGTTTGTTGGTGTTTGCAAGGGGCATCATCATTCCAGGGCTTCTTAGGTGGTGCAGGATTTCGTCCATCCACAGCAACCTTCACGTGAGGCTAGGGCTTCACATAGCAGTGGTATCTTTTGCGAGTCTAGAGTCTAGAGTTTCACGTTCTTTTTTTGCTAGGGTTTGAGCAACCTTCATGCTTGAGTTCGTTTGAGTCTAGAATTTCACAGACCAACCCATGGTATTTTTACTTGCTGGCTCCCAGTCATCGCTTAGCAATTTAGGTGTTTACTTGGCTTAGTGGTAGTTCCCATTTAACCCACTACATGTTATTCACTTTTCTTGCTGGTTCTTAGCAGGGAATTACAAACCATCCATCCTATGGTTTCCTTGATTCGGACTCCCCGGACCCCCTACAGTTTATTCACTTTTGGCCGGGGATCAGACAACGTTACACTCATCAGTTTGATTTTTTTACACCAGCACCAGATGTTAATCCTGGTTGTCAAGCGCCCGCACCTGCTGGTTTTATCTCTTCCGCGAGGAGTTCTTAAGAAAAAGTTGGCGTCCGACAGCCGCCCGATCGCCTTCCGGCGCCCGCTTGCCATCGCTTGCGGCGGAGCGCGAGAAGCGCGGAGAAGCGACGCGACGAGGTCTTGGTGCTGGAGCCGCAGAGCCCCGAGCTGGAGGCCTACTTCCTGCGCCAGCGCTTCCGCCCCGCCAAGGACTCGACGCGAGTCTCGAGTCGACTCGAGTCCAGGGCGTGGGCGCAGGCATGGGGTTGAGAAGTGGTGACTTGTGGTGAAGTGGTTGCACCCTCTAAAGGACCACACCCAGAAAAGCCGAATGTAGGTTATGTATATATATATATATGCATACCAGCATGTCACCCATTTAGAGGGTAAATGTGGTTGACATATTGCATACATGGATTTTTGGGGACAGAATATGGGGGGGAGGAGTTATGTCCACCCTTCATATTGGAGGGTGCTCCCCATGCTTCGAAGCCGAATGCTCACCTTCAATTGAGCTGAAGGGTTTCCACGCTGGATCGAATTGGGCAAATCGAATTGCAACTGGACATCCAACACCAGGGTTGTGGAATCAAGGCGTTTATTCCCACTTCTTTGATACCTTCGGGAATCTCTCCCTGTATATGAGGTGTTCGTCTTTGGGGTTAGGCCCTCTTTGTATCACAGATTCGTGGATTCCATTTCCCACCTGTCCAACACGAATTGCCAGTCAGAACGTCAGACCGTCAGATCGCCCCTTTCGAAGCTTCCGAGCTGCTGGGAGGTTTGGACCCTTCGGTTCCTGGGGCGCCTTGCGAGTCTCCAAAGCTAAAGGGACCCCGAGTCCTGAGCGTCAAGGGCGAGGTTTGGTCTTCCCTTAGCATCCAGAAGGGGTGCAACTGAATTCGAGACGGACATCCACGGAGAGTCGGGCCCCTCACAAGTGGGCTGCTTCAAGAGCCTTTTTGCTTTTTTGGGGGTTCCTTTGTTTTCCACTCGCCAGGCAAAAAAGATCTCATTTTTTGCTGGGGTCCTAATTCCGGCCAAGACAAGTAAAATAACACGAGGGCTGTCCAAAGGCCGGGGCGCCGCAGGAAAGATCAGGAAATATTTTTTTTGGGGGAGGGGACCGGGGGGTTTCCCCCCGGTGTCCTTTTGGGATCCTCAAAGGAGCACCGCGGCCATTTTGGGGGGTTCCCCAAATTTTGGGCCTTGAAAAGGAAGGCAACCCTTTTTTTGGGGTTCTTCTAAGAAGAGACAAACCCAGATATGTAGGCAAGACATACTGTGGATGGACGAATCTGCACCACTTTGAAATCATGAGAAACCATTGTTTGTTGGCATTCACCAGGGAATCATCAGAAACCTGGCTTTCTGAACGGTGGTGCGACATGGATTTCGAAACCATCCACAGTAGCAACAAAACTCCTTGACTGCTATTGGGTTGGATCTTTAGACTTCAACTTTTTGGTTGAAACCAAGTGGTGTTTTCCACTAAACCCCCCAAAAAGTGGTCCAAACTTTTTGCAGGGGGGTTGCGGCAACAAAGCCCTCGGGGTTAGGAGCTGGACCCGTACCTCTGGATCCCCTTGGACCTCTCCCCGCAGCTGCCTCGCGTGCAGCTGCGCTACGTGCTGCAGGAGGAGGACCACGAGCGGCCCCTCGCCGGAGAAATTTTCGCGGTTCGCGGCCTCTCGCCCTCCGGGCGCTTTTTTTTGGCCCCCCCGGACCCCGCAGCGGGTCCGGGGGGTCCAACAAGATGTCGTGCAGCAAGTGGGTTTTCAACCTCAGATCTCGGGGTTCCAGGATAGGAGCCCTGCCATGACGGCCTCTTGTGGTTTGTCACACGCCTCTTCTCATAAGTTTGAAGTGACCTAGATTGCCAAGTTGCTGCTGGTGCTCGAGACACTTTAAAGCTTTATACCAGAATGCAGTCGCAGGTGCTGGCAAAAAATGGCCAACCGCAATCCAGGGAATTCCTGTTGGGGTGATGTTTAAGGGGGAAACACAGGGGAGGGAACCCCACCACTTGAAGAGAAACACCCAGTGAACTGAAGTGGTTGCGTTTTGAGGGGTTCTATTGCTTTCAATGTTTTCTTCTCTTTTTTTTTTTTTTTCGGTGTGTGTGCCTTGAAATGGCCAGTCAGAGGGTTATTTCGGCCGAACCTCGCGAAACCCCGTTGTGATCCTCTAGTGAAGCAGGGTGGACCCCAAACCACGCCCCCGAGAGAAGCATGGCTACGACGACTACATGGGTGCGTGTATTTTTTTGAGGTTGCCCCTTTGGGCCCATATTCCTTGAGTAGTGGTTTGGTTGTAGCGAAAACTATCTTAGTAAAAAGTAAGGGTTGCTCAGAGTCCAAAGAATCAGCTCATGAACCTTGACAGGTTGGTCCAGTTTCCATTCTGTTCCATGGGTATTATGAGCAACCGACCAAGCTTCCCTATGGTTTTGTGGCTCTTTCCAGGACGGATCGCACGTAGACAAGTTTATCAGCTAATGTCATAAGCAAGAGTTGATCATGGCAATTAATTTGGCAAACCGGCCATTGTAGTGTCTAAACATGGGAATTCGCACCCCGTGGTATGCGGCTGAGGACTCCCTTTTCGCTTCAAAACCAACCCCAACAACTGTTCCATCAAAAACAATGCCCACATTCGGGTTCTTCAAGCAGAAAGGGGTGGGAATAGTTACTTTTGGTTTCCCTCAAGCCATCCCAGAAGGCGGTTCCCCGTGAACTGCGCCCAGTTTACGTTCTGAGCCCTACAAGAACCAGGGGTTCAAATTCCCAAGTCATTCCAAAATGAAGCACAGTCTGAGCTTGGTAGAGTTGCGCAAGCTTTGAGGCTTTTCCTGAATGAATCTTGAAGCTTACGTGTTGTTGCTTCCATTCGTCGTTTTGAAGGGTCCGACATGGTTTGAAATGGAGCTAGGCATGTGCACGCAGATAAGCTATGTACATGACCTATGAACTTCATGAACCCTACGACTCCCCCTCCATGAACCTCGTGCCCCGATGAAACCGCTATGAAACAACTATGAAACCCATACCAAATCCCTAGCAAACCCTGTGAAACCCCTATGAAACCTCAGGACCCCTCCCCCCCTCCTGGCCCGATAAAACCCTAAGATACTCGTATGAACTCCTGTAACCTGTAAAACTCTCACGAACAAAAAACCGTATGAAACGCCATGAAACGCCCATGAACCCCTATGACACCCCATGAAACCCGATGAAATCCCTAAGAAACCCCTATGTACGCCCCTATGAAATCCATATAAAGCCCTTATAAACCCCTATGAATATGAAGCTAGTGTTTGTTTCGGCAAGTTAATCCTTTATCGCAGCGAAATTCTATACTTGAGCATCACCATGAACTTGATGCCCTGAACCCCATGAACTTGGTCCCCTGGACCCCATGAACTTGATGCCCTGGACCCCATGAACTTGCAGCGCTCTCCATCGAAACGTTCTGCCCGCCGCAGCTAAGGCTCTTGGCCGCTTTTAAGCGCCCCCCCGAGTGGACGGGCGTCACCGAGGAGTTCTTCCTCACCTCGCGCCAGGCGCGGGTTTCGGACGGATCGGGTCGGGTTTCGTGGGCTGACCTGGGCTGACCTGGTGGATGGACGACACCACCATGAGACACCATGAGACATCATTGTTTGTTGGTATTTACAGGAGAATCAACAGTTCAGGGTTTCTTAGGTGGGGGATCTCTATTTTTCAGAAGCACCCAATTGGATCCCATGCTTAACCTTCATCTGAACTTTGATTAATCTGATTGATCGGCAAGTACATGTGCGTGCTTTGAAAAAGGCTTGCCAAAACGGAACATGTTCATTGACCCCCAGGGGTGGCCGGGGGGGGGCCGGCCCGGAAAAAGCCTAGGATGGGCCAAGGATGAGCCCGATTTCACGGCCTAACGCTCCAGTTGCTTAAGAACATTTTTTGCCTTGCTGGGTTTAAAAGGAATTCATCACTACTGGAAATATTTGATTTTTTTCCCTGGGGCCTCAACCAAATGGAAGTAAAGCTCAAGGCAGTTACACCCTTCCCAATCACCCCTTGAGAATCGCCGGACGTCTCCGATATCCAGGCGTGCTTGTACACACCCCTTTTACACACCCCTTGCGCAAATGAACCCAAAAGGCTTGCGGATGTTCATAGCCCTCTCACCAAGATGGGCATCTACCCCTTGTAAGGTGGCTTGGAAACCCGGGAAGCAAAGGGGCTAGGTCCCCCAGTAGTGCCCTTTTACCCTTTTTCGTGGGAGGGTTCCCCTACTAAAATAGACAAAACCGGGAAACAATTGTGTGCCCTTACTCTACCCTCTCTACTGCTTCACCAGAATTAGCTCCCCTTTTTGCTTTTTGCTTTTTTGGGGGTTCCTTTGTTTTCCACTAACCAGGCAAAAAAGATCATTTTTTTGCTGGGGTCCTCTTCTTCCAGCCAAGACTGGAGGACCGAGGGGGTATGAACCAGGGGTATGGAAATTTCCACCTGTCCGAGGGCAAAACGCCTGAACGAAGACTGCGGCGAGGACACCTCCGCGCTGGAGGTCCTGGCGCTGAGGGTTTTCCGGGAGGGCGTGCGGCGCACGGGCGCGGCCTGGCGCATGACGCGGGCCAGCCCCGCCGCGGCCTACCAGGTGGGCCTTTCGGCCGGCCGGGGCATCACTTCGTAACCATTTGGCTGTGGCTCAAAATTAAACGATCGGAGGGGCAAACCGCAGGTTTTGGCCCATCTTTCCACTTACCAGGGTTCCATTTTGGTACTGGTTTTTTGAGCCATAGCCGTTTGAGCCACTTGCTCAAAACCCGGGTAGATGAAGGTTAGTAAGGGCCAATCCCAGCCATAAAAAGCTGCGGCCGCCTTCTTGGTTCTTGAAGCATGGTTCTGGGTAGACCATTTTAATACCGGGTTTTGAGTATGACTCATTTCCCGTCTATTCATCCTGGGAAATGAGACAGTTAGGAAGCGAAGGAAATTAGAGGGGTTCTTCCGTGCGGAGCCCTTGGACAAGTTACATAGCCAAGTTACCAAGTTACATAGAGCCAAGTTACATAGAGCCAAGTTACATAGAGCCAAGTTACATAGGCCAAGTTACATAGAGCCAAGTTACATAGAGCCAAGTTACATAGAGCCAAGTTACATAGAGCCAAGTTACATAGAGCCAAGTTACATAGAGCCAAGTTACATAGAGCCAAGTTACATAGAGCCAAGGTTAGGTAGAGCTTAGAGCTTCGGCGTTAGCAGCTATGTAAGTTAGTTTAGGTTTCTAAGGCGCCGGGGCGGGAGTTTGATCGTCGCTCGGGATTGCGACCCTCTGCGGAGATTCGCGTGGTCGAGGTTCAAAAACTGAGGACTTTTTACGATTTCAGCGGTGCGCGCGCGACCCTCTGCGGAGATTCGCGTGGTCGAGGTTCAAAAACTGAGGACTTTTTACGATTTTAGCATGCGCGCGCGACCCTCTGCGGAGATTCGCGTGGTCGAGGTTCAAAAACTGGGGACTTTTTACGATTTCTGCTGGCCGCGGCGCGACCCTCTGCGGAGATTCGCGTGGTCGAGGTTCAAAAACTGAGGACTTTTTACGATTTCTGCGGTGCGCGCGCGACCCTCTGCGGAGATTCGCGTGGTCGAGGTTCAAAAACTGAGGACTTTTTACGCGCGTCGAAGCGCTCTCGCTGCGGTGCGCGCCGACCCTCTGCGATCGTGCGCGTCGAAGCGCTCTCGCTGTGGCGCCGTGCGAATTTGTCTTAGTCTCGGCAACCCTCTGCGGAGATTGTGCGTGTCGAAGCGCTCTCGCTGTGGCAATTTTCTTGCTCGCGAAACGGCCTTTGGAAGTTGTCTCGTGGTTTGCGCGCCTGCTTTCGCAATCCCGCGGTCGCGGGTTCGATTCCCCCCTGGTCCGCGGCAGCTCCGGCTTGAAAATCGCAGCTTTTAAGTACAAACGTAGTACGCGGAGCGTGCTCCTGCAGCTCCGGCTGGAAAATCGTAACTTTTAAGTACAGACGTAGTGTGCGGAGCGTGCTCCCGCAGCTCAGGCTGGAAAATCGCAAGTTTTAAGTACAAACGTAGTACGCGGAGCACACCCCCGCAGCTACGGCAGCACTTGCGCAGAGCGACTTGCGCAGAGTCACTTGCGCAGAGCAACTTGCGCAGAGCAACTTGCACAGAGCAAGTGCACAAAGCACTTGCGCAGAGCAACTTGCACAGACCAACTTGCACAGAGCACATGCGCAAAGCGCTTGCACGGAGCAACTGGCGCAGAGCCCTTGCGCAGAGCAACTTGCTCAGAGCACTTGCGCAGAGCAACTTGCACAGAGCAGGCGCAGAGCAACTTGCACAGACCAACTTGCGCAGAGCACATGCGCAAAGCGCTTGCGCGGAGCAACTGGCGCAGAGCACTTGCGCAGAGCAACTTGCTCAGAGCACTTGCGCAGAGCAACTTGCACAGAGCACTTGCGCGCAGCAGCTTGCAGAGAGCAACTTGCGCGCAGCAGCCTGGAACAATGCAGCTTGCGCAGACCGCTTTCGTGAGAAATCGCGCGGCGCAGTTCGAGAGGAAAGTAGGATGATGAGATGGAGCTCTCATGTGACCATACACACTGAGCATCGCCGCGCGCAGACACGCTCGCCGCAGCGATGTAAAAAGGTGTCTCCGCGGCTGGATGAGCACCTGTGGAAAAATGCTTGGCGCGAATGAAGCCCCGAGCCTGAAGTGCGAGTCTCGTCGAATCGGCCCTCCAAAGTTTCAAGCAGGGCTCCTTAAAAGAAACTCGTGTTGCAGCCATTTGAAGCATGTGGCTTTTTACACCAAAATCCAGGGAAGCCACTATTTACAAGTTGCAATGTTCAGGTGAATGTAAGGATCCCTGTTATACCCAATGATGTTGGGGGTGATCGGGTTCTTTAGCTGTCTACTTAATCAGGGGTTTTCAGCATGGGCTTTTCCTCTAGGCCCCTCCCCTTCCCCCCCCCCCCGGCAAAATGGAGGAGTCCGAACAAATTTTGGTTGCTTGCAAATACCAACCCGGGTCCAAATCTGGCGTTTCGAGAAACCTCCAAGTAACACCGCATCCTCGGATTTACGCGCTTTCCTTTTTTGGGAAACCTTCTTTGACGCCGAGCCCGCGCACCTCGGGAAAGTTGGACGAACCAAAGCGTTTCAAAACCCTGAGACCTCCCAGCCCAAACCCCCCGAACCCAGTTCGAGAAACCACCCTGTGGCGCATTCCGACTCGGACTCATCGGAATTCACCGGACTTGTGGTATCCATGGCACGGCTTTTGTACCGGTGGTACCTGGAGGGATCTAATTAAACCACCCCAACTTGAATGGCCAGGTCTTACGCTGTCACTGGAGCATCGCGCCCTTAAAACTGAAATTGGGGAAGGGAGTTCGACCCCTGGAGATCTCCATTCATGGCAACCTATCTTCCCCTTCAAATCATTTGGAGAAGTTCTCGGTTCTCATGTTTCTTGGCCAAAGCTTTGTCTCATGGCTTGGTACAGTCGAAAGATATTATAAACCGTTGCTTTGTGTTTCTCCATTTTTTCCCTGCTTTTTCTTTTGGTAAGTGCCCTCCCTGTTTTTCCTCGTCCCCCAACTACCACACTCGAAACGCGGGTAAGTGAAGCTCAGTAAGGGACCATCCCTGCCAAAAAGCCGGGTGCGGATAAACCGAAAAACGTTTCGACCTTTAGGCCATTTCATGGTTGTTGTTGGGACACATTTTACACTTTTGCTTCTTGTGGTTTAGTGGTTGAACTCCTTTTTTTAGGACGCGGCACGTGTTCTGGCCGGACAAATTCGGGGGAGAGAAGACCCACGCGCGCCTCGCTCGGCTCGCTTTTGGTGGCTCTCGAGGCGCAGGCGGCGGAGGAGGTGGAGCTGGCCGAGGCCATGGCGGTGATGCGGTCCCCCGAGAAGCTCGAGGAGGCGCTCGGGCGGTCGGCGGGGGGGGGGCTGTCTGTTGTCTGTTTGCCCGGGTGTCGACGCCTTGTGGGGCCACTGTCGGGCCGAAGATGTTGGGGAAAGACTCTAAGACGGGACGGAAAATCCGGAGCTTGGGTTTTCCAGTGCCTAAAATTTAGATCTAGGTTTTCCGGTTAGGTGCCTGACCTCTCATTGCGTTTTTGGGGGAGGGTTCCCCTACTAAAATAAACTACAGAAAAAAGTGGGTACCAACTTATTCTAACCTCTCTACTGGAGGACCTCGGATTTTTGGGGAAGGTGTGCTTTTGGTGTCCCTCAAAAGGGAGTAGAAAGGTAAAACAGCCGGACGGGTTTTGGGCTTGGAAAACATTTAGCATAGCAAATGAAGGAAGAGATGGTTATAGGTTTGGACTTTTTGGGCCAAGCCACTCATGAAGTGAGTGCGGCCAGTGCCTGGTATTCAACGCAGGCAATGAGACCTGCGGATGTTGAACGAATCCCAGGATATTCATAGGGGTTTTGGGTTTAGTGGAACATAATCACGTTGCGAGGGGAACACCCCACTGGGATGGGTTGATGGTTGCCTACTCCAGGGTCAACATTCACCCCGAGTTCCCTGACCCCCTATTCAAGGGACTTCCCATGGATGGGTGTTGGAGGGGTTGTGGAGGTTTTTATGCCACTTGCGCAAGGGGCACAAGCTTTAAACCCATCCATGAACCCCATCGCGAGCCCCTTGACCTATAGTGCCGAAAAGCCTGGAAGTACTATGAGCATAGGAGCGGCAAACTTTCACAAGTTCGATGGGGAGTGAGCTGGAATGATCCCATCCTGTGTTGGGTAGGAAGCAGTGCCATCGTCTTGGAGTGCTTGCTGGTTTACTTTGGGTCCTATGGAACTCCCAAAAAGCTCGGGTTCCCTTAGTTTCCCCCGAAGCCCCAAAACAGTACCCTTGAAATCAGTTTCTGCGGGTGCGATTGGCATTTAGGGGATCCACATCCGGTTCAATCCCAAAAACCTTGGCGATTCCCTACTGAGAACCAGTAAGAAAATGGGTTGATGGGAGTAGGATCCCAACCCCCCTTCCCCGTCCTCGTGTCATGATTGCGGGGACATGGGGGCCACGGTTGTGGAAGTGGGTTATTTTGATGGCACGGAAATTGGGCCAGCGTTTGGCCTGGTTTGCTGTCCAGAGCTTCCCTTGTTGACACCGTTTCTTTTGGTTTCGAGACCAAACTTCGCTTTTTGACACCTTCCTTTGGTTTCGAGATCAAAGATCACCAATTCATACAGCAAGTTTCCTTTGACTCGGCGATGTTCCCAGGGAGCCCCCACCGGCTCCTTGGTTCCGCCCGCCTCGCGCCTCGCGCCTCGCGCCTGCCGCGCCCAAAGTCGCCTCGCGCCGCTGGGGTCGCTCGGGTGAGGTGGCCTGGGATTGCGCCCAGGGCTTCGGCCGAGGGAAGGGGCGGCTGCCCGGGAACTTCGCGGGCCTGGGCCGCTGCAGCCGGGGGCTCAGATCGCTCGGAGTTCGGAGTTCGGAGTTCGGAGGTCGGTTTGGGTTGAAAGGGTTTGTCCAACCACTTCTGTGATACGTTTGGGGATCTTCCCGGGGTGTTAGTCTTTGGGGCTAGGCCCTTTGTGTCGTATCACAGAAGTGGAGTCGTTTCGGAGCCGCGGATCTGAGTCGCGGATCCGAGTCGGATCGGCCGAGTCGGGGCAGGGGGGGGGGGCAGGGGATCGGGGGGGAAGGGAGGGGAAAAAAAATAGCAAAACATATTTTGAAAGAAGTAAATAATTTTCAGAACAACTTACCAAAATATAAAATATAGGTTTATAATTCAAATATTAAATAAGGTTAATACATTATTCATATTCATTAACCTTATCTAATTACTTGAAAATAATTTTACTTCATTGAAATATTATATAAGGTTAAGAAGTTATTCTACATATTAACCTAATACAATTTTAAGTAAAATATTTATTAATAAAAATAGTGTTAATTTTCTTCTGCCTGTTTCATTTCTAAATTTCTTTTATGCTTATTTGTTTTAAGATGTTGCTTTTTTAAACATGGAGAAAAATAGCAGTCACAAATATCACACTGAATTTTTATACTGTTCCATTTTCTATTACTTTCAAGTGTTTTATTTCTATATTCATCATCTTCTTCGTATCTTTTTCTTTGCTCCTCATTGTATCTATCTTTATGTTTAATTCGGTTATTCCTTTTGTTTTCTGTACATTGCCTGCATTGTTTATTATCTTTATTAAATTCGTCAAATAGTTTCATTCTACCACAGTTTCTACATAATTTTCCATTATCAGTTTTGAATGAACCGTTTTCCAAAATTCCTTCATACATTTTACCTTTAATTAAAACACAAATGTTTCCTTCCATAGTTCTTATAATAGAATATCCTTAAACCTTTAAATACATTTTAAGAAATTCCTATAATCAATATTCCTTGAAACTAAATTCCCAAAATCCCAAAATATACAATCCCCATAATTTCAAAACATAAATCTTACAATGTTTTTGTTTATTGTAAGGTTTATTAAGTATGTGTCAAATATATCCTTGAAATCTTACCCCAAAATCCAGGGTACTTACCCCAAAATCCAGGGTACTTACCCCAAAATCCGGGGTAAGGAGGCAGGTTACCCCAAAATCCAGGGTACTTACCCCAAAATCCGGGGTAAAGAGCAAAATTCCTCATGGCGGCTCATTTGGTGACAGAAACACAAATTCCTCAATCCACCAAACTCGTCAAAATCTCACAAATCAATTCAGCAGGTATTTTGTATAAAAAATCCCGTTTATGTATTACATAATTATCCCCCCATTCTGCTTTAGTTTTTGATGGCAGTCGTTTCGCAGTTTCAATATGTTTACTATTCCTTATTTTTCCACAATCTCTATTACACAAATCTCTAGGTGTCCAATTCGTAATGTTATTCCAAAGTCTAGTGCGTTTTCTGTAATTAAATCCATATTTGCAATAATCAACATCTTCAAAATCAAACTCATTCATAAACTCCTGATGTTTTAATAGTCCAGTTTGAGGATTTTCGATTACAAAATATTTAGGATTAAAATATTTGATAATCTCAATAGTTTTTAAAACTATACTATTAGCATATTCAATATTCCTAATTCCCTTAGTTTTTGCTACACTATATTCAGTGCACGGGGGACTGCTCCAAATAAAATCAAAATGGTTTCTGTCAAATTGTTTATAATCCCATTCCAAAATATCACAATTAATATCAGCATTTTTCAAGTCTAATGAGATGACATTATAACCGAGTGACTTTGCTATGGTTCCTACACTTCCAGTTCCACTAAATAATTCTAATAAATTCATATTGTTTATTAGAATGATTTAGATAATGTTTTAGAAATATACATATTTATCATCTTCCTTAATAATCTTATAGTATTCTAATGTTTGTTCTTTTGGACTTTTGATTTGTCCCTTATTTAACATATCACAATATTTTTTACGCTTCGTGTCATAATCACCGCTGGGTCTGCCTATCCCTTTCTTTTCAAAGATTTTGTCAATCTTTTCCTTCTCTTCATTGTTATCTTTTGGTTCGTTTGCCTTTGCATCAAGTTTCTGGTCAATAGTTTTTATCATCTCGTACAACAGTTTAACATTTTTACTAACTGTCATTATCTTCTTTGATAGTTCAGCAATAGCATCATTTTCAACTTCAGACATTTCTATATATATTTATTTATGTAATTATTTATTTAAATATTTATTTATTTATAAAATTGATTTAATGTAAAATCTACTCTTTAAATACTAACTTATGTCCCTGTTGAAACTAACATTAATCAAATGTTCGTTAGTTTCAATAACCATATCGCCTCCTGATTTTTTCTGAATATTAAAATCTTTGTCTGTTTTTTAAAAGAAAACATACATGGGACACAACTAACCTTAACACCATCTTTTTTATCTACCGTCAATTCATTCTTAAAATTCATAACATGATTACATTTATCGCATTTTACAGCTTTACTTTCGCCCAGTGATTTAACACTTTCCGTTGTTTTTTTCCGAGCTTCAATATCTGGCATTGGTCTTTCATTATCTAATATTGAATTTGATTTACTCTTTTTCTTTCTTGGCATTTATATTAATATTTACATTTTTATTTTTGGTATATTGTATTCCTAATTTTATTAATTCTAATGTATAAAAGCATACTTTCTTACATCTGTTGTCAGTTATTATTACTTGTTCTATATTCTCTACTTCATCTATTATATCAATATAATCTGAATAACTTCTATCCATATAAATAATAAGATGAAATAATCATTAAAAATAATTATTTGATCTTATTATTTTCATGCATAATAGAATATTGGTGGGGCACAGCACTTGGGTTTTCATTGCACACGCGAGCAAGACACAAAACTAATTATCTTCAATGCTTATTGATTGAAGCAATGGAAAGCCTGTTCCATTTTTATGATATTAACTGCCAGCATATCATAAAAAATATGTTCCATTAATATTAAATAGAATATGTGTTTAAACTATTTTCTTTAGTAAGTTTTACTGCAGTTGATATACTAACATCTCTAATATTAATATCAATAACTTCTTGTACACTATTTATCATTTCATTTGTATACATATCGGGATAATCTTTCATAAAATTTACTAACTTTCTAAAATTAAAATCTAGGTTATTGTCATTTTCAATTGAGGACTTGGATACTACGATATTTTGTTTTTTAATTGCCGATAAAAAGTATAACATTGTATCATAATATATTTGTTCAGTGTCGGGCACTAAGATATCACCAAATTTATATATCCTCCGAATACTATCTACTTCACTTAAATTAATAGACTCTATATATTCTATTGTCATTATGATATAATTATATTATATACTTTATTTTATAAGTATTTATAATATTATTTTTATTATGCCCGATGTAAAACCAATTGATGAAATCAAATATGACTTTAAGCAAAGCAAGCACGAGGTCGTCCCTAAATTGCCGATGAGAGCTATGATTGTGGGCCCGTCAGGCTCTGGCAAATCGACGCTACTTGTATCAATGATACTTGATATTTATAGAGGAGCATATGAAAGAATTTTTTCTGGTCCCCATCAGTAAATTTGGATAGTATTTGGTTGCCTGTTAAAAAAATACATTAAAGAAGGTTTCAAAGTAGATACTGATAAAGAACCGTGTTGGTGGGATGAGTTCAATGTTGAAGATTTAGAAAGAGTTATAGAAACTCAAAATAAAATAATTGAATACCAGAAAAAACAAGGAACGAAGAAATTATTTAATATTTTGGTAATTTTGGATGATGTATCTGATAATCCAGCAATAACAAGAAATAACAAATTGTTAAATTCTTTATTTTGTAGAGGTCGTCATAGTGGAATATCAACACTTGTAAGTCTTCAAAAATCATCAACCGTGCCACCAATTATTAGAGTAAATATAAGTCATTTGTTTTATTATAAAGTTAGAAACTACAAAGAGATAGAAATATTGCAAGATGAATTATCAGCAATTGTTAGAAGCGATAATTTACACGAAAGCAAGAAACTAATTTATAAAATATATGAGACTGCCACTGATGAACCGCATAGTTTTTTTATATGTTAACCTTTTAGAAAAGAACCCAGATAAAATGTTTATGAAAAACTTTTCACAATATTTGAAAATAACTAATCAATAACATTAAATTTATTGTTTAATGTTTTTGATTTAAATTAATGAAGCGTTGCATAAATTCAACGCAGGTAATTTATATATTAGTTTGTCCGATTTTTGGTTTTCTAATTTTTCTATTCGTGCCACACATTCTTGAATAGATTTAATTATTAAAGTATCCGCTCTTGTTTTTTCATCTACTCTTAAATTCTTAATGTCTTCCATACTGTTATTTTCTTCGTTTTTACTTTGACCAATACCCATTATATATTATTATTTAGATTGTTTTTTCAATTCCTTAATTTCTTTTTCTAATTTTTCAACTTTATCTATCACTTCCAGTAAAGCTTTATGTAATAATATTGGAACTTTTGTATATTCAATACCTAAATATTCACGTTCGGTATGAACTACATTACTAATTTCTTTCGGAACTGCTTTTAATAAATCATCAGCAATATAACATATATGGATTGCATCCTTATCGTCTCTATCTTTTCTTTTGAATTTTTTAGGTTTGAATTTCTTAATCATACTAATACAATTACTTTTAAGTAAATCTACATCATATTTCAATCTTGCATCGGAATTATCTATTAGACTTCCATTTATGGTTACAGTTCCGGCAGTAATATCAATAGCATCGCCTGAAGCATCTTGAATATCATTTACAAATAATGTTTTTGTATTAACAACTGTTACATTTTCATTAAAAGTCGATGGAGCATTATTTGTAAAACTTTCAGTATTTACTGTTGTTCCAAATGTCTTATCAATAGATAATAAAACAGAAGGGGTAGTAGAACTATCAGCAACTCTAAA